GGGAGGGGCGGAAGAGGGTGGGAGGGGCGGAAGAGGGTGGGAGGGGCGGAAGAGGGTGGGAGGGGCGGAAGAGGGTGGGAGGGGCGGAAGAGGGTGGGAGGGGCGGAAGAGGGTGGGAGGGGAAGGGACAGAGCTACCAGACGGAGTTACTTGGAAGAAGAGCAGGGCGTCCCTTTGACTGGTGGCACTGAGGAAACAGGTAGGGGATAGGTGAGGGAGGGTTCAAGGTACGGGAAGGGGTGGGGTTGTGGTAACCAGACGGCGTTACTTGGAAGAAAGGGCAGTGCGTTTTGTTTGACTGGTGGGACTGAGGAAACATGTAGGGCATAGAGGAGGCTGGGTTCAAGGTATGGGAAGAGGTGAGCTTGTGGTAACCAGACGGGGTTAGTTGAAAGAAAGAGCAGTGCGTTTCGTTTGACTGGTGGGACTGAGGAGAACAGATAGGGCATAGGGGAGGTAGGGTCCAAGGTATGGGAAGAGGTGAGCTTGTGGTAACCAGATGGCGTTACTTGGAAAAAAGGGCAGTGTGTTTTGTTGACTGGTGGGACTGAAGGGATGATTCAGGGATGGGGAAGGTAGGGGGGAAGGGCGAGTGGGTACTGGTAGGATAGTGGCAGGAGAGGGGTGGAGGTGCCAAGCAGTGCCTCTATAAGAATGAAACTGAAGTCAGGGCAAAAAGACCGCAACTGCATACATGTGTTTGGCGTCAACCCAGAAAAGCCAGTACGAGAGCAGAGCATTGGCTGCTTTCACAGATGAAACTCAGCATCATGGCATAACAGATGTGAGCACTGAAAAAAAAAAGAAAAAGAAAAGCACTGAAAAAACATCTATCGCTGAATACAAATATCCACACTATCTAAAACACATACCTGAAACCCCTTGGCGGGCACAAGGAGAGAGGGACGAATCCCAGGGCCAATGTGATTGTTCAGACTGAAGAGAGAGGGGGAGGGGGGGGGGGGAATGCGAGTAAGTAGTGAGAGATGTAACAGAAATAATGGAATCGCTTACGGAATTCTCAAAAGTGAGTGGTCCGCCCGACTGGAGACAGAGAAGGGACGTTAGGGAAGGGTCATGCACATGCGACAAAGCAGTGAGAGAGGTGTAACGGCGGCGAGTTGAATTACACATGACATTCGCTATAGAAGTGTCTTCATGTAACAGCTGCTCACTCCATTGGAAACAAACATGGCAATACACACACACACACGCACGCACGCACGCACGCACGCGCGCGCGCGCGCACCCACGCACGCACACACGCATGCGCGCACGCACAAACACACACGCACACACGCACCACACACACACACACACCCCTCCCTCCCCCCTCCCCACCCCACACACACACACCTGCATAAGGAAGTACCTCGCCCTGAGGGAAGTTCACTTCGCCGCCCCTTTGTACATCGGAGAGGGAAAAGGACAAGCGTTGCCACCCGGTGGCCAGACCTCTGTGTGTCGACATTATCCCGGTAAAACTCCAGATGCACGTCGTATGCTTGACCCTCGTTGAACCGAACCTGCGTCCGATCCTGCGGGACTGGTTCGGACAGGGAAATTTGGGGCGTTAATTTCTTGGAAAGTGACTTCATAGAGCATTCACTTTACTATAGTGGACTAATAGAAAAAACACGCGAACAAGAGGCACCCAACAATTACCTCTGTGAAGGAAAAGGAAGGACGCGATCCGGTCCTCGATGGCTCGAAGGCGCGGGTTCTGGAGAACAGGAAGGAAAGGACACACACAGACAAAAGAAGCTGGTGAATGCAGCAAGCCAGAAAAGGAGTGTGTGATCTCTTCCGGTCCTCTATGGCTCTGTTTTCCTATTCTTTCCATAAAGGAGCGTGTGCTTTGGGAAAACAGAATCGGGAAGGGCAAGGAGGGATGCTATCCGGCCCTCTATGACTAGAAAGCGTGGCTTCTGGAGTAAAGGAAAGAAATAACAAACAGAAAAGAAAGCACATGAAACGACTGGACCAAACTCAAAGGTACACACGTACATAATCTGGATCTCTATTTGCTCACTGTGTGTATGTGCACGCACTCACATGCCCCGCTCCCCCCTCCCTTCTCTACCTCCTCCCCAAACATACTCATGCTGACACGCCCACACGTGCCTGGTACTTGCGCAGATACGTGGCATTGAACCGCCTCTGGCGAGCAATCTTTGGCTTTGCCTGTCACGCAACAGGCGAAGGCAGCATGGCAGCATGGCAGGCAGCGTGGCAGCATAGCATCATTGGCAGAGTGAACAGAAATTCATGCGGTAAATTGGCTGATAAGTGGCTGATCGGTAGAATCCACTGATACGTGGCTGACTGGTAGATTGGCAGATAAGAGTATGAACAGACCAATGCATTGAGGAAGCATTGAGGAAGTATTGAGGAAGCACGGACCAAAGGGTTCTATTTCAGATGCAGGAGGACTCACCATTGCCACTAGAAACGCACAGTCGTCTGGCGAGAGAAGCTGCTTGTACACATACACCCTGAGACACAAAAATCACGGGGTACAGTACAGTGTTAGGTCGACAATAAAAATCAGAAACCCTGTATAAACCTGACCCCGAAGGCAGACACACCTGTATGGGAGTACAGCTGATTCACCCAGTCAATTAGCCGTCGAACAGGGAAACTAGTACGGTGCTAGCATGGCTGTGTATGATGCGACGTGGAACAGAAATCTACATTGTACCTGGGTGAGTGTAGACGACGCCCACCCATCCCACGTGTTACAAAAAGATGTGTTCGAAATAAAATACAATCATTAGCGTGAGATACGCGTACAGTACCTGGGTGTAGATGACACCTTGACAACCCGGCTTTCATTAAACACCCATTCCGACCCTCCCGCCGTCCGAACGTCAGTAGGCTCGGCAGAGTTCAGAGAACTGCTGCCACCAGGAGGGCTGAAACGATCACTCCCTGCCACGCCCCGGATCCCCCCAACATCTTTGTATGCCTCACTGCTGCTCCCTCTGGTTTCACCACTGCTGATGCCGCTGCTGCCGCTCCCACTGATGCCACTGCTGCTGCTGACCCCTCTGGTGCGTGCAGCGGCTAGTCTGGCCTCCCGCGCTTGAAGCAACTCAGGTGTGCCCCAGAACTCGATGCTGATTGGTCAACGCAGGACAAAAACGGGGTGGGTGAGGAGAGCGGGGGGAAGACAGGGGAGGAGGAGGGGGGGGGGGAGGGAAAGAGGGAGGGAAGAGGGGGAAGAGGGAGGAAAGAGGGGAAGAGGGAGGAAAGAGGGGAAGAGGGAGGAAAGAGGGGAAGAGGGGGGGAAGAAGAGTAAGGGTGCTGGAAGCGGCTTGGGAGTGCTCAACACTTGATGCGGTTTGGTCTATGTATGGAGTGGGGACATGTATTAGGTTGGGGGAGGAGTTGACGTGAAACGGAGGGGGACGGAGGGGGTAGGAGGGGGACGGAGGGGAAGAGAGAGATTGAGAATGAGAATGTGGATGAGAGGGTGAAGTAGGGCGGAAGGAGAAAAAAAGAGAGGAGGGTGAGCAACGCGCGAAGGTGAAAAAAAGGGGATGCGGAGCAAATCGCACTTCCTTCTGCGACCACGACTTTCGCTGATAAAAGAGGTAACGAATCTCGTACTAACGAGTCTCAGTCTCGCTCTAACGAACTTCACCCTAAAGAATACCGTCTTAGACGAATCTCTTTTCAACGAATCTCACCCTAACGAAACTCACCCTAGCGAATCTTGTAGTCCTCTTGACGGGACAGCGCAACCCGCGACGAAAACGACAAGGACGAGGGAGAACCGCATTCTGACAGCCGCGGACAAAGGATAAGGTCGACGTGTGCGCCGAGTTGCGCGCCGCGTTGCGCGCCGAGTCGCGAATCTGAACTGCGCGGCGACCAAATATTCGAAAGTTCCAAGAACAACGTGTTTGTGAGTCGAGCCGCTCGGTTAAATTTAAGGATGATGTGACTGTATGGAAGTCCCATGGAGATCCGTTGATCTAAACGGGTGACGTGATGTCACCCAAATCCTGACAACTCCATATTTGAACTGCACATGTTTGTACGATTTAGAGACAGACGCGTTTGAAGCAAAAACTAATGCCGGACAGCACTTTGGCGTGTGTACTAAGTGACACCGTGTAAACATCAACACATTGCATTGCTTATAAGATACAAAGCAGATGCTTCCTCCAGAATATACACCTTACACATAAATTTCAACACATGTAATCACTAACCATGCAATTTATCCTGCAGCTACCTACACTCCTCCCATCCAAACACACATTGCAATGCTCGTGCGATAGCATCAGCAGCTTCAGACATGGACTCATGGGCCAACCCACCATCACAAGATTCGGCAGCACCTCTGGCAATCCCATCAGCATTACTGCCATTCCCAGCGGCACCACTGCCAGTTTCATTAGCACCACTGCTGGTTCCATTAGCACCACTGCCAGTACCAGCAGCACCACTGCCAAACCCAGCAGCACCAGTACCAAACCCAGCAGCACCACAGCCAAACCCATCAGCAGGTGGGTGCTTCATGCGCCATGCCACATGCCCATCCGGCCTCACAAGAACAGCACCCGACTCCCCCACCCCTGCCAGCCATGTCAACCACTCCCCCCTCTCTTCCCTCCCCTCTGCTGCGCTTGCTGCTTCTCCTATGCCTGCTGAATCAGATATATCGCCGTGTTGTTGCCTAGGTCGGGTACTGTCTGTTAAGAGAATGACATCTAGAGACGTGTGATTCGACCCAGCGACAGCTGTGGCAGCTGTGGCAGGAGCAGAATGAGAAGCATCAGTAGCAGCAGCGTCAGCAACAACAGCAGTAACCCCACCAGCAGAAGCAGCATCGATCGCTGCTACAGAACCTGCTGCGCTAGCAGCATTCGGCATGGACCTCAGGGTCCAGAGCAAGAGGAGGCCGGCCGAAGGTGAACCCACATCGTTTGCACCACTTGTTACACTGTTACCGAAACTGTCTGCCTTCCCGGTTACACCGTTACTGAATCCTCCTGCACCGTCTGCTTTCCCAGTTACACGGTTACCACCACCACCTTCTGTGCTAGCAGGATCTATGCAGAGGCCGAGAGGAGCGAGGAGGGAAGGGAGAGGGGAGAGGAGGAGGGGTGGGGGGCGAGGAGGGCGAGGCGGAGGGGGAGGCGAGTGAGGGAGTGTGCGCGGAGAGAGGAGGCGAGCCAGAGGGGAGTGTGGGGGCCGAGAGGGAGGAGGAGAGTGGGGGTGATGGAACCGAGAGGAGAGAGGTCGATTGAAGAGATTGAAGGTCCCTGCAAGGTAGGGAGAGGGATGGGGGATTGGGTATGATAAAGAAGGGTAATATAGGTCAGTTTGGTTGGGATCAGGTGGCCTAGGGAACGAGTTGACTGTTGAGTCGACACAAAAGTCAACTCGGTGGGATCAGGTGGCCTAGGGAACGAGAGGGGAGTGTGGGGGCCGAGAGGGAGGAGGAGAGTGGGGGTGATGGAACCGAGAGGAGAGAGGTCGATGGAGGAAAGGGAGGGGCCCTGCAAGAGGGAAAAGGGGATGGGGAGAAAGAGAGGAAAAGTTGAAATGAGTGTGAAGAAAGGAAAAGAGAGGGAAGTGTGTGGGGAAAAAAGGCGAGCCAGAGGGGGGTGTGTAGGCCGAGAGGGAAGCGGAGAGTGGGGGTGCAGGAGCAGAGAGGGGAGAGGTCGATGGAGGGAATGGAAGGGCCTGCATGCAAGGTGGGTTGAACGGACGGGGTAGAGAGAGGGCATTGAGTTTGTGAATGTGTGAGGAGAGAGGAAGTGAGGCAGAGGGAGTGTGGGGGTGAGTGTCCTGTCCGGTGTGGCAAGCGGGAGCCAGGGAGAGTGGAGGGCGTGAAGGAGGTGCGAAGGGCAGATAGCAGAATGGGATCTTACAATATGGAATTCGAGACGGGGTGTGGTGCCCTTGCCCTGGGACCCGCATGTGCCGATGCTCGCACCCTGGGGTTGCTTCAACTGTGAGCGACCATCAGATGTTTCCTTCGGGTGAGCGTGGGGCAGCAGCAGGGTGAGCGTACGGTGTGGCAGGCGGGCACCCGGGAGAGTGGAGGGCGAGAAGGAGGTGGAGCTGGCTGCATGTGCTTCCCTATCATACTCTGCTGCTGCATGGGTGTCTGAGGGGGATAGGGACAAGGCACCCTTCTTGTACCTGAGAGGAGGGGTGGGAAGGGATGAAGAGGGATGTGAAGGAGTGCTTGCGTCATATGTGGCTGCTTCACGAGCATCTGACGGGGTAGAGATAGATCGCCCTTCTTGTACTAGAGAGGGCGATTGGGTTGGAGTTGATGGTGCAGATGAAGGGAGAAGGATGAACAGGGGGTGAGCCCAGAAACGTTTTTGACTGGAGTCAGAATTATCCCGGCTATATCTGAGTCGCTTTTGAAAAATTCTCAAGAATCCCAGTTGCAATGGCACCTGTGAGAATGGAGTTGGAGAGGGATGCGACAACAAGCGATTCCATCCATCCCCACCCATCCAAACCCGTCCCAACACATCTCCGCCCATCCTCACCCATCCCCACTCATTCCCGCACATCCCTACCCATCCCCATCCATCCGAACCCATCCCCACACTTCCCCACACATCCCCACCCATCCCCACCCACCTCCACCCATCTTCACCTGAATCCAAGGTCGTGCTGTGGGAACAGCAGCTGCAGGCTCTTCCCCTCCTCCAAACTCCTCTGCACCGCTGCCAAACGCTCCCTCCCCACGGGATTGGATGGATTCAGGAGCCAATCAGAAAGCAGCAGCTGTCGTCCCACTGCTAGCCCTGCCTGTACGAGGGTTTGTTGGATCTGACGTGGCAGGAATTGACTGGCTGTTGAGGAGGAAAGGGCAGCTGAAAACAGGCTGGATGGAGGGGAGGGGGAAGGAAGAAAACGAGGGAAAGAGGGGGATGAGGAAAATCAAGGAAAAGTAGCGGAGCTGGCAATGTAGGGGCATTATATGCTGAATCCATTTTTTTGAGAATTTCCAGAAAAAGTAGCAAAGCTGGCTGGCAATGTAGGGGCAATGGCGCTCTCCGGCTCACAAAGGGGACGTGTCCTGTTACCCTCTCAGCACTCACATTCCTATCACGCATCTGGCAGCATTGGGTTCAAGACCCAAGGCTCTGGGAGTTGCCAGAGCAGACTCAAAGATGCTGACGCTGAGAGATGTGTTCCCCACGGCCACTGGCCGCCTCTCTGTTCCTCCGCCTATCACTGGGTATGGATGGACCCACCTGGCAGCGTTGGGCTCCAGGCCCAGAGCACGGGGAACGGCAAGAGCGGACTCAAAGTTGTCCATGCTAAGAAGTGTGTTCCCCACGGCCACTGGCCGCCTCTCTGCTTCGTATGAGGCGAGCAGGGCGGGGGAGGCGGTGCCTTGCAGCAGAGCGGCGAGCTTCCACGCGAGGTTGTGGGCGTCTTGAATGCCCGTGTTCATGCCTGGTGGGGTTCGATTGAAAGGTTGAAGGGGAGGGAAGGGAGGAAGAGGAGAAACGGATGGGAAGCGGTGCCTTGCAGCAGAGCGGCGAGCTTCCACGCGAGGTTGTGGGCGTCTTGAATGCCCGTGTTCATGCCTGGAGGGGGGTGGGTTGGGGGGGGGGGGGGGATGGGGATTCACAACCTGGCAGCGTGTTTAGGGTTTAGGGTGAGCAGCAGCCCTTAAGAAGGAGGCGGTCCCTTGCAGCACAGCAGCGAGCTTCCATGCGAGGTTGTGCGCGTCCTGAATGCCCGTGTTCATGCCTGGTGGGAAAATTGGGAAGCGAGAGGGATAGAGGGAGAGCAGGACACTGGCGCAGTGCCTTGCAGCACACTGGCGAGCTTCCATGCGAGGTTGTGTGCGTCTTGAATGCCCGTGTTCATGCCTGGTTGGTGGGAAGGGGTGGGGTGGGGGGGAGGAGGGATGGAGATTCACCACCGCGTATGAGTGGGGCAGCAGCCGTGGGAAGGGAGGCAGTGCCTTGCAGCAGAGCTGCGAGCTTCCATGCGAGGTTGTGCGCGTCTTGAATTCCCGTGTTCATGCCTGGTCGGGCAGGAGGAAGGGGGGGAGGGGAGGGGAGGGAAGGGAATGAGTGGTGGTGGGTAGAGTTGGGATGAGTGCTGGCGTTGGAACAGAGCCTTCAGCTTCCATGTGGGTTGTGTGCGTCTTGAACGCCCGTGTTCATGCCTGGCGGAAAGAGGGATTGAGGGGAGAAGCGGTGAGCTGGTGGGAAGCAGTGAGCTGGTGGGAAGCAGTGAGCTGGTGGGAAGCAGTGAGCTGGTGGGAGAGCACATCTCCTCTACAAATGTTCTAGTCGCCCTACTACAATTAGTCACTTCATGGCATCTGACATTGGAACTAGGCCTCTCTACACACGTACCGAAGCCTGCACCCCCCACTAGAATGACACGCGTGTTGTATTCCCCTCCACATGTGCTTGTCACCCCACTGCAAGTAGCCACTCTGTGGAAACTAGAAAGGGAGTTTGGTCTACATACATACATACACACATACCAAAGCCACCAGCAGGGGGAAAGCGGTGAGCTGCATCCCCCACTAGAATGACACGCGTGCTGTATTCCCCTCCACGTGTGCTTGTCACCCCACTGCAAGTAGACGGTGCTGGTGTCGGGTGGTGCGAAGCGGTTGGCGGTGGTGTAGCGAGGTAGTGTGAGGCGACTTGAGCGGCCATGATCCAGGGCTTGACAGAACAGATAGCGATGGGAATGGATGAATCCCCTATGAGTGCTCGCACCATGCGCTCACAGCCCTGGTGATTGGTGAGTGGGGACGGAGGACACGGAGGTGAGGAAATGGATGGGACAAGGGAAGGAGGCGACTTGAGCGGCCATGATCCAGGGCTTGGCAGAGCGGATGGCGATGGGGACGGAGGGGTCTCCTATCAGTGCTTTCACCATGCGCTCACAGCCCTGTGAGTGATCGACTGAAGGAAAGAATGTGAGACGAAATTCCTGCATACTTCAGTGGGGGCTCTTCCGTTAGTGCTTGCCTGCTCGCACCATGCACTCACATTCCTGTGTTGATAAGATGGGGCGGCAAGAGTAAGATAGAGGGGATTTGGATCAGCAGTGAAGCACAACCAAGGATGAAACGCATGCGTGAAGCAAATAGTTAAAAAGAACATTCTCCCTGGAAACTCAAGTTGCTTACCAAATTATCAACCCGTGTGAACTGTAGTATGCATCCCTGACGTTTTGCACGAGTCCAAACCCTGATAACAGAAGTTTTACCTTTGATTGGTGGAGGTGCCTTAGAAAATATGACCGAACCACTCATCTCCTTTGATCGCTTACATATAGCAATAAATTTCTCACTCCTAATTGACTGAGCTACCTTGAAACAAGAATCAGATCACTTACCTCTTGTGATGGCACATTCTTGCTGTCAGAGTAGAGAGGCATCTGGGATATGGGGAACCCAGGGGAGAATAAAAAGGATGAGCCACGTGAAAAAAGAGTAATTGCGAGACGTCCCAAAACCATTCTTGCTGTCCGAGTAGAGAGGAATCTGGGATATGGGGTGCCGCAGGGGAGATGCGACTTTCGAGAATTCTCAAAAGTCGCATCAATATGGGGAGCCGCAGGGAAGAACAAGAAGGAAGAGGCAATGCGATGTGGGCGGAATGGAGGGCTGGAGAGTAGGAGGCGAGATAAGAAATATGAGGAGAACGAAGAGAGTGGGGAGAATGAGGAGGGAGGGGGTATGGACGGATGCGAAATGCCACTCAACAATCCCCCTTACCCGAGCTGCTAAACGCTCTCAATCCCCTCGCATGAGCAACAAACTCCCCGTCTCTCAAGCAGTGTGCCACCACCACCCCCATGCCCTCTCTGTTGTACACGAAATAGAGCATGGCGGGGCGGGGCAGCGCAAGCAGTCTCAGCCCGAGGGAGCGCGAGGAGAAATGCACCGAGAGCACCCGCTGCAGCTGCCTGTGCCCCTGCATTGTCACTCGCTGCTGCTGCCTGTGTCACACAGTCATCTCACACTCTTCTTCTCACCTGGGCGACAAATTCTCCTTCCCTCAAGCAGTGCGCCACCACCACTCCTAAACCTTCTCTGTTGTACACAAAATAGAGCAAGGCGGGGCGGGGCAGCGCAAGCAGTCTCAGCCCGAGGGAGCGAGAGGAGAAATGCACCGAGAGCACCCGCTGCAGCTGCCTGTGCCCCTGCATTGTCACTCGCTGCTGCTGCCTGTGTCACACAGTCATCTCACACTCTTCTTCTCACCTGGGCGACAAATTCTCCTTCCCTCAAGCAGTGCGCCACCACCACTCCTAACCTTCTCTGTTGTACACAAAATAGAGCATGGCGGGGCGGGGCAGCGCAAGCAGTCTCAGCCCGAGGGAGCGCGAGGAGAAATGCACCGAGAGCACCCGCTGCAGCTGCCTGTGCCCCTGCATTGTCACTCGCTGCTGCTGCCTGTGTCACACAGTCATCTCACACTCTTCTTCTCACCTGGGCGACAAATTCTCCTTCCCTCAAGCAGTGCGCCACCACCACTCCTAAACCTTCTCTGTTGTACACAAAATAGAGCATGGCGGGGCGGGGCAGCGCAAGCAGTCTCAGCCCGAGGGAGCGCGAGGAGAAATGCACCGAGAGCACCCGCTGCAGCTGCCTGTGCCCCTGCATTGTCACTCGCTGCTGCTGCCTGTGTCACACAGTCATCTCACACTCTTCGTCTCACCTGGGCGACAAATTCTCCTTCCCTCAAGCAGTGCGCCACCACCACTCCTAAACCTTCTCTGTTGTACACAAAATAGAGCATGGCGGGGCGGGGCAGCGCAAGCAGTCTCAGCCCGAGGGAGCGCGAGGAGAAATGCACCGAGAGCACCCGCTGCAGCTGCCTGTGCCCCTGCATTGTCACTCGCTGCTGCTGCCTGTGTCACACAGTCATCTCACACTCTTCGTCTCACCTGGGCGACAAATTCTCCTTCCCTCAAGCAGTGCGCCACCACCACTCCTAAACCTTCTCTGTTGTACACAAAATAGAGCATGGCGGGGCGGGGCAGCGCAAGCAGTCTCAGCCCGAGGGAGCGCGAGGAGAAATGCACCGAGAGCACCCGCTGCAGCTGCCTGTGCCCCTGCATTGTCACATGCTTCAGCTGCCTGTGCCCCTGCATTGTCACGCGCTGCAGTTTCTGCTGACCCGCTTGCATAGTCACCCTCTCAGCTTCCTCCTTCCCCCCTCCATGCACTGACAGCACCCGCTGCAGCTGCCTGTGCCCCTGCATTGTCACCCGCTGCAGTTCCCCTTCCCCTTCCCCTCCCTGCCCCTGCATTATCAACGTCTCATCCTCTCCTTTTCCACCTGTTGCGGCTGGTCTTTGGGTTGTGTGAACGGGGACGAAACTCGTCGCCCGGATGCTGCTGTTAGCGCCATCGCAAGCAATTAGGTAGGAGCAATCAATTTCAAGGTTCGGGGGGAGAGGCGGAAGGGAGGTGAGAGGATGATGGCATTGGTGCTGCTGCTGATGCTGCTGCTGCTGCTGCTGCTGCTGATGTTGCTGACGGTGCTGCTGCTGCTGCTTCTGAGCCAGAGGTTCTTTTTCTGAGGACCCCAAATTCGGTGTAGCGTGAAGGCTGACTCTTATTGGCTTCTCAGATGCTGACCTTATAAAGGGGATGGTCCGGGAGCCGGTAGAAGGGTTGGAGGAGCAGGAATGGGAAGAAGTAGAGGAGGGAGAGGCAGAAGGAGAGAGAGAGGCAGAGGAGGAGGAGATGGGACTGGAAGGGTAATCAGAGATGGATTGGGTGGGAGAAGGAGATGGGTCGGGACTGGAGCAGGTGGAATTGCTCCGATGCAGCTGATTGGAGGAGCAGGATTCAACGTAGGAGAACGAGTCAGCAGAGTAGCCAAAGAGAGCTGGAGGCAGATGTAACCCGTCGCTCGGCGGAAACTCCGTATTCGGTTGTAACAGCTCCTGTTGTGGTGTCTTCTCCTGGTGCGGTGACTGGTTTTTATCTTGTGGTAACCACTTCTGCTGCTGAGAAAAGCGTGCGTCAGAGAGCGCCTGCTCCAGCAGCAGCGACAGCAGCTTGTTCTGCGAGAAATGCGCCACAGAGGCTGGGCTTATGTGTGATAGGCCTGCAGCAGGGGAGGAAGGGAGGGGAGAGGGGGGGTTTGGAGCACAGCCGTACGAACGAGGATGAAGTGAGGGAGAGATTGTGGTGCCAGCAGCAGCAGCAGCAGCAGCAGCTTGTTCTGGGAAAAATGAGCCATAGAGGCTGGGCTGATGTGCGACAGGCCTGCACATGGGGGGAGGTAAGGGAGGAGGAGATGGGGCAGAGGGATAAAGCGAGAGATGAATGAGCAGCGGCAGCAGCAGCAGATGCAGCTTGTTTTGGGGAAAATGAGCTGAAAAGGCGCCACAGGGCTAAGTCGATTTTTTAGTCGACTCAAAAATCGGCTTTTCTCTTTTGAGTCGTCGACTCAAAAGTTGACAAAGAAATCGACTTATCACACGAGCAGAAGCAGCTTGTTTGGGGGAGTGTGAGCCGACTCAAAGAGGCGGCACAGGGCCTGAGATGATACGCGACAAGCGGATCAGGCGTGTGCAGTGCACATGCAAGCACCAACCTCTCAACCCCTCTCAACCCCTCTCGTCAGACTTCCCATCTCCTCCCCTCCCTCCCTCACCTGCCTGCCCTTTGAAGTGATCTTGCTTCCCCAGCTCTCGCCCCACCATGTGCGTGCAGTGCAGAGCACAAACGACCGCCGCTCCTCTCAACCTCTCCCCGCCCCTTTCCACCCCCGTCCATATCCCCCTCCCTCACCTTCCTGCCCTTTGAAGTGGTCCTGCTTCCCCAGCTCTCGCCCCAGCATGTGAGTGCAGTGCACAAACGAGCGCCACTCCTCTAAAGGGGGCTGCTGAGCTGACTCGTGATGTGATTGTAAAGGGGGCCCATGAGGCGAAATATCTGGTGGGGCAAGGGAGAGTTGGATGGAGGAAAGAAGGGAAGGAGGGGAGTCCAAGAACGTGATGTGACTATAAAGAGGGGTCCAACTTCCAAGAGGGCTATCGCTAACCATCCCATGCAATTCCATGCCATGCCATCACAAGCCGTAAATCTTAACTTCAATTAACGCACCTCCATGGTTCTGTTGTTAATCAGATGTGCTGCGGGATGCTGCTGCAGCCCATGTGCGTTATTGCATCCACATGCGAATCCATCCACATGCCATCACATAAGCTTACAGCGATACACCATACACACACCCGTCTTACCTCCATGGTTCTGTTGTTGATGAGATGAGCTGCGGGATGCTGCTGCAGCCCATGCTCCCTCTCCACCACCACATTCCGAACGCCTGGAGAATGGGGGAAGGAGGAGAGAAGCTGAACGAGCCTTCATGCCTGCACGGCACCCTTCCTTCCCATACCCCTGCTGCGGCAGCCCATGCTCCCTCTCCACCACCACATTCCCAACGCCTGGTAACAGGGGGATGAGAATATGAGAGGAGGAGCGGGAAGCACAGCGTAGCGCATGAGTGACCTTGCTAGTGCTGCTGCGGGATGCTGCGGCAGCCCATGCTCCCTCTCCACCACCACATTCCGAACGCCTGGAAATAGGGGGATGAGAATATGAGAGGAGGAGGGGGAAGCACAGCGTATGAGTGACCTTGCTAGTGCTGCTGCGGGATGCTGCTGCAGCCCATTCTCCCTCTCCGCCACCACATTCCGAACGCCTGGAGAAAGAAGGGGGGAGAGAAGGAGAGCAGTTGAGAGAACTGTTCAGGCCTGCACGGCTCCCCTGCCTTGCTCTTGCTGCTGCAGCATGCTCCCTCTCCACCACCACATTCCCAACGCCTGGTTGAGGGGGATGAGAGGATGAGAGGGTGAGAGGATGAGAGGAGGAGGGGAGAGGAGGATAGGGAGTCACAGTCTATACAGCATACAAGGTCGGAAGGAGGAGGAGAGAAGCTGAGCGAGCCGTCATGCCTGCATGGACCCCTTGCCTTGATCCGGCTGATGCAGCTCACGCTCCCTCTTCCCCATCACATTTCAAACACCTGATTAACGGAAAATGAATATAAGGAGTCATAGCCTATTAGTAACCTTTCTACCAATTGCAGCAGCAGCAGCAGCCAATGCACACTCTCCACTCCACCGCCACTTTCCATAGGCCTGCTTATAACGCAAGCGTTTCTGTTCACTTAGGGGCCACAGCACGATGGAGAGGCAGGGACCCACAGGTATCGCCACCGGCACTGACGAGTCTGCTTATAACGAGTGGATTACAGTTCACCTAATCTCGAAAGCATGATGGAAAGGGAGAGCCCCACCGGTCCGGCTCCCACAATCACCACGGGCACCGACGCTCGCGCAACCGTTCCTCCGCCGTTCTTCCCGCCATCCCCTCCGTCAATCGCAGCCGTCGATCCAGCTGCCGACGAGCCAGCGGGGGCCGATCCAACGGCCGTGGATCCATCAGCGGTCGATCTGGCGCATAGCCCGCGCTCCGGCAATATGAATTTGTTATAGTAGCTGCGAAGACTGGAGTTCGATGAAAGGAGGAGAGGCCAAGATAAACGACAAGCATGGCGATGCGGAAAGCGAATCGCCAGGAACATAGCGAAACGGTTACCGTGCGAATGAATTGCGTCGGGTGAATCTGCGGGCACTTGGACACGAAGATTACTATGTACACGTGGCAACCTTAAAATGCTGCGAAAGAGGGTTGATGGACTGCGTGTCATGCGTTGCGAGGGATGTGAAGGAATATTATGGAGAGCACTACGACGGCGAGAGAGATTCTGCTTATGGGAATGATGTTGCGCTAGGAATTCGGTAGCGTTTGGGTAGCGTTGGTCTCAAATGACTAAGTGAGAATTTGAGTAGAGATTGGACTTCACTAGGAAAATAGAATATATGAAACACACAAGCAAACACAAACATATAAAGGCAAGCAAGCGTTCACAAAAGGTAGCGAGGGCGCTGCGAGTAACCCAACCCACACGAAAGTGCTGTGGGAGTTGGCGAACGCGCCCCGCCAAACTTCCATCCAACTCAGCAGCGAAAACCTTCCGAGCACGCAACTCCATCCGACTCAGCTTGGGAGTGGCGTGCCTCATAAGGAAGCACACAAAGACTCCCACGACTCTACTTCCCAGCACCGACTTCAGCAGATTCCTTACTGCAGCTCGCATTCACCCGTAGTCACACTTGACTGCCATCGAACCTGTGCGACGGTGCCGAGTAGACCAGGTCGTCGGTCGTCAACCTGCCAAGTCTAACATGGCAGCTTCCTGCTTCCTGCAGCTGCAGCTTCCTGCGCTTGACCATGTGCTGCAGCCACATGTGACGACGCTCCATGTGCTTGAGGCTCCCCTTGAGCCCCATGCCACCTGCCACTGAAATGGCGGAGGAGTTGTCCACAAAGAGAGTAGTGGGAACCTCACTCCTCAGCAGTTGAAACTCTGCCAGCAGGAAGCGCAGCCTACGCGCCTCCTTCCCCGCCTCCACAGCAGCAACGTACTCAGACTCAGTGGAAGAGAGGGTGGCGCAACGAATCCTCTGGCTCGCCCACGAGACAGCAGCACCTCCGAGCACGAAGACATAGCCACCAGTGCTAGTCCTGTTCTGCTTGTCTCCCGCATCATCCGCATCGGCATAGCCCACCAGCTCCAAGGACTCAGGCCCACCACCAAACTCCAGCGCAACATCCCTGCTCCCCACCAAGTACGCCAAGCACCGGTCCAACTCCTTCCAGTGCTGGTCACTCCGCACAGTCTGGCCTGACCCCAGCTTGCTGCAGGCAAAGGAGATGTCGGGACGAGTGGTACAGGCTGCGAACTGCAAGGATCCCACCTTCTGCCTGTACTCCTCCTCCTGGCGAGACTGCCATCCCGCATCCTCAAAGGTCTGCACACTGAAAGGGTCAGAGGAAAGGGGGGTGCGAGGCACTCGCAGCGGCTGCTCCCCGTCGAAGAAGCGCCTATGGACCTTGTCCACGTAGGCCCCCTGGTGCAGCCACAGCCTCCTCGTAGGCCTGTCCCGAATCAGCTGCAGCCCCAGGTACTTCTCCACAGGGCTAATCTCCCGCAGCTGAAACGCACTCTGCAGCAGCTCACGTAGCTCCCCCAGCATGCTCTGACTGCGGCTGGCAGCAAGCAAATCATCCACATACACCAGCAGCCAGCACATCTCCCCGTCAGCATCACTCTTGAAGTACAAAGCCTCATCCACTTTGCTCTTCTTCCATCCAGCCCCAAGCAGCACCCCATCCAAGGCCTCATACCACAGCATCGGGCTTTGCTTGAGGCCATACAGACTCTTCAACAACTTACAGACACGAGGAGTCCCATCCTCGTAGTAGCTCGGCTGCTCCATGTACAGGTCTCGGTCCAGCACGCCATGGAGGAACGCATTCTTCACATCTAGCTGCATCAGCTCCAAGTCAAGTGCAGCTGCGATCGCCAGAAGTACGCGCGCCGTCACATAGCTTCCCACGGGGGCGTACGTCTCCTCATAGTCCACCCCTGCCACCTGCGTGAACCCCTTCACCACCAGCCGCGCCTTCTCACGCTCCACTACCCCATCAGGTCGGAACTTGGTGTTCAGGATCCAGCGGTTCTTCATCACATTCACCCCTGGCGGACGCGGAACCAACTCCCACGTCCCCTGCTCAATCAAGCTCCGCATCTCCTCATCCATCGCCTCCTTCACCTTGTCGCCCTTCCAGCAGCCCAAGGCCTCCTTCACTGTCATCTTCGCTATATCCCACTGCCTCTCAGGGTCAGCCACCACGTCAGGGTCCAGGTCCGTCCACTCTTCGTCCTCCTCCTCGTCATCCAATCCCGCCGGCTCAATCACTAAAGCCCAAGCATACTTAAGAGGCGGGATACCACGGGTGATGCGAGTGGAGCGACGCAGTGGCGCAGTGATCGTCCCAGAAGCCAACACACGACCACCATCTCTGATTCCCCACAGCTCCTGCTCCCCTGTCTGCGGCTCCCCTGTCTGCTGCTCCTCTAGCTGCTGATCCACCATCTGCTGCTCCTCAATCTGCTCCTCCCCTATCTGCTGCTCCCCACTCTGCTGCTCCCCTAACTGCTGCTCCCCTCTCTCCTGCCCCCCACTCTGCTGCACTCCATCCATACTGCTCTTGTCTTGCAGCTGCTCAGTCTCAAGGCGCTGCCCGTCGGTGATCTCCACAGACGGTGGCACCACTATCCCCCCCTCACCAACGGGCGGCGCCGTGGAAGATGAAGAGGAGGGTGGAGCAGGTGCAGGAGGGATGGAGGGTGGAAGGGGAGAGGGAATAACAGGAGGAGGAGGGGAAGCCAAGGGGGGTGAGGATGAAGAAGGTGGGGCAGGGGGAACCACACGAGGGTAAACTGAAGGCGGAGGTGGGGTGGGGACCGAGGTAGGGACATAGGGCATAGCAGGAGGTGCGACCACCTCCTCCTCTGCCACCGCCTCCTCAAGAGTGATCGGGAAGAGGGAGGGAACGGGCTCATAGGGCATCGGACGCCCCGCATGCTCCTGCTGGTGCCAAGCCTTCCATCCTGCCAGGGACATGGTCTCATAGAACACAGCTTCCACAGTGGTGATGAGGCGGTTGGACTCCAAGTCCAGCACGGTCCAGCCCTTGCTCGCTGCGGACACCCCCAAGTGCAACCCCCAGCGAGTCTTAGGTGCCAGCTTCCCCCCCCGCTGCGACTGAGGCAACATGTACTGCACCATGCAGCCCCATACCCGCACCATACTGACATCGGGTTTGTGTCGAAAGGCGAGCTCGTACGGCGTCACACCAGAGGGCAGCGAGGCGTGCTCCACGCGGTTGCGCACCCAGACGGCCTGCGCCAACGCCAGGTGCCACCAATGATGCTGTACACCCATGTGCAGTAGCATCGTCCGCACCGCCTCCACAATGCTGCGCATCTCCCTCTCGGCCATCCCGTTCTGCTCCGGCGTGTACGGGCACGTGAGGTCATGGATGATGCCTTTGCCGTCGAGGAAGAGCGTGAAGTCATGCCCCAGGAACTCGCCACCCCGATCAGTGCGCAGCGCCTGCACCGTGGTCTTGCACTGCCGCTCTGCCATCGGGAGCCACTTCTGAAACGCCGCCAGCGCATCACTCTTCTGAGCCAAAGGGTAGGCCCAGACGTACCGCGACTTGCGATCCTTCAGCACCAGGAAGTAGCGGCTGCCGTCCTTAGCTGTTTCACGGAAAGGGCCACACAGGTCAGCATGCACCACCCCAAGCAACTCATCCTCCTCCGCACCCACTGGCGGGAAGGTATGACGAGTGATCTTCCCCCCAACACAGGAGACACACGGTATGCCTGATTTGCCCCCCTTCTCCAGGTCCAAGCCCTTCACTGACCCGTGAGACGCAGTGCGCTCGATGGCATCAATACCAACGTGTGCCATACGCGCATGCCACATGTCCACCTTAGACCGCACGCCCGTCGTCAAGGTACGAAGTGCCACCGTTTCGCCTTCCTGCTGCTGCGACAAACACGGTTGGAAGTTCGTGCAGAGAACACGCCCCTTGTACTCTGCACGCCCAAGAAGTGACCCATCTGGTGCCCGCAGCAGAGTCACGTCGCCTGCATCCAGCAGTTGCACACCACTATCACGCAGCTGCCCAGCAGAAAGAAGACTCGCCTGCACTCCAGGTACGTACAGCACGTCAGACACCAAGAGACGCCTGCCCCCTTCTCCAAGAAGAGCGACTGTGCCTCGCCCCTGCACGTCCTGAAGCGCGCCGTTGAAGCCTTTCACTTGTTTGATACTACCGCCGCTGCTCATCTCCACAAAGGCAGAACGATCTCCCATGAGATGGTGGGAGCATCCACTATCAAGTAGCACGACGCTCGGGTTCGCCTTCACAGCAGCTGCAAGAGCCTGTAAGCCCTCCCCGGCCTCAGGCTCCAGCACGACAAGAGGAGTCTGCTCTACAACGGGCTTCACCATCGCACATGATGACTGCCCGCTCCCCTTAGAGCCATCGTCCCCCTTGCCACTCGCGCCGCTGCCTCCAGAACCCTCTCCACCCGTGTCTGCCTCCTTATCCGCCCGCTGCTGACAGTACTTAGCAACATGCCCTGTCTGTCCACACACGTAGCACTTCCCCTTGAAGCCACCTTTCCCCCCCTTTGGCGGACCATCCTTAGCCCCTTTCCACTTCTCTCCTCCACCTCCAACCCCACCCCCAGTCTTAGGCTGCTGCTGCTGTGCCGTAGTGGGAGGGGAAGGGGATGAAGTCTGCTGGGATTGGGGCTTACCCTTCTTGGTAAAGACCTGGTTGGCCTGGGGAAGAAATTGGTCCTTCCGTCCCTCCGCTGCCAGCGTACACTCCTCCTCGATAATGTAGCTAGCGAGGGTGTCCTCGTCCAACTCCTTGCGTACCTGCGGCAGCTTCAGCATCCTGCGTAAGAGGTTGTACTGCTGCGGCAACCCCTTCACGACGTGAGTAATGTACGACGCCTGCGAGTAATCGACGCCGGCCATCCTCAGGTTCACTAGGATCTGCTGCGCACGGTTGCAATAGGACGTAGCGGACTCGTGCTCACCCATCTCGAGGTTAGTGAGCGCCTGCTCTAACTGACCGATGTACAGATCGTCCTTCGCCATGTACGTGCGCATAATAAACTGCCATGCCTGATAGCCGGCATCTACCTTCATGCGACACCCCTTAAGGGCAATCTGTACGGTTGGGGAGCAGCATCGGGAAATCGTGGTGAACGTCAGTAACTGCATTGCGCGGAACTGAGTGAGATGCGCAACTGCCTGCGTTGGTGGAATAGGAGTGGTACCGTCAATGAATCGCTTTAGTTGAGCGATCTCAAGCTGCGGCTCGATCGATTCTACCCACGTCGATAGGTCGTGGCGTCCTTCGAGCGGCTTAGGCACGACGATTCTGTCTGGAGTGAATTTGAAGTAGCCATAGTTGGGGGCTATTCCCTCATCCCTCGACATCGATCCAATCGGGGTAATGCCCGGCATAGCTCCACTATCGTACTCCTCCGCATTCCCTCCTCCAGCAGCGCTCTGTCGTCCTAAGTTCGTACGCTCGTGTGACGCCGCCGCACGATGAACACGCTCCTGTACACCGCCGACGCTAGTCGTACTAAACCGAGTTGGTCCTCGCAGGACCCCACGCGACATCAACCCATCAACCTCCTCGTCATCGTCACCTCCGTCATTGACAGCCATGTCCCACGCACTAGTGCCTCCCGCAGCTTGCTCTACATGTGGCGAGGGATGATCGCGACGCTGACGAGAGCGTAATCCCTCCAACATGAGCTCGTAATCTACATTACTAAGCTCGCCACGGGAACGACGTGCCACGAGCTCCTCCTCTAGTGCGCGAAAATTAACGGCCTCAACGTCCGCCTCCTCCGAACTCATCCTCTACGACGCCTCGATAAGGTGCCACAAATTAAAATAAATTGTTCCTTCCTTAAATCCCTCGTCTCGGGGTCACCTCACAAGGGTCCTCAGACGAGTGGTAATAAATTACCAAACGCCCTATCCTTGGGTCCGAGAACGTAACTGGAGGGAAATTAAGAGAGGTTCAACTTAATTTAATATGCGCCCTTCACTAACGCCGCACGCCAAGGCGAGTTTACGAACGCTAAGAAAGTCGACGACGGAATTCTATGCGTGTTCGTTCCACGCTCACCGCACCATGAAGGAATATTATGGAGAGCACTACGACGGCGAGAGAGATTCTGCTTATGGGAATGATGTTGCGCTAGGAATTCGGTAGCGTTTGGGTAGCGTTGGTCTCAAATGACTAAGTGAGAATTTGAGTAGAGATTGGACTTCACTAGGAAAATAGAATATATGAAACACACAAGCAAACACAAACATATAAAGGCAAGCAAGCGTTCACAAAAGGTAGCGAGGGCGCTGCGAGTAACCCAACCCACACGAAAGTGCTGTGGGAGTTGGCGAACGCGCCCCGCCAAACTTCCATCCAACTCAGCAGCGAAAACCTTCCGAGCACGCAACTCCATCCGACTCAGCTTGGGAGTGGCGTGCCTCATAAGGAAGCACACAAAGACTCCCACGACTCTACTTCCCAGCACCGACTTCAGCAGATTCCTTACTGCAGCTCGCATTCACCCGTAGTCACACTTGACTGCCATCGAACCTGTGCGACGGTGCCGAGTAGACCAGGTCGTCGGTCGTCAACCTGCCAAGTCTAACATTTCGCGAGGGCCCTTGCTGTCGTAGGGCCCTCTAACAGGATGGCGATCGCGGAGTGACGGTGAACCTGGGTTGTGGAGAGCAAGCGACGCGAGGGGGGGGTGGAGGAGGAAGGGAAATGCGTTCCCTTACCTTGGCTACGGTTTAGTACGATAACGTGGGCTACAATACGAGAACTACTATGTTCATCCATTCTCCATACTGACAAAACTCTATATATCGTATAAATGAGCCACGAGAAGGTTTATCAAAGACACCCTAAACCACCGTATTTGAAATTGTGGGAACACGTGGAGGGTGAACCCAGCGTCCCCTGTAGGTTGATGTGGAACGGTACGGCTTTGCGAACAAAGTGAACGTAGACCACATCTTCCTGGTAACAAGGTGCCATTGTGGTCAACCGTGATGAGCTGTAAACAACGAACATTAGCGACTGTACAAAAGTTACATGCTTATTCTTGCTGTTCTTAGTACTGGGGTTCGCTATGCTCCGCTTACAATTGCTGGGGACGTGAAAGGTGGTCCGCATTTGGTTCCACATTTGGTTCCACATTATTCGAGCGTGCCACGGAAGGGATTCGCACCTTCATCCCTCGCCGTTCAAGATTGGAAGACCGGTAAGATTACCGTTCAAAACACTTGTTTTAACGGCTCACGAAATTCGCTGGATGGAAGCCAACCCCGGAACGGCTGCAATGTCTGGAATTTTGGAATTCTGGCGACGGTGGGAAATATGTCGACGGTTTGCTTGCAAGCCCAGCAGAGATCAACGAACCGACATGGATAGGTCGGTCGGTCCGAGCTGGACTATCTCGTCGCAAACTTTCCAAGCACGTTCAATGGAGCGGCCTTCGAAGAAAGTCACACGCCGCCAAACGACGAGTCCACAGCACAGATCATACGACGTACCGTGGGTCGCACAAGGTCAGATGCGATCATGGTACGACTAATCCACCTTCCATCCACCCTACAATACAACTCGTAGTCCGTACGATTGGCCTAGGGTGACGAGGACGACAGACCTACGATTGTCTGTGACTGCGTGGTAGACCTGGTCAACCCTCCTCAGGTCATCCGAAGAGCGACTGCTCGACATTCAACGCTTGGACCTCACGCACGCGATCTCAGCCGTCGGTAATCAAGCCATGCAAACACACTGGTCGGGATGCGACTCGTCGAACAAACATTGCAGCTGTTGAAGTATTCCAAATTCGTTTGCTTCCACCATCCACAAATATTTGAATTCCCTCACCGTGGAAAATTCAATCGTTCCTCGTTGCTCTTCATTGCTCTTTAGCCGTGAATGATATAGCTGAAATTGTCAGCAAATTCGACCATCACAGACAAACATTTGATTGCAGCGATCTGACAGTAACATCGCCAACTCATTCAAGACCATAGAAACAGCCCCTTCATCAAATACCGTTATGGCGAGAAAGTGCACCCTCCTTATTGTGCTTCTCCTGCCTCTCTTCGCCCTTCTCCTACTCTATCCTCTCCCCGCTGCCACAGCTCTCCCCGCTTCTCGTGCCCGTCGATCACTCCTAGGTCGCCTGCTAAAGCCTCTGATTCACCGCTTCGACAGTCTCAAGGCTGGGCGGGGCTTAGAAGCCGATCGCAGCGACGAAACTGCTGCTGCCACGTGGAGGGACATGTACCAACAGCAGCTGATTTCGAAAATCGAGCCGTCAAACGACAAGAAACTGCTCGCTGCGTTTGAGAATTCCAATGACGTACTCCTCGTTCCGACGGATCAAGGAGTCGCGGCGCAACCGCCGCCGCAGCATGCGGCCAAAAAGCGGGTAACAGAGTCGACTTTGATTGAGTCGATTGCAACCGCCGCGCCCACCGCTGGCGCCGTCGGAGCTGCACCCGCCGACGCTACATCATCCATATTCAACACGGATTCGTCCGTTTCAGCCGCCACCGACACTCCGATCGGTTCTACTTCTGCCAACGAAGTTGACTCAAAGGTAACAGCTGCCGGCGCGACTCTTACAACCATTCCGCGCCGCTCCATGATCGCGTTTGCACCCGCACCGCCCCCAGCATACAACGGGCCATCCAACCGCCGCAGCATGATGAGCCGCCAGCTGCGCGGTGGCCAGGGTTCTCCGCGACGGTCAACGCTCGACTCGACTAAAACTAATCCCGCTTCTGCTCCTGCGTCTGAGCCGTCCGTTCACGGCCGGTCCATGCTCGAATTTCCCGGGAATCAGATCAATCATGCGCCCAGCAGCCATGCTCTCGCCAGCGCGCCTTGCCCAGGAGGTCCCCCCCAGAGCGGCGGGGGAGGTTCCGCCCCGTTCCCCCTCGCGTGCCCGAACCCTGAACCCACCGCGATGTGCGATTTCGTGTTCGACGGATCGATGGACAAGATCCCGACCATCAAGCTCCCTTCGTTGGTGACGGACGCACCACTCGATATTACTCCATCCGATATTGTGACAGTCGTTGGCGGTACATACTTGGAGGAGGCTACAGCCAATACATCTGCGCTGGTTTGCTCCGCAGAAGCTGCGAAAACGAAATCCGAAGACGTTCCTCTACAATTTCCGGACGGCATTTTCGAGATGCGCGATTTAAACGCGCTCGTGTACAACGGGCAACTGATGAAAGAGTTTCTCGCCGGCGGAAATGACTGGGCGAACGCGTTCCGCGCCGATGCTGCGGGGAAAGACGGCGCGCTTGTACGCGTTCAGATCGAATCCGCTATCTTGAACGTCTACGGGACGGAGACTAAGGTCGGCAAGGGTGCAAAGAATGGCCCATCCGGCTCAAATCTCGGCGGCGGCTCCGGAGTGAGTGGTAACGGCGAGGGGGATTTTATGGGTGTTCAATACTTCCCTTATGAGAGGCTCTGCGTGATGTTTCGGGTGAAGCTCGCTTGAGGTGCCTGTGGTGGTATACTGCGCGACCCGAAGTTCGTGTGGATAGCGTGAACCACTGTCATGTACATCTGGCTTCACTAAGCTACACTGCAACGTACATCTCCCTATACTTATAAGGTTTAGGAAGACACCCTGCTTGTCTGACTGGTTCCAATTCTCAAACCTAGGAAACATGGGTTTGGATACTCGTTACCTGATCAGCAAGGGGCAAGTTTTTGGAGAAGAGGAGAACGAACATGCTTATTACCCGTATACTTACACGTAAAGGATACACTTTATTGTTATGTACATTGATTGTCCATTCTCATGTATAATGAGCTTTACTAAGAGCGTATTCCTATCCTCGTATCAATTGGTACCTCATATCAAGAATGTACTTTTTGCCTGGTAAAACTAGCGAGAGGTTTTGGGTTTAGGGGAATTTTCAGTGGGAGGTTGACATGAGGTATTCTTGATATGAGGATAGGAATACGCTCCTTGTTTCAACAGTATGGTGTTCTAACCGCATCTCCTCATCATTCCCTCATCATGCACCACTTACTTTTTATAGAAAAGTAAAACAAAAAAAATCAAGTGGGTTGGAAGAATAAAATGGGGTTGTGCCAGAAACCCAAAATGTACCTAGAATTCATACGGCTCCACCTGCTGAGTTCTCTTCCATGCATCCCTCCCCGATATTTTCGCCCACCATCTGCTCACGTTCGGGCGGCTCTCAATCAAATCAAATCCCCCTGCGGCCGGCAAAAGCTCCGTAAAAGGCAGGTGGGTCAAATCTGCGAGAGTAAAAGAGTCTCCGACCAAGTAGTCCCCCCCTTCCAGATGCTTCTCGTATATGTCCAACACCTTTGATAGCTGTATGCATGAAGGAAGACGAACAGAAGGTGGGAAGGGAGGGGTTGAGGCAGGTGGGTCAAGTGTGTGGGTGAGAAAGTGTTTCCGACTACATGATCCCTTTCTTCCAGATGCTTCCCGTATAAGTCTAACACATGAGAAAGCTGTATGCATGAGGAGGAAGGAGAAACGCAGGTGGGAAGGGTGGGAGCGGGTGAGGCAGGTGGGTCAAGTGTGTGGGTGCAAGTGTTTCCGACTACATGATCCCTCCTTTCCAGATGCTTCTTGTGTCAGACCAACACATGAGCGAGCTGTATGCATGGGGAGGGAAGAAGAAAAGCAGGAGGGAAGAAGAAAAGCAGGCAGAAATAATAGCAGGAGGGAAGAATAATAGCAGGCGGGAAGAATAATAGCAGGCGGGAAGAATTATAGGAGGAGGGAAGAAGAAAAGCAGGTGAGAAAAAGAAAAGAAGGTAAGATGGAGTGGAAGGAGGGAGGGCAGGCAGATGGGTGAAGTGTGTGAGAGTGACAGAGTTTCGCGCTACGAAGTTCCTCTCTTGCAGAAGATTCTTGTATATGTCCAACATTTGCGATAGCTGCGTGCAAAAGACAAAAAGCATTTGGGAAGGAAAACGGCATGTGGAGAGAAAAAAAAAAAGCAACAGAAACTAGTCAGCTAAAGGGCGCTTCTGAGGAATTCCCGTAATTTTGCAAGTTGACTAGCAGGGTGTTTCTGTAAGGGCTCAGATACAATATAATCTCCTCTCCCCATTACTTGTCCCCTTCCTACTCTTTCTCGCACCTACTCCATCTCCCCTTGCTTCCTTCCATCTCCCCTCATTGCAAGAACGCTCGGGGAGGTGGGGCTTGTGCATTCAACGGTACACCACAGAACCATCACATCTCCCCTCCCTCCCTCATTTTTGAGAATTCTAAAAAACCATCACATCTCCCCTCCCTCTCTCATTCCACCCATTCCTGCATTTCCTCTCCTCTCACCTTCTCTCTTGCCTTGTTTGTTCCATCTCTCTTCATTACAAGCACGTTTGTGCCGATGCGGTTTGAATACCCTCACATACACCAGAATCATCACCGTTGGAGAAATTCCCAAACACCCTTCTCTTTTCCATCCTTCACTCACTTTCTCTTTTTCATAGCATAGCATAGCGTTGCGAGGACGCTTGTGCAAGTGGGGCTTGAACACCCTCTCGTAGAGCAGAATCATCACACTCTCTTTCAGCCCTTACCCTTGATTTACTCACTCCTTCGTCTCCGGTCTTCTCACCTTCTCCCTTGCCTCCTTCCATCTCTCTTCGTCGCAAGGCCGTTTGTGCAGATGAGGTTTCAACACCCTCTCATACACCAGAACCACCTCCCCTCTCCATCCTTCTCCTCTACTTTCTACTCATCTCCTCTCCTCTCACCTTCTCCCTTGCTTCCTTCCATCTCTCCTCATCGCAAGGCCGCTTGTGCAGATGAGGTTTGAACACCCTCTCATACACCAGAATCATCACTGGCGGGGAATACGTATGCCCCTCAACGTCTATCCACTGATTCACCAGTGCTCGATCCTGAGAGATGACAGAAATGACATGAGAGATGAAACAAGGGTGGCGTGGAACATGCATGCATGAGGTTTGAACACCCTCTCCAATCGAGAGCCATCACGTCTCTGCATAGACGGTGGGTAAACGTATGCCCCTCAACGTCTATCCACTGATTCACCAGAGCTCGCTCCTGAGACATGACATTAACGGGGTGTACAAATAGGGTATGAACACCCGCTTATACATCGGAACCATCACCAGAACATACGTGCGATCTAATTTGCACAAACACATTCTCTCTCGTAGACCGAAATTATGACAGGGCATCCCGAGGAAGGAGGAGGTGTGCCTCTCGACATCACTAGTGCTCTTTCATGGGAGAGAACTTGGGTTGAGTCCATGATGTTGCGGGGTATTTTTGAGAATTCCAAACAAGAAACATCAAGGAGAGAATTCTCAAAAACACCCTGCAACATAACGGAGGAAAGGAGGAGGTGTGCCCCTCGGCATCACCAGCGCTCTTTCACGGGAGAGAACACAAGCGGGAGGGGGAGGGTGCATAGGAGATCGGCTGCTGATGAATGGTAGAGAATGGGACAAATTCGAACCACAGCAAGAGGGAAAGTGCAGTGCAGTGCAGACAATGCAAGCACCACTTATAAATGCAAGAAAAAAAGTGCATACAGGAAAAAGCGGCAGCGGATGTATGCATACCGACAGGGGGCTTGAACACCCTCTCGTACACCAGACCATCACAGGGATAACGTGTATCCGTGCTCCTATTGAGGCGCCTCAAACGCCTTGATGCACTCATGCCACACACGGGAGAATGAAAAAAACAGGAAACGTGCTCTCGTGCTCCCAATTATACGAAAATTTGCCACCCAACCTACCCAACCCAACCTGACCCAACCTAACTCTGGAAGAGCGCCTAAGCAACAGGAAACACGCACTTGGGTTACTCGGTCATTCCCTTGCGAGCAGCATGCCACACAAGACAACCCACCATAAGCGACGTGTATGAAGTAATGTTTTGAGACGTCTCAAAGCAGCATGCCACACAAGACAATTCACCATAAGCGTTTCTCCCAGGAGGTTGGGCCCCCGGTCCTTGTGCTTGTCAGCTATGTATCTCATAAGTGTGCGAGACTCTGGAAGGGTCATGGGGGCACAAAGGGGGAGAGGGAGAGGAAGTCTGCTCGTTGTGCTTCTCAAACATGTGGAGCAGGTCTGAGGAGCAATGGCCGCCACTCCTTGTGCTTGTCCGCTACATATCTTATGAGCGCGCGGGACTCTGGAAGGGGCACGGGAAGAACAGAAGAGTGGGAGAGTCCGAGCCTTGTGCTTTTGAGACATGGGCAGGTCTGGGAGGTACCGAAGCACGTCCTTGTGCTTGTCCGCTATGTATCTCATGAGCGTTCTGGACTCTGGAAGGGACACGGGGACACACACGGGGGGAGAGAGAGAGGAAGTTGTGTGTATCAAACATGGGGAGCGGGTCTGAGGGACACGAGCCCCCAGTCCTTGTGCTTGTCCGCTACGTATCTCATGAGCGTGCGAGACTCTGCGAGAACAAGGGAAGAGGGGGGGGCAGGAGAGATTGAAGATCAGATGAAGAAGGATATGAAGGACTCTGAGTTGTGAAGGGAAAAATCCGTCCCACCAAGCACAGAATCGGAACCAGAAGCGATGAGACTAGAATTCCCCGAACCACAAATGCCGATCTTAGAACACTCAGCTTGATTTACCAACAGCGAACGAACGACATGACCATCCGTGTTGCACCTTCACCCACAGGGATTAGGGTTTGTGCAACGGGAAGAGATGATGCACGAACGAGGCAGCTATGCTACGCTACGCAGATGTGTTTTGCAAGGAAGCATGCAGGGCACGCCCCCTTGCATCGCATCACCCACTTGAAAAATTTGGCTTCGCTCCTGACAGAGTTTTTGACACCGCGTTGCACCAAACTGGAAAAAAGAAAAGTGTAAAACAGGGTCTTATGGGCTGCTTGCACTTGACTGATGCGCTTGTGATGTGATGTGATGTGTCTGTCATACTCACGAGATAACATCACACGTGCCTGATAGATGAGTACCCCTCCCTGCTTGGTGACCTTTGAGTCGACTCAAAAGTCACCTCGTTGTGATGTGCCTGTCATTCTCACGAGATCACATCACATGTGCCTGATAGATGAGCACCCCTCCCTTCTTCATCTTGTGTCACCTACCGTAAATGACGTGCCCATCATCCTCGAGAACCGGGATTCGCGCAAAGGGCTGAGGACGCACAGAGGATAGGGAAGGACAAAGGAGAGGGAGGGGAGATGGAGGGAAGGAGAGAGATACTTATTAAGGAGATGCGGTTTGTGTGAATGGTGAATCGGAGAGGAAGAAGTGGGGTGGGGGAGTGGGACGGAGGTAAGGATGTCCGTTGAGCCAAACCAAAGGACACCAGGTGAAGTGAAGTGAAGGGAGCCACTGAGCCAGAATACTGCAGAGCAGAGGTCAAAAGGCTGTATTGAAATCACTTTTGAGAATTCTCAAAAGTATTTTCATTATGACACCAGGTGAAGTGAAGGGAGCCATTGAGCCACAATACTGCAGAGCAGAGGTCAAAAGGCTATGGCGCCAAAACACCTTGAGCCAGAATTCTTAGAGAAGGCAACAATCTCAAGGTGGCTGAAAAGGCCAACAGCCAGGACTTTTAGAGTGGAAAGCCTCCTGAGGCTGCTTCTGAGGCGCTTAAAAAATCAGTCAGGACGTCCATAAGGGGGAGAAACCTGAGCCTGAAGCATGTTTTGAGATGTCTCAAAAGACGCCTCCTGAGGCTGCTTCTGAAGCGCTTGAACAATCAGTCAGGATGTCCATAAGTGGGGAGCAACCTGAGCCTGAAACAAACCAGGCAGGCGGCCTTAACAGTCAGCAGGAGATCCCAAGGCCTGCAAACAATGGAATCACCTGTATTTTGAGGAATTCGGGTGTCTTGGTGCCGCCTGTGAGTGGGCTGACCGGAATGTGCACGAAATCCTGTACGATAGGGTTACCAGATGCACGGACGGTAGAAAACACAAAGAATATAATAATTGTATAAATGGACGATACAATTGTGCACTTGCGAGATCGCACCTCCAACATCATTGCAGCTGGAAATTCTTATTCCAGTTATTACTATCATTCCTTAACGCACTACTCTCGCCGCGACGGCTAACCCGGCGCATTCTCACACGCCCCCAATCCCATGTCGTGAAGCGTGACGATCCCTCCTCTCTTGTGCGTTTGAGACATGCTAACATGCATTTCAAGTCTGGAGTGGATTATTAATTCCTGCTCAATTCACGCATTCCAATCCCTTCTCGTTCAGCATCATGCTACTCGCGTAGATGTTATTACTGTCTATAAACTCACTATCTCTTAATCTTCGTACCTCCACTCCCATCTCGTAAAGCGTCATGATCACGCGTCGCGTGTACGGCGAAATCGCCGTGCCGTGAAGCACCAGCTTCGGCATCTCGACGGTCCGATTTCACGTCAGCTGGCTAAACGGATTGCGATTTGTCGGCAGGGCGGCCAGACTGACGATCAAAAAAGCCTCCCAGGTCAGGAGACTCGGACGACCGAAGGAATCAGTGTGGGCTGGTGACAACTGACGCGGGGAAGCGCAGCACACCCTCGATGTACCCTTTATGGGCATGTCCTCGAAATGCTTGGTGCGCGTTGAAATGCAGAAGGTTGAAGACGGACTAGATATGTTAACCAATTCCAGACTTGTAAAACAGTGTAGCCTACCACGATTGTACAACAGCGTATAATTATATCTAGTATTTTCCAACAGGCCAACAAGGCAATATTAATCCTTAATCAACTTGTTCCCTTACAGTCCAAAAGCAGTGTTTCTCCCATTTCCACCCTCTGCCACCCGGCTGCCTCAAATGGTTGCCAAGCAGGCAAGGGAGGCAAGGCCGAGGCAATCTCTTTGTACTCCATATAGACTTCCTCGTGCCACGAGTCTGGCCAGCTCCGCATGCCCTGTTCTACGGTAGCCGCATACGGGTTACAGTTATTGCTGTTATGGACAGTGTTGCTGTTATTTCTTCTGTTATTGCTGTGCGGGCTGTACAGAAGAAGTGAAACTGAGGCTTTCCATGTCAGCAGCGCCTTCATCCACTTTAGAAGCTGCTCCTTTGCAGGGCTGTGGCTTCTACTTTCTGCATGCGTGTCAAAGGGAGGGTTGCAAGAAAAATGACAGTATGTCCCAAGTTTATAAGAGAATCTCCGTTCGTACTGCTTATTCAAGTGTGCATATGTTACATCTCACAATACCGAAGTGCACCCCCTTCACACACCACACAACCACCACCTACCTTGCAGCCAATCAATGAGCCTCAACTGCCTCCTCAACAACTTTTATCCCTTCACCCCCTTCCATCGCACAATACCGAACTACACCCCCTTCACACGCCACACACCCACCACCCACGTTGCAGCCATTCAATGAGTCTCAACTGCCTCTTCAACAACAGTTGTCCCCTCACCCCCTTCCACCGCACAATACCGAACTGCACCCCATTCAAACAGCTTGCACCCACCACCCACCTTGCAGCCGTTCAACGAGCCTCAACTGCCTCTTCACATGCCCAATACCGAACTGCACCGCTTTCCACCGCTCCCTCCTCTCCCACCACACCTGCAGGACCACTTTCCTCGCCCTTGCTTCCCTCTCTGCTGCTTCATTTCTTGCTGCACCTTCCCCTCTCCCTCCACCACCTCTCTCCCCCTGCTCCCCCTGCTCCCCCTGCTCCCCCTGCTCCCCCTGCTGCTGCTGCCCCTGCTGCTGCCCCTGCTGCTGCCCCTGCTGCCCCCGTTGCCCCTGTTGCTGCCCCTGTTTCTGCCCCTCCCCCAGTCCCACCAGCAAAGGCTGAGAGCCACACGGCCTTCATGCTCCCTGCCAGCCCCCACCATGCTGTTAGTGCACTGCTGCTGCTGGGAGCAAGAGTGTCCAGATGCACAGCTAGCGTGCTCATGAGGAGGGAAGGGCCAATAGTGCCTGCACACAGGGGAGGGTCATTCGTAAGAGTGAACGAACATGAGTGTTAGGGAGCTGCTGCCCCTGCTGCTGCCCCTGCTGCCCCCGTTGCTGCCCCTGTTGCTGCCCCTGTTTCTGCCCCTCCCCCAGTCCCACCAGCAAAGGCTGAGAGCCACACAGCTTTCATGCTCCCTGCCAGCCCCCACCATGCGGTCAGTGCACTGCTGCTGCTGGCACCAAGCGCGTCCACATGCACTGCTAGCGTGCTCATGAGCAGGGAAGGGCCGCATGTGCCTGTGTACAAAGGGGTAAGGGGGTCAATGAACGAATGTGAGCGTGGAATGCAGTCGCTCTGCTGCTGGTGGCACCAAGCGCGTCCACATCCAGTGCTCATGAGCAGGGAATGGCCGCATGTGCCTGTATGCGAGGGGAAGGGTGGGTGTCGGAGGGGGACGGACTGAGAGGCAAGCCACACAGCGTTCATGCTCCCCGCCAGCCCCAACCAAGCAGCCAGTGCACTGTTAGCGTGCTCATGAGGAGGGAAGGGGCGCACGTGCCTGTATGGAGGGAAAGGGAGGCATGTTAATGTGAGTGTGACTGATGCTCCCTTCCTACTAGGCAGGCAGCGACTCTCTGCTGCTGTCGTCACCGAGCGCGTCCACATGCACGTCCAGTGTGCTCATGAGCAGGGAGCTTTTGAGTCGATTCAAAAGTCACCTAGTGGCGCCGAGCGCGCCCACATGCACTGCCAGCGTGCTCATGATGAGGGAAGGGCCGCATGTGCCTACACACAGGGGAGGGGGACGGGGGGTGAGTGAACGAATGTGAGCGTAACAGGCAAGGACTCTCTGCTTCTGGTGACTTTTGAGTCGACTCAAAAGTCACCAAGGGCGTTCACATGCACTGCTAGCGTGCTCATGAGGAGGGAAGGGCCGCACGTGCCTGTGTAGGGTGAGAATGGGTGAGGAGGAAGGATTTGAGTGAATAAATCTACGCGCAGGCAGTGCATTTCTGAGTACCATGGGGATACCTGAGCGCCATGCAGCCCACATGCCCCCTGCCAGTCCCCACCATGCATCTCAGGCCCTCGTGCTGTTACCACATCTGTGCCGGCCGGCAGCACCGAGACCATCAGACCAGCAGCTTTGTGCTCTCCACTCCCTCTCTCAACCAGCAATATTCGTATCACTGCTGAGAATTCTCAAAAGTGATCCCAGCTTTAACTCCCCCACCCCTACTCTCCCTGCTTCTCACACTGCTGCTTCTCACGCTGCTGCTTCTCACACTGCTGCTTCTCACGCTGCTGCTTCTCACACTGCTGCTTCTCACGCTGCTGCTTCTCACACTGCTGCTTCTCACGCTGCTGCTTCTCACGCTGCTGCTTCTCACGCTGCTGCTTCTCACGCTGCTGCTTCTCACACTGCTGCTTCTCACGCTGCTGCTTCTCACGCTGCTGCTTCTCACACTGCTGCTTCTCACACTGCTGCTTCTCACACTGCTGCTTCTCACGCTGCTGCTTCTCACGCTGCTGCTTCTCACACTGCTGCTTCTCACGCTGCTGCTTCTCACACTGCTGCTTCTCACACTGCTGCTTCTCACACTGCTGCTTCTCACGCTTCTGCTTCTCACGCTGCTGCTTCTCACACTGCTGCTTCTCACGCTGCTGCTTCTCACACTGCTGCTTCTCGCACTGCTGCTTCTCACGCTGCTGCTTCTCACGCTGCTGCTTCTCACGCTGCTGCTTCTCACACTGCTGCTTCTCACACTGCTGCTTCTCACGCTGCTGCTTCTCACGCTGCTGCTTCTCACACTGCTGCTTCTCACGCTGCTGCTTCTCACACTGCTGCTTCTCGCACTGCTGCTTCTCACGCTGCTGCTTCTCACGCTGCTGCTTCTCACGCTGCTGCTTCTCACGCTGCTGCTTCTCACACTGCTGCTTCTCACCTGCTAGCCCCAGAGACAGCACGCCTTGCATCGCATGGGCACAGGATGAAAACAACTGCTACAGAGAATCCCTAACTCCCACCCGCCCCCACTCCGTCCCTCCCATCAACGCTCAAACACTGCTGTTTCTCATCTGCTAGCTCCACAAATAGCACGCCTCGCATGGCATGGGCACAATCGGCCATCAACAGAAGGAGATTGCCCTCCCACCCCCTCTTCCACTCTCTCACTCTCCCTCATTTGCACACAGCTGTTTCTCACCGGCTAGCCCCAGAGAGAGCACGCCTCCCATGGCGTGGGCACAGGAGGGCATCAGCCGAAGCACCTCCAGATGGCATTGCAGGAGAGTGAGAGGGTGAGTGAGGGAGTGTGAGGGGGAGTGAGAGGAGGAGGATTGTGGTATGGGGGAGTCCTGTATTTTGATGCTCTGAAGCAGCAATGCACGGATTCTGAGAAAAGGGGGGATTGGAGACAGATGGAAGGAGGAAAAGGCAAGAGGAAAGCGGGAGAAGGCAAGAAGACGCACAGAACAGAAAAGTGCATGAGCAGGAATGGGACATGAGGGCTGCGAAAAGCACACTGAAAGATCTCATCAACCATAGGGAGGAGGGTAGAAGAAGTGTGTAGGGAAGAAAAAGAATTGATTTTGTAAAATTCTCAGTAATGTAGGTTTGAGCGTTGGAAATTAGCCATAAGTCCAGCACTAGATCATGCACTTAGTAGTACCTGAATGGATGGATGGAGCGTGCTACAGCAGACAGGCACGAGCGGTGCAGAATGTCTAGGGCCACTCTTACTCCTCTGGAGCCCTGAGCCACGAGAATCTGCACAAAGGGAGTGAGAGGGGAGAGCAAAGAGAGAGGGTGGAGAGATCAGTGAGACAGTGGGCAGGCACGAGCGGTGCAGAATGTCCAGAGCCACTCTCACTCCTCTTGAGCCCTGAGGCACGAGAATCTGGAAACAATGAGGGGAGAGAGAGCGAGAAGAGAGACGGGAGAGATCAGTGCTACAGCAGACAGGCTTGAGCGGTGCAGAATGTATAGAGCCACTCACACAGTCCCACTCCTGTGGGGCACTCACTTAGCCAAAAGATAAAAGAAGTGTTTTGAGTCGTGTCAAAATACTTCTCATCTCGAGCGAGAAGAGAGACGGGAGAGCTCGAGGGAGCGACGGGAGTGAAGGCGGAGAGGGGAGAAGGGCGCCAAGGAGTGAGAGCTGTCGAAGCAGGGAATGGGAGGGAGCTTACCTGCACGAGGGGCACTAGGGCCGGGATGCAGAGCGGGTCGGCTTGCATTGTGCGCAGGAGGAAAGAGGCGGAATGGGGTGTGGTAGGGTGGGGTAGGAAGGAAGCTTACCTGCACAAGAGGCACTAGGGCCGGGATGCAGAGCGGGTCGGCTTGCATTGTGCGCAGGAGGAAAGAGGCGGAATGGGGTGTGGTAGGGTGGGGTAGGAAGGAAGCTTACCTGCACAAGAGGCACTAGGGCCGGGATGCAGAGCGGGTCGGCTTGCATTGTGCGCAGGAGGAAAGAGGCGGAATGGGGTGTGGTAGGGTGGGGTAGGAAGGAAGCTTACCTGCACAAGAGGCACTAGGGCCGGGATGCAGAGCGGGTCGGCTTGCATTGTGCGCATGAGGAAGGAGGCTGCCTCACGGGAGAGCTCGAGGGAGCAACGGGAGAGAGGAGGCAGGCGGAAGGGGGTGATGAGGTGGGGGCTGTAAGGGCTTGTAGGGAGAAGCTTACCTGCACGAGAGGCACTAAAGCCGGGATGCAGAGAGGGTCGGCTTGCATTGTGCGCAGGAGGAAGGAGGCTGCCTCACGGGAGAGCTCGAGGGAGCGACGGGAGAGAGGGGGGAGAGGTGGAACGGGGCATGGTACTAAGGTGGGGAGAACGGGATACGGTAGCGTACCTGAACAAGGGGCACCAGCGCTGGGATGCAGAGAGGGTCGGCTTGCATTGTGCGCAGGAGGAAGGAGGCTGCCTCACGGGAGAGCTCGAGGGAGCGACGGGAGAGAGGAGGCAGGCGGAATGGTATGGAGGAGGAGGGAGGAGGAGGCAGGATGAGAGGGCAGATGAGCGGGTCGAGATCTGCTTTGGGAAGTGGGAGGGAGGGGTTAAAGAGCAGGGCAGAGGCCTAATGAATGACCAATGAGAAACGGGTGGAGGAGGGAGGATGAGCGGGCAGATGAGCGGGTCAAGATCTGCTTTGAGGGAAAGGAGGGGGGAAAGAAAGACGAAGGAGGGCAGATGACCGGAACGAGAAATGCTTTTGCGGGGAAGGAGGAAAGGGGGGAACGAGGGGAGGGAAGGAGAGGAGAAAAAACATTGAGGGAGGAATAGGAGTGGGGGGACGGGCGGATGGGGCGGGAGAGGGGGAGGGAGGCGGAGGGAGGACGAGCGGGTAAGTGATAGCGAGGGAAGACAGAGAGAAACGGAGGTAGAGAGAAACAAGGTGAATCATGACACTGAAAGGAGAAACTTAGGGGAGCAGCGAAATGGGGGGTTGGGTGGAAGGAAAGAGAGGGAGGTACAACAAGTGGGGGAGGGACGGCAGCGACAGGTGGGCCACAGCAAAACGGCATGAGGCATGACTTGAGAAAAAAAAAAAAAACAAACCGAACACGCACCATCATTCCAAGATACGAAACGCACCATCCACAGCACAGCATACCTCGGGCTGTGGAAGTGCTGTGTAAGTATGGTGAAAACAGGAAGTATGATGCGCGGAAGTGGGCTGTGGAAGTGCTGTGTAAGTATGGTGAAAACAGGAAGTATGATGCGCGGAAGTGGGCTGTGGAAGATACTAAAAGCACCATACTTCCACGCGCTGTGGAAGTGCTGTGGAGCACTTTTTGAGAATTCTGGAAAATTGCTGTGGAGCACATCACACCTCGGAGCCCTTCCTCCTTCTCCTCCTCCTGCCCTTGCTTGCATGGGGGAAACATGCTTGTACCATATTTGTAAGATTCTCAGGCCTCGAAGAGTGGAACATGCGAAACTCAACTCACCATTCTTCCATGTGACAAAATACTTGGGAGCCCTTGCTGAAAGAGTCTCACTCTCCCCGATGAGTGAGGACCCGTGGAACCTCACATTCGATTCCTTTGATTCACCATTCTTCAATGGGACAAAATACTTGGGAGCCCTTCCTCCTCCCCCTCCTGCTCCTGGCCTTGCTTCCATGGGTATTACTTTCAGGAATTCTCATGTCACAAGCAGCACTCACCATACTTCCATGGGACGAAGTACTTGGGAGCCCTTCCTCCTCCCTCTCCCGCTCCTGCTTCGCTTCTTCGTGCCCCTCCGCCTCCCATCCAACGACTCTCCCCACTCCCTTCCCTCGTCTCCCTCACTCCACCCATCCCTCCTCCTCCCCCCCCTCCTCCCCTCTTCCACACTCTCCAAGCAAACGTTTCCTCTACCACCCTCCTTCCTCCTCTCCCCCCTCCTCCCCCATCCTCCTCCTCTTCTCCCTCCCCTTCCTCCTCCTCCTCGTTCCCATCCTCCTCATCCTCCCCATCCTCCCCATCCTCCCCATCCCCCCTGCCGCGCTCTCTCCCCCCTGCCATCACCTTCACCCCCTCTCCAAACGCCTTACAAAGGCTCGAAGCCAGAACCCAACTGCATGCCTCCTCCCTGCTTGCTTCCCATGCTTCCTCCAAGGTACAGTCTAGCACGAAGCGAGGATTGCGGGAAAGAGATCCAAGAGGACGGGGGACACTTGGGAAAAGGGCTCTTCACCAGGAAGCTTCCAGGAATCAGGCATGAGTAGCTCTCCTTCTGATGCCATTTCAGTGAGATTTGAACGGGTAACAGAGTAAAAACTACCGTCGTTATCATCGTAACCACCAAAACGCATCATCTCCTGCTCGATCCACCCATCCCCCTCTTCCTCTTCTTCTTCCTCCTCCCCCTCTCCTCCCTTTCTCCTCAAGTACCCTCGCCTCTTGCCCCTTCCTCTTCTAATCCTGCTCCCCTGTGACTCCCCACCCTGTTGCCCCTCCCTCCTCCTCTTCCTCCTCTCCCATTGGTCCAGCAGCGCCAGCTCAGGAACCTCCACGTCAGCACCACCACCATCACCATCACCATCACAATTACCGTCATCCATATCCACATCCATGCCCCCATCCATCCCTCCATCCATCCGCCCACGAACAACCATCTCCCCATCATCCATCTCTGTATCATCCATGTCTGAATTAAAGCCTTGGTGGGCATGGGAGGTGGCGGGCAATTGCAAAAGGTCCTTCTGGGCGGCAGAGAGCCAGTGAGAGTGCTGAATGAGGGCGCAGAAGAGCAGAGGAGAGGGGTCGGAGCGGTAGGGAGGGAGATTCACCACACTGCATAGAGAAGGGAGGGGCGGTAGGGAAGAAAGAAAGGGAGAGCCAGTGGGAGTGCTGGACGAGGGCGCAGAAGAGGAGCCTGTAGGGGTCGGACCGGTAGGGAGGGAGGTTGACCACCCTGCGTTAACAACCTCCCTACCTCCCTCTCTGTGTGCAGTGTCTAGTGCAGTGCAGTGCAGGGAAAGGGAAAGGTGGGGTGAAATGGGGGTTGCGGGAAAGGGGTTCACTTCAGAAGGCTGAGAGCCAATGGGAGTGCAGGGTGAGGGCGCAGAAGAGGAGAGGGGAGGGGTCGGAGCGGTAGGGGGAAGAGTGACGACACTGCACTGCACACAGAGAGGGATGGTGAAAGGGAAGGCAGTAGGAGTGAAGGTGAGAGTGCAGGTGTTTTGAGACGTCTCACAACTGGATGGTGAGGCAGCATCTAGCATCAGCATCACATGCGTCTCCTAGTCTTCTAGCTAAGAACCAACCAACGCCACGTGGAGTGGAAATGACCGAAGAATACGTCAGGACTCAGGTCTGGAACCGAACATAGCGTGTGGTGTGGGTTCCAATCCAACGACGGGCAAACACCACTCAGGTCTAAAAACATGGAGTGCTGCTTCGCTTCTAACAAAGCAAGTACGCCACTCACGTCTGGAGTGTTTGAAACGCAGCGTCGAACTCGTTGGTCTCCATCTGACACTTGGCTAGATCCAGCAGCATCTGCCCCTTGCGCCTCTGGAGGGAGGAGGAAGGGGTATGGCATGTGGTAAGGAGAGAGGTTGAGGGTGGTTGAGAGAGGTGGAGGGGGAGGCAGCATCGAACTCGTTGGTTTCCATCTGGCACTTGGCTAGGTCCAGAAGCATTTGCCCCTTGCGCCTCTGAAAGAGGGAACAGGGAGGGGTTGTGGAGTGGTTGAGGGAGGTTGAGCGAGGTTCGGCGAAGGCAGCATCGAACTCGTTGGTCTCCACGTGGCACTTGGCCAGGTCCAGCAGCATCTGCCCCTTGAGCCTCTGTTGTGCGGGGGAGGAAAGTGGCGGGAGGGAGGGGTTGTGGGGTGGTTTGAGGAGGTTGAGGGAGGTACGATGACGGGAAGGCAACATCGAACCCGTTGGTTTCCACGTGGCACTTGGCTAGGTCCAACAGCATGTGCCCCTTATGCCTCTGAGAAGGTGGGCAAAAGTGGAGGGGGAGGACCACTGGGGGGAGGAGGGGCCGTGGGGTGGGGGGGGCCAGGCAGGGTGACAGAAAGAAAGGGAGAGAGGGAGTTGTGTTGATTTACTTACTGTACACATTACTCGCAACTCTTTTGGTTTTGGGGTTTGCTACCCAGTGTACAGTGAGCCGTATTTTGAGTCGACTCAAAACACGGGTTTATTACCCAGCGTAAAGTACTCACATCATCCTCTTGCTTCAGAGCTATGGCTCGCATGAACACCACCAGTCGCCTCCTCTCACAGCAGGACCTATACACACCACGCCCATACCACACCTACACACACCACACCAGCTCCTTCCACTCACGTCATCCTCTTGCTTCAGAGCTATGGCTCGCATGAACACCACCAGTCGCCTCCTCTCTGCCCTCCGCCTCTCACTGCTGCTGCTGTCACCACCACCACCACCACCACCATTGCCACCGCTGCTGCCACCACCTCTGCTGCTGAAGCCCTTCCGCCAGAGCTCACGCAGCAGCACCAGTGCTTGCTGGTAGAGAGAATTAAAGAAACGGGAAGGGGGGAGGGAGGAGAGGGTTGACAGGCGTCATAAATACGGCACCTCCCCTGTTAATGCTGAAGCCCTTGCGCCAGAGCTCTCATAGCAGCACCAGCGCTTGCTGTTAGAGGGGATCAACAAAGGAAGGGAGAAGGGCAGACAGGCAAACGGATCAGGACTGCCCTCCCACATGCAGCACTGACCCTGCTGCTACCACTGCCCCTGCTGCTGCTGAAGCCCTTGCACCACAGCTCTCGCAGCAGCACCAGGGCTTGCTGGTGGAAGATTGGATGAAAAGGAGGGTTAGGCAAGGGAGGAAGCGGGAGGAAAGAGCAGATAGGCATCAAGATCGGGTCTAATCCCTCCCACACAAACCACCGTCCCTTCCAGAAGTCGCACCTCACCAGAAACTTTTGAGACCCAAAAGTCGACTCAAAAACCACCGCCCCAGCCTGGGTCACACCTCACCGGGACTTTTGAGTCGACTGAAAAGTTGACTCAAAAGTCGACTCACAAACCACCGCTCCTGCCTGGGTCGCACCTCACCGGGGACTCCAGCCATATAGGCTCGTCAACAGCCCTCCTGGTCACCTCAGCATCCTTATCCGCGCCCATGAGAGCCGCCAGCACGCCTGCTGCCTGCTCCACCTCGTGCCTTGCCTCACCTGTGTTAGCGAGAAGGATTTGCACCTCCTGGTTTGGGGTTTGGGACACAGGTTTCTCCTTACCTGAGACTCAAGCCATATGGGTTCATCCACAGCCCTCCTGGTCGCTTCAGTGTCCTTATCCACATCCATCAAAGCCGCCAGCACGCCTGCTGCCTGCTGCACCTCCTACCTTCCTCTAATCAGTGCAAGGGAATTCTCACTCCTCACCTGGGACTCCAGCCAAATGGGTTCGTCAACAGCTCGCCTGGTAGCTTCAGCGTCCTTATCCGCGTCCATTAGGGCCGCCAGCACCCCTGCTGCCTGCTCCACCTCCTGGCTTGCCTCACCAGCTGTCAGGGACCAGAGACTCCTGGTTTAGAGTTTGGTACTCAAGGTTTCTCCTCACCTGCGACTCCAACCATATAGGCTCATCAACAGCCCGTCTAGTCGCCTCAGCGTCCTTATCCGCGTCCATCAGAGCCGCCAGCACCCCTGCTGCTTTCTCCACCTCACATCTTCAGTCAATCAGTGTAAGAATTTTCTCCTTACCTGAGACTCCAGCCAAATGGGCTCATCCACAGCCCGTCTAGTCGCCTCAGCTTCCTTATCCGCGTCCATCAGAGCCGCCAGCACGCCTGCCGCCTGCTGCACCTCCTACCTTCCTCTAATCAGTGCAAGGGGATTCTCACTCCTCACCTGCTGTACTCGGCTGGTGTACTCACCTGGGACTCCTTACCTGGGACTCCGTACCTGGGACTCCTTACCTGGGACTCCGTACCTGGGACTCCGTACCTGGGACTCCAGCCATATCGGCTCATCAACAGCCCTTCTCGTCGCTTCAGCGTCCATCAGAGCCGCCAGCACGCCTGCTGCACTCGGTTGATGTCAGGGTTCCAGGCTCAGATTGACTCCTCCTCACCTGTGATTCCAGCCAAATGGGCTCATCCACGGCTCTCCTAGTGGCTTCAGCGTCCTTGTCCGCGTCCATCAGAGCTGCCAGCACGCCTGCTGCCTGCTCCACCTCCCCTCGGAACATCATCCTCCTTAGAAGCCGCCTCAGCATCTGCCGGTGCAACCGCTGGCAGCCGAATGCAGCCACCCCGGAACCCCAGCGTGCGGGCAGCGCTCCGGCCGCGCCGCCCGTCTGCTGTGAGCGCGGTGAGATCGTTGCCATAGTCCAAATGCCGCCACTCTTGATTGGATGTGAACCGGAAGGGCGGGAGGGATGTGTGGGGTGCAGTTGATGCAGCTGCAGCAGCAGCAGGAGGAGCAGGATTAGAAGTGGAGCGACGACGAGCAGAACCAGCACCACCAGCAGCAGCACCACCAGCACCAGCACCACCACCAGAACCAGCAGCAGCACCAGCAGCATTACCAGAAGCTGTGGCGACTAGTCCTCTTTTTGGAGTTGTTGTCTTCCTGCGATTTCGTTGCCCCTCCCTCTGTACCTCCCCCTCCGGCTGTTGTTGCTCCTGCTGCTGCAGTTTCAAGCGACTGGGAGAAGCAGTGGCCGTATCACCAACAGCACCAGCACCACCACCACCAGCTGCAGCAGCAGACGGACGGTCAGAGCGACGAGCAATCTTTGCCCCACCACTCTTGCCTCTCCCATCCGCTAGCCCATCACCACCACCAGCACCTTCAGCACCTTCAGTGGCCTCATCAGTACCTGCACCTCCTGCAGCAGAAGCAGCCTTTCTGGACGCTGAAGAAGATTGGAACCGTCCGTCTCGCCCATGCGCCGGCCCCCCTCTTTTCTGCACCTTCTCCCCCCGTGCCTGCTGTGCTGCAGCGCGAAGGGCGAGGAGGGTCCGAGAGCTCTGCACATTGGAAGGGGGGGGCTGGAGTTTCTTCCACTTGCGATCTGCAGCAATATAGATAAGAGAGAACACGGGGACAGCTTAGTGCTAAAATTTGGAACCTTCCCCTTGCGATCTGCAGCAATATAGATAAGAGAGAACACGGGGACAGCTTAGTGCTAAAATTTGGAACCTTCCCCTTGCGATCTGCAGCAATATAGATAAGAGAGAACACGGGGACAGCTTAGTGCTAAAATTTGGAACCTTCCCCTTGCGATCTGCAGCAATATAGATAAGAGAGAACACGGGGACAGCTTAGTGCTAAGATTTGGTACCTTCCCCTTGCGATCTGCAGCAATATAGATAAGAGAGAACACGGGGACAGCTTAGTGCTAAAATTTGGAACCTTCCCCTTGCGATCTGCAGCAATATAGATAAGAGAGAACACGGGGACAGCTTAGTGCTAAAATTTGGAACCTTCCCCTTGTGATCTGCAACACAGACAGGAGAGAACATGGGGAGAGCTTAGTGCTAAAAGTTGGAACCTTTCCAAGGGGATCTAGGAGCGCGTTTCCCCTCTCCCCTGCCCTTTCTCTCCTTCTGCCTCCTGCGCTGCTGTGCGAAGGGCGAGGATTGCGCGAAAGGTCTGCACGTTGGTAGGGAGGGGCTGAAATTTCTTCCTCCTCTGATCTGCACAATGGGTACACGGGGAAGGAAAGAAGAAACAAATCGGTGGGGACAGTGAATCTCAAACCCTAAGCCTGACAGCAATAAGTGAATCTTGAGTCGACTCAGAAATTACCTCCCAAACCCCACATTAGCAAGCCCTGGCTTGTGAACCTTGAACCCGAACTCGAGACCAGGACGTGTAAACCCTGAACCTTGCAATTTGAGCCTCAACTCAGAACCTTGAACCTTGAAGTTTGAACATAAACCCAGAACCTTAAACCTCCAAACAAGGGGATTTGTCCAGCATAATACTCGCCATGTCTCACCTTTCTGTAACGAAGGTGAATCTTTCTGCCGTTCCTCTACTTGCCCTCCTTCCACTCCCTCCTCCTCCTCCTCCTCCTCCTCCTCCTCCTCCTCCTCCTCCTCCTCCTCCTCCTCCTCCTCCTCCTCCTCCTCCTCCTCCCCTCCTCCTCCTCTTCCTCCTCCTCCTCCCCACCTCCTCCTCTTCCTCCTCTCCCTCCTCCCCCGCTTCCCCCTCCTCCCCTTCCTCCTCCTCTTCCTTCTCCTCCTCCTCTCCCTCCTCCCCTTCCTCCTCTCCCTCCTCCTCCTCGTTCACCTCATCCTTCTCAATTCTTCCCTCAGTTTTCTCCTCTTCAATTTTCTTCTCCTCCACATTCTCCTCCTCAGTTTCCTCAGTTTCCTCGTCACTTTCCTCCTCTTCCCTCTCCATCTCCTCTCTAACCTCCTCATTCTCCTCATCAATTTCCTCCTCACGCTCCTTCTCATTTCTCTTCTCTTCATTTTCTTCCTCACTTTCCCCCTCTTCCCCCCCCTCCTCCTCGCTGTCCTCCTCATTTTCCTCCTCACGCTCCCTCTCAACTTTCTTCTCCTCCACATTTTTCTCGGTTTCTTCCTCGGTTTCCTCGCCATTTTCCTCCTCTTCCTCCCCTTCCACCTCCTCATTCTCCTCATCAATTTCCTCCTCACTCTCCTTCTCATTTTCCTCCTCACTTCCCTCCTCACTTCCCTCCTCAATTTCCTCCTCACTCTCCTCCTCACCCTCCGCTTCCCCAGCTCTCCAATTATCCTCCTCAGGTTCCTCATTCACAACCCCCCCAGACGCCATACCGCTTGATGCGGAGGTTGCAACCAGGCCTACCTTTTTCTCCCTCTCCTTCATCTCCTCTCCCTTCCCCTCCTCCTCTAATTTACCCCCTAACAAAGAGTTTGCTTGTAAAAAAAATCCCCTGATTTATATTGACTTTTGCAAATCGGGCACTATGGTCAATAATGAAATCAGGGCTTTAACATCGCTCAGAGCAGCGCAAGTCGTTTTCAGCAAGCGCGAAGACTCAGGAACCAGCGGCGAGGAGGGCGTAGGCCAGGGGCGTTCAGCACACGAGCAGCCTGTGCGTGCATGGGCCAGGGTGAGACGAACGGCCGTGAACCGTTAGGCTGAACCGCTACTAGGTTCAGACGAGTTTCCGAGTGAATCTCAAACCCTAAGCCTGACAGCAATAAGTGAATCTTGAGTCGACTCAGAAATTACCTCCCAAACCCCACATTAGCAAGCCCTGGCTTGTGAACCTTGAACCCGAACTCGAGACCAGGACGTGTAAACCCTGAACCTTGCAATTTGAGCCTCAACTCAGAACCTTGAACCTTGAAGTTTGAACATAAACCCAGAACCTTAAACCTCCAAACAAGGGGATTTGTCCAGCATAATACTCGCCATGTCTCACCTTTCTGTAACGAAGGTGAATCTTTCTGCCGTTCCTCTACTTGCCCTCCTTCCACTCCTCCTCCTCCTCCTCCTCCTCCTCCTCCTCCTCCTCCTCCTCCTCCTCCTCCTCCTCCTCCTCCTCCTCCTCCTCCTCCTCCTCCTCCTCCCTCCTCCTCCTCCTCCTCCTCCTCCTCCTCCTCCTCCTCCTCCTCCTCCCTCCTCCTCCTCCACCTCCTCCTCTTCCTCCTCTCCCTCCTCCCCCGCTTCCCCCTCCTCCCCTTCCTCCTCCTCTTCCTTCTCCTCCTCCTCTCCCTCCTCCCCTTCCTCCTCTCCCTCCTCCTCCTCGTTCACCTCATCCTTCTCAATTCTTCCCTCAGTTTTCTCCTCTTCAATTTTCTTCTCCTCCACATTCTCCTCCTCAGTTTCCTCAGTTTCCTCGTCACTTTCCTCCTCTTCCCTCTCCATCTCCTCTCTAACCTCCTCATTCTCCTCATCAATTTCCTCCTCACGCTCCTTCTCATTTCTCTTCTCTTCATTTTCTTCCTCACTTTCCCCCTCTTCCCCCCCCTCCTCCTCGCTGTCCTCCTCATTTTCCTCCTCACGCTCCCTCTCAACTTTCTTCTCCTCCACATTTTTCTCGGTTTCTTCCTCGGTTTCCTCGCCATTTTCCTCCTCTTCCTCCCCTTCCACCTCCTCATTCTCCTCATCAATTTCCTCCTCACTCTCCTTCTCATTTTCCTCCTCACTTCCCTCCTCACTTCCCTCCTCAATTTCCTCCTCACTCTCCTCCTCACCCTCCGCTTCCCCAGCTCTCCAATTATCCTCCTCAGGTTCCTCATTCACAACCCCCCCAGACGCCATACCGCTTGATGCGGAGGTTGCAACCAGGCCTACCTTTTTCTCCCTCTCCTTCATCTCCTCTCCCTTCCCCTCCTCCTCTAATTTACCCCCTAACAAAGAGTTTGCTTGTAAAAAAAATCCCCTGATTTATATTGACTTTTGCAAATCGGGCACTATGGTCAATAATGAAATCAGGGCTTTAACATCGCTCAGAGCAGCGCAAGTCGTTTTCAGCAAGCGCGAAGACTCAGGAACCAGCGGCGAGGAGGGCGTAGGCCAGGGGCGTTCAGCACACGAGCAGCCTGTGCGTGCATGGGCCAGGGTGAGACGAACGGCCGTGAACCGTTAGGCTGAACCGCTACTAGGTTCAGACGAGTTTCCGAGGGGTTTAAACGAGTCTCAAACGCAGGGTTCAGGGTTGACGAGCGCTCGACGGAATGGCCTCGCGATCTCTCTACTTCGCTCGCTGCTTTCGCGACTCTCTCTACGTTCGCGACATTCGCTACGTTCGAAGGCGCCGTGAAGGAAGTACAGGGGCTTGACGGGTCGAGAGTTAGGGTGCTTGACGGCCGTCTCAGTTTGCGTTTCACACTCTCGCCGTTTGCCGCTCCTGAAACCTACCTATCCATCCACGGGCCGCTCTAACTCCCAGCAAAATACGGCCCATGCTCGCTTTAAGGCGCATTGTGAAAGTTTTGCGGTAACCTGGAGTAATCTAGCAGCTGTCTGCCGTTCTGGGGAGTGATGGGTATAGAGGGGTATGAGGAACTGGGTTTTGGGTGTGATGGCTGTCACGTGTGTGAAACCAAAACTGCTTCTTCTGGAAAAGGGTTAAACCTTCATTCGAAGAATGCAATATCGGGAAACCTTGACCTCGGGCTTAGGGCGTGGGCCCAAACGGGTTTGATCGCCTCGATCAGCTGCGATCATTAATTTCTAGGAAGCCTGGAAACCAGTTTCAGGCAATCAGGGGCAATCAGCTGATTGCGATCAACTGATCGCCCCAACTCAATCAATTGATTGCATGTGATCGGGACACCCAGCGATGCTTGCGAAGCGTTACAATGTTGCACTTAAAGTGAAACGACAATTTTCGCAAGGTTAAGCCTGGTCGTCAATCTCGCTAGAATGGTGCTGAAAATGCCGCGCAAATGTATCGTAGTTGCTGAGCAGGCGCTGACAACCTTCTCCAAAATTCAGCTCTGATCGGGCGGCTCGGGCACTACGATCACAGGCAACCCGCTCAGATTCGACCCGATCAGATCAGCCGCGATCAAACCCGTTTGGGCCCACGCCCTTATTCTTTCTCTTGACAGGTTTTTTTTGTCAGCCGAGCTTCGGATCGTTCCAGAGTCTCTACGTCGCATCCGTAGCAAAAAATGGTGTTGTAAAAGTGCTGCGCATTCAGTAACGTTTTTAAAAGGGAAAGTACATCGCAGCTCCACAGTTTCAAAAAATTTATCAATTTTGATCCCGAGTTTACCCAAAAAGTCCAGCTTTGCGGAATTCTGCTCACGCGAGGCCCAAAGTATGTTCAAAACTGGTCCTGCGGGGCAGAAATTACGACACGTGTCCATTTTGTGCAAGGTTTATTTATACGGGGCAAACCAAACATAATACCCCTGGGGAAACGGGACACAATTTGGGTAATATATTGCACTGCCTGCGTAAGCAGGCAGTGCAATCAAGTCAGCAAGCTGATCGCGGGCAAGAAAAAAAAACTAAAACCCTCTCGGATGGGATGCCATCCGAGGGAGCCTCAACCCTAAAATTTTAGGGTTGATGCTCCCGAATGGCATGCCGTAAGCCAAGGGGCTTATTTTTTGCCCGCGGGATACATTTCGGGAGGGATCAACCCTAAACACCGGGCGGGTTCCCGTGTTTAGGGTTGATCCCTCCCGAACAAGTGTCCTGGTTTCTCCAGGGGTATTATTGTTTTTGTGCCCCGTCAAAAATTGTTGGTGTGAAATAGACACGTGTCAATATTTGAGCCCTACAGGACCAGTTTTGAACATAATTTGGGCCTCGCGTGAGCCAAATCCCAGAAAGTGGGACCTTTCGAGTAAACCTGGGGGTAAATATGAGAGAAATCTGAAAGTAAGGATCTAGGATATAGTTTCCCTTTTTAAAACTTGTCCCTTGCGAAACGATTTTCTGATTGTGATTCCGCCCTTCGCCGTCCAGTCCTTTGATCATCAGCCGTGCACATACAGACCAATTCTGCCTGACAACGAAACCATCCATAGTTCCTAGACGATTTCCTAAGCAGGCCTGGCTCACACCAAGACTATTGTCATATGTCGCGTTTGCCCAGTGGGATGCGGAGTCGCAAGTAGCTCGGGTCAACCCAGCCATTCTTAGAGTTCAAAAGTAAATTCGAAGTATCTAGTAAACACCAGTTTTACGCAGTGGTGTAGTGGGGATGCGTGGCGTGCGATGGTAGACCTAACCGAGCCGTGAGCCTCTGAGATCGCGCAGGACTAGCCGTTAGCCTCATTCCCTGTTTCGCCTTTTTGAGTCCTGTGCTAGTTCCGCCGACAGGTGTCGGCATATGTTCCTCAGATTCTTATGGGTGAATCTTATCATTCTTGAAGGTCCGTGCGTATGGAACGTGCAGGCTGAATTCTTATGAGTTTATCTCCTCAACATCGCCTTTCGGATTCTAGAAAGGCATTGTCCTGCTGATTCAGACCGCCGAGTCTTGTTGCTCTTCTTCTCCGCTTTCTGGAGAAGAGATTAATGGCGACTCAAAGCCAACGAGGGGTTGACGATGTTGATGTTGATGTTGGTGCTCCTGCTGCCGCTAGGGTTGCGGGAGGTGCGGGGGGAGCGGGAGGAGCGGGGGAGATGGGGGAAGAGGATTTCTTGAATTCCTCGATAGAGAGTGACTCGGTACTGCTGAGGAGGATGTGGCAGAACGAGAAAGCGGCGCCGGATATCCTTCCGTACGAAACCGACTTGGTGGAGAGGACTAAAACGAGGCTAGAAGAGCTGGTGAGTAGGATTGTGACTCTAACAGGGGATGGCTGCATGGGGTTGGGGCATCGTCTGGTCTTGGAATCCCCATGTCTCTAATGGGAGATGTACGCATGGAGTTGGTGGAGTGGACTAGCTAGAAGAGACTTGTGAGTGTGGGATCGTGTTGGATTCTTATTGTCTCTAACATCGAAGATGTGCATGAATTTGGTGGGAGCCAAATCCAACTGCACTGTGACTTGCATTGCGTTGTGACGTGTGCTGTGCAGGAGGAGGTGTTTGATGCGTTGGAGGGGGATGGACGCAAGGCCATGGAGAGGGAGCTGTACGTTGACCAAGTATCTCCCTTTTTTGAGAGACCAAGTACCTCCCTTTTTTGGATTAGCGTGCCTCGTATGTGTGCTGCTGTGCCTGATGTGGTGCAGGAGGAGGTGATAGATGCGCTGAAGGGGGATGGGCGCAAGGCCATGGAGAGGGAGCTTCGTATGATGGACGTCGACAGAACCAACCAAGTAAATACCTCGTTTCAGAGATCTCACCACCGAGCGTTGTGCTGTGCTGTGACATCTGTTGTGCAGGAGGAGGTGATAGATGCGCTGAAGGGGGATGGGCGGAAAGCGATGGAGGGAGCTTCGTATGATGGACGTCGACAGAACCAAGTACCTCTGTTTTAGAGATTGCCAGCCATACTTTGTGTGGTGTGACTTGCGTTGTGACGTGTGCTGTGCAGGAGGAGGTGATAGATGCGTTGAAGGGGGATGGACGGAAAGCGATGGAGAGGGAATTGCATATGATGGACGTTGACAGAACCAAGTACCTGCTCAGGGCATATCTGCGATGCCGGATACAGAAGGTATGTTGCCGGGGATAGCAGTGGTGAGGAAGTATCCCCATCAGAAGATAACGTGGTAACGGGAGCTGCATAGGATGGACGTCGACAGAACCAAGTACCTGCTCAGAGCGTAGTTGAGGTGCCGGTTACAAAAGGTCAGTACCCCCATCGTTGGTTTGGCAGTGGTGTGCTGGTGGGTTGAGCGTGGTGAGCTGGTACCCCCATCGGTGGTACTGTGGGAGAGGGAGCTGCATAGGATGCACGTCGACAGGACCAAGTACCTGCTCAGGGCGTACCTGCGATGCCGGATACAGAAGGTCAGATAGTGGATGAGTTGCGGGGGGAGGGCTAGGCTGGAGTTTTCTATCCCCCATTCCTGTTACTCTCTCTCTCCCTCCTCTCCCCCACCTGCTGTGCAGATCGACCGGTTTTTTTCTGCACATTGCTGGCGAGGAGAGCTACCACAGCCGGCTGTCAGAAGGAGAGCAGTTGCATTTCCCACCTCATTCAACCTTATCGTTTTTGTCTCCCTCCTCTCCCCCCTTTCTCAGATCGACCGCTTCTTTCTGCACTTTGCTGGCGAGGAGAGCTACCACAGCCGGCTGTCAGAAGGGGAACAGCGGTATTGTGACAGGTACGAGTGCTTGCTCTAATGCTCTGTAGTGCTGTGAGGCTGGCGAGGAGTGGAGAGCTACCACAGAAGGCTGTCAGAAGGAGAACAGCGGTACTGCGACGAGTATGTGTGCTTGCTACTGTGAGCATGCTTGTGTGCTCTTGCTTGCTTGTGTGTGCCTGCCTGCTCTGGTGCTCTGAGGAGTTGTGAGGTGCCCTAAGCTACCACAGCCGGCTGTTGGATGGGGAACAGTGGTACTGCGACAGGTACGCATGGTTGCTGCTGTGAGAGTGCTTGTGTGTGCCTGCCTGCTCTGGTGCTCTGAGGAGTGATACGGCGTCTCAAGCTACCACAGCCGGCTGCCAGAAGGGGAACAGCGGTACTGCGACAGGTACGTGTGCTTGAGTGTGTGAGCTTGCTCTAGTGCTCTGTAGTGCCGTGAGGCTGGCGAGGAGAGGAGAGCTACCACAGCAGGCTGTCAGAAGGGGAACAGCGGTACTGCGACAGGTACGTGTGCTTGAGTGTGTGAGCTTGCTCTAGTGCTCTGTAGTGCCGTGAGGCTGGCGAGGAGAGGAGAGCTACCACAGCAGGCTGTCAGAAGGGGAACAGCGGTACTGCGACAGGTACGTGTGCTTGAGTGTGTGAGCTTGCTCTAGTGCTCTGTAGTGCCGTGAGGCTGGCGAGGAGAGGAGAGCTACCACAGCAGGCTGTCAGAAGGGGAACAGCGGTACTGCGACAGGTACGTGTGCTTGAGTGTGTGAGCTTGCTCTAGTGCTCTGTAGTGCCGTGAGGCTGGCGAGGAGAGGAGAGCTACCACAGCCGGCTGCCAGATGGGGAACAGCGGTACTGCGACAGGTACGTGTGCTTGAGTGTGTGAGCTTGCTCTAGTGCTCTGTAGTGCCGTGAGGCTGGCGAGGAGAGGAGAGCTACCACAGCAGGCTGTCAGAAGGGGAACAGCGGCTTAGTGGGAATATAAGCGTATAGCGTATATAAGCATATCGTATATACGCTAACGTATATACGCTAAACGCTGAAGGGTCGGCTTTGGGAATACGCTTTTTCGGGCAGGAAAAAAATTCCGGGCAGGATGCAAAACAATGTTGTGCTCAACATCGGGAAGGTATTCCATATTCTCACTAAGAATTTCGTAGCATTTTCGTAAGCCTGAACTTCGATTAGGGTGAGATGTGTAGTACACACTATTGCTAGAAGGAGATGTAGGAATCGGGAGGAAAGCGGGAAATGTCGAGTGCAGTTGGGCTGGCTGGTTAGTAGCGTGAGTGGAGTTTGTTGGGGGGACGGTTTTTGACAGGTTGGATTTAGTAGATGGGATGGATTTCAATGCGGTACTAATCGAAATTGTAGATCTGAACTGCCAGACGTGATTGTAAGGCACATTCCCGCTTCCCTACAACCCTGAATTGCTCCTCGACCACGGCGAAATGCTCACCAGGAGATTCCGCATCTTTCCGTATACACACGATTTTTTTCCCCGGGCAGCCCCTAAAAAACTCTGAAAGCGTATAGCGTATTAGCTAGCGTATAGCGTTTTGCGTACGAACACAAGCGTATATACGCTATACGCTTTAGGCTCTGAGCGTATATTCCCACTAAGAACAGCGGTACTGCGACAGGTACGTGTGCTTGAGTGTGTGAGCTTGCTCTAGTGCTCTGTAGTGCCGTGAGGCTGGCGAGGAGAGGAGAGCTACCACAGCCGGCTGCCAGATGGGGAACAGCGGTACTGCGACAGGTACGTGTGCTTGAGTGTGTGAGCTTGCTCTAGTGCTCTGTAGTGCCGTGAGGCTGGCGAGGAGAGGAGAGCTACCACAGCCGGCTGCCAGATGGGGAACAGCGGTACTGCGACAGGTACGTGTGCTTGAGTGTGTGAGCTTGCTCTAGTGCTCTGTAGTGCCGTGAGGCTGGCGAGGAGAGGAGAGCTACCACATCCGGCTGTCAGAAGGGGAACAGCGGTACTGCAACAGGTACGTGTGCTTGAGTGTGTGAGCTTGCTCTAGTGCTCTGTAGTGCCGTGAGGCTGGCGAGGAGAGGAGAGCTACCACAGCCGGCTGCCAGATGGGGAACAGCGGTACTGCGACAGGTACGTGTGCTTGAGTGTGTGAGCTTGCTCTAGTGCTCTGTAGTGCCGTGAGGCTGGCGAGGAGAGGAGAGCTACCACATCCGGCTGCCAGATGGGGAACAGCGGTACTGCGACAGGTACGTGTGCTTGAGTGTGTGAGCTTGCTCTAGTGCTCTGTAGTGCCGTGAGGCTGGCGAGGAGAGGAGAGCTACCACAGCCGGCTGCCAGATGGGGAACAGCGGTACTGCGACAGGTACGTGTGCTTGAGTGTGTGAGCTTGCTCTAGTGCTCTGTAGTGCCGTGAGGCTGGCGATGAGAGGAGAGCTACCACAGCCGGCTGCCAGATGGGGAACAGCGGTACTGCGACAGGTACGTGTGCTTGAGTGTGTGAGCTTGCTCTAGTGCTCTGTAGTGTCGTGAGGCTGGCGAGGGGAGGAGAGCTACTACAGCCGGCTGCCAGATGGGGAACAGCGGTACTGCGACAGGTACGTGTGCTTGAGTGTGTGAGCTTGCTCTAGTGCTCTGTAGTGCCGTGAGGCTGGCGAGAAGAGGAGAGCTACCACATCCGGCTGCCAGATGGGGAACAGCGGTACTGCGACAGGTACGTGTGCTTGAGTGTGTGAGCTTGCTCTAGTGCTCTGTAGTGCCGTGAGGCTGGCGAGGAGAGGAGAGCTACCACAGCCGGCTGTCAGAAGGGGAACAGCGGTACTGCGACAGGTACGTGTGCTTGAGTGTGTGAGCTTGCTCTAGTGCTCTGTAGTGCCGTGAGGCTGGCGAGGAGAGGAGAGCTACCACAGCCGGCTGTCAGAAGGGGAACAGCGGTACTGCGACAGGTACGTGTGCTTGAGTGTGTGAGCTTGCTCTAGTGCTCTGTAGTGCCGTGAGGCTGGCGAGGAGAGGAGAGCTACCACAGCCGGCTGCCAGATGGGGAACAGCGGTACTGCGACAGGTACGTGTGGTTGCTGCTGGGTGCTTGCTCTAGTGTGCTTAAGCGGAGCTGTCAGACGTCCCATGCTACCACAGCAGGCTGTCAGAAGGGGAACAGCGGTATTGCGACAGGTACGTGTAATTGCTGCTGGGTGCTTGATCTAGTGCTTGACGGACGTATCAAGCTACCACAGCAGGCTCTCGGAAGGGGAACAGCGGTATTGTGACAGGTACGTGAGCTTGCTGCTGGGTGCTTGCTCTAGTGTTTCTTAAGAGGAGCTGTCAGACGTCCCATGCTACCACAGCTGGCTCTCGGATGGGGAACAGAACAGCGGTACTGCGATATGTACGTGTGGTTGCTGCTGTGTGCTCGCTTGCTTGTGTGTGAGTGAGCTTGCTGCTGTGTGCTCGCTTGCTTGTGTGTGAGTGAGCTTGCTGCTGTGTGCTCGCTTGCTTGTGTGTGAGTGTGGTTGCTGCTGTGTGCTCGCTTGCTTGTGTGTGAGTGAGCCTGCTCTAGTGCTCTCGGGAGTTGTGAGACGTCTCAAGCTGCCACAGCAGGCTCTCGGAAGGGACTTTCGCAAAACTCTCTCCATCGCCCATCTTCTCCCTGTGTCCACCAGGCAGGTAGATCTGGTGCAGGCGCATCTGGACAGGACTGCACTAATGAATTTACCTCTTTTTCTCTCCCCCTTTCCCTCCCCACTCCTCCTTCATTGTTCCCACCAGGCAGGTAGATCTGGTGCAGGCGCATCTGGACAGGACTGCGCTCACCCGCCTGCCTCGGCGCTACCAGTCCATACTCAAGCAGGCGGACTCGAGCGAGACACCAGATATGAGTGAGTGTTTCTCAGGGGTTTGGAGCGGTTGTAGCTCCACAATCTAATCACTGCGCTACCAGTCCATACTCAAGCAGGCGGATTCGAGTGAAACCCCTGACATGAGTGAGTGCTAAACCACCCTTGTCTACGAAACATCTGGACAGGACTGCACTAACACGCTTGCCACGGCGCTACCAGTCCATTCTCAAGCAGGCGGACTCGAGTGAAACCCCAGATATGAGTGAGTGGTATATTTCATGCTAGGGGTTTTTTTTTTCGGAGCTTATAAATCAGTGCTAGACCCAGCGGTTCTGCTGTGCTCTCGCGTCTGCCACGGCGCTACCAGTCCATCCTGAAACATGCGGACTTCAGCGAAGCCCCTGATATGAGTGAGTGCTATGCTCTGAATTTTAGGGTTGAAAATTGAAGGGTAAGGAGTTGTGAGTGAGTGGTTGCACTCACACACCTGCCACGCCGCTACCACTCCATTCTGAAGCAGGCGGATTCAAGTGAAGCCCCAGATATGAGTGAGCGAGTCAGGGTTTCAATGTTAGCATTTGCGGTTGGGGGTTTAGTGTAGCTATGGCTCTACATTCCCACCACGGCGGTGCCAGTCCATTCTCAAGCAGGCAGACTCAAGTGATGCCTTGGATATGAGTGAGTGCTGCTCAGGGTTCCACTGTGTGGCTTTGGCTCTACAATTTACCCACAGCGCCACCTGTCCATCCTGAAGCAAGCAGACTCCAACGGTTCCCTGGTTATACGTGAGTGCTGCTCAGGGTTTCTGTTTTAGGATTTGGGGGATTTGGGTTAGAGGTTTAGGGTTTAAGGTGCCTATGGCTCTACAGTCTTGCCACCAGTCCATCCTGAAGAAAGCAGACTCCAATGAAGCCCCAGATATGAGTGAGGGGTGCTCAGGGTGTAAGGTTGGAGAGCGAGCAATGCCGTGAGTATGAGTGAATGGAGATTCAGGATTCACCCCTCTGCATCACTCGCCTTGAATGTGAGTGAGTAATGCAGTTTTCACTTTTATGAAAGGTAATCTCGTAGCTTTCAAGTGACAAGTGTCTTTGGACTACCGTTTTTCTTTCATGTTAATCCACCCCATACTTTTAAGCCAAGTTACCAGTGTCATTTCCATTGAATAACCCCTCTATGGCAGTTCCGACTCCCGACCTCGAAACATTTGTGTTCTGTGTGGCCACTCGTCCTCTGCCATCTGTCACGCTGGCCAAACTACCTGACTCCTAAACCACATTACCCATCCCTTTCCAACCGATTCACCCCCTTCTTCGGCAGTTCCCACTCCTGATCTTGACACATTTGTGTTCTGTGTGGCCACTCGTCCTCTGCCATCTGTTCAGCTTGACCCTGAGTGAGTAATGCAGAGAGGTATCTGGTTCAAAAAATCAAGCATTTCTGAAAATTCTCAAGATTGAACAACAGGGAAGTCAGGCAAAACATCAGGCATTTGAGCCATTGTTCCATTTCATGTTCTGTGCCTCCACACGGGCTCTCCTGCCTGTTGAGGTTGATTCCAAGTGAGTGAAATAGGAAAGTTGAAATTATGGATATGAAGGAGGCAAGGTGGAGTGGAGAAATTTGGTTCTCAGAGAAGAAAAAAACTAATCATAACTTCTCATATTCCTAGTGCTGTTTTTCATGTTAGGATGTGCAAGTGTAACCCGGGTCCCTGTTGAGGTGCTACATCGATTTTGTGTTTCATGTGAACATGAGGCTCGTTCGTATTCATGTACTGTATCTTTCAGCACTGATTTCTGTTTCACCCTCCGGCCCCTTGCTCCTTCCAAACATCCAGGCTCGATGATGTCATTGGCATGGCGCCTGGGGAGCTCCACATTCTGCGATACAGGCCGATTCAAACACTTGTACAGTCCGGTGATATAATTCTTTTGTGAGATACGGACTGATTTTTTTGAAATGAGAAGCACATTCGTGAAGTTTTTGTATGTATTTCCTAACTGTTGTAGATGACGAGTTTCTCAATGGTTATGTGACAAGTTACTGAGCAACACATGCTTGTGGGAATACAGGTTTCAGAACTGCAGGAATTTTATCTCAGAGATCACATGGTTGACAACAATGTTACTGTTCTTACGAGTTCGACTCTTCTAGAACTAGAAGACACAAACGAAATCTCGGGTCTTCCTCAACTGAACCTTTGCTCGATGCTCTCTTTCCCGCCACGCATTTCTGACAATTCTGACACGTTTGGAGCAGCACTGCTGGCCGACTGTCGACCCTCTACAACGGTATTCGAATTGGACAAGTGGATTGGAAGGAATTTACAGGAACATGGAGCTCCTAACCTTGATCATCAACAGAGGTACTTTTTACTTTTTGTTCCGTTTCCAACGTCAAGGCAGCGTCCCTTCAGGCCTAGCCATTGAAGGAGGTACAACTGTCTAGCGTCCTTCTTTAGACATGTGTACCCCTTGTAATCGCTATGGAAGCATACTTCTGTAGTAGATCAAGCATCGTCGTAAGGGGTGTCTGTTGTTGCATCAGGCTTCATACTTCGTTTTGTGAAGCCCTGCTCCTGCGCTTCGATCCGAAGCACCTCGGCAGATCGGCAGCCCAGTTGATCTGATGTGTTACCTCTTTCGCACAACTGAATTTCCAATGTCGCATCCGTTTTCGCGCATGTGGTAACACCAAAAGGTGTTTATTCGCCACATTCGCGACCATGACTTTCTCAGAATCATGGGGATCTCTCTTCGCTGACGCACGTTTGAACATCAAACCACCGTTGAAGTCCAAACGGTTTCCGTCAACGTTTCGTCTTACCTCAACGTTGGCTCTATTTCAGCGAATTCTCCTCCCAGTAGCGCTTATCCTTCAGCTCTTAGCGGGAATGTTCTTCCTCCATCATTACCAAACCTCCACTCTCCTCCCTTCCACGTCAGAAGTTTCATCTGGCCGAGGGAAAACTTTTCTAGCTGCCCTAGATGCGACTGCGTTCTCCAGTGTAGCCGATACTTCTCTGGCTGTAGCAGGCTACAGTACCATCGGCCGCACTGTATCTGACTCGGCGCGCAGTGGGTCCCAAGCCGACAAGCTGGTTACCAGCAGTGTTACACGAGCGAAAATCAACGATGTAACCAGCACTGCTACACTAACATCTGAGGATGTGACTGTCACGGACGCACCTGTTACGCGCACGTCTCGCATCTCATTGGGCCTTGATGACGTCACGATCACGTCACTCAACAGACTGCAGCAGTCAACCGGGTTAAAAGCGGCTCCGTTAGTGGTTGGTAACGGAAGGGGGAGAGGAGGAGGAGGGGGAGGAGCGCTGAGAGGAGGGGGGAGTGGAGGGGTGAGCGGAAGGGGGAAAGGAGGGGGAAGTAGAGGGGCAAATGGAGGCGTGAGGGTAAGGCTACGGGGAGGGACCAGCGGAACAGGTTGGGGCGGAGGGGGGGAAACGGCGGAAGGGCGGAAAAGCGCAGGCAGGGGTTGGTGGGGCTGGCTGGTAGGGGGAATGAAGGAAGGGGAGGGGATGGGAGAGGCGGGAGAAGAGGAAGGAGGAGGGGAGGGAGATGAGGAAGGAGCGGATGAATCTTCGTCTCGCCATAAGCCTCAGTGGCTTCGAAAGCTAGAAAGGAGAGACGCACAGGTATTGGCAATGCAGCAGCAGAACGGGCCGGACGGAGGGGTTGAGGGGAAAGGAAAGGCGAGAGGGAAAGGGGGGAAGGGAGGAGGGAAGGGAAGAGGGAAGGGAGGGGAGCTTCGAATAGTTGCAGGCAGGCTGGTGAGGAAGATTTCGAAATACGATATGCTACTTGCGATGCTGGCGGAAGTTGCGAGGAACGAGCAGCAGGCGAAGCGGGCGGTGGCTGAATGGCAGAGGCTCGGGAACCCCTGGCCTCCCGTCGTGGCTCGGCCGGACCTGCTGGCGAGGTACGAGCTTCCGGTTCGGAATGCGGATAAGTTTCCCGAGGCAGGGGGAGGGGGAGGCGCGCAGAGGTTTGGGGCGGAAGTGGAGAGAAGAAGGGGAGGAAGGCGGAGGGGAGGAGGGGAGGGGCAGGAGGAGCGGGTGATAGTGGTGCTATACGTGCACAGGCGGGCGGAGTACCTAAGAGTGGCTCTGGAGGCTCTGTCTCGAGTCCAAGGCATCAACGAGACGCTCCTCATTGTCAGGTGCGCTATGAATGTTTGAGTGCGAAGGGTGCTGCAAGGTGCAATGCAATGGGTGCTGCTAGAAGAGGTGATAGTGGTGCTGTATGTGCACAGGAGGGCGGAGTACCTAAGGATTATGCTGGGAATCAAGGTAACGGAGGGGGAAAGGCGGGAGGTGGGGGGCCCAGGCGTTGGTGATAGTGGTGGTACGGAGTTTGTGAATATGGCTGTAGAGGCTCTGTCTCGAGTGGATGGCATCAGCGAAACCCTCCTCGTTGTCAGGTGCGTTGTGAGTGAGTGAGTGCTTGGGGTGGGCGTGGTGGCAATGGTGCTGGGAAGCTTTTGACTCAAGTCAGAAGTCACCTCGTCAGGAGTGCTGTGAGTGTGTGAGTGCATAGGGTTGGGGTGGTGGTGATGCTGGCAGAGCAGGGAGGGAGGGATGCTTGCAGGGATGTGGCTGGCAGGTACTTGAGTGGCCTTTCTTTCGTCCTCCCGTCTTCACACTCCCCTCCCTTGTCTGCCCACATTCCCTCCGGCCACGACAGATCCTTTCTTCCCTCTGGTTGACTCGCTCGTCCATGCAATCACCTTCTGTCACGTCAACCAGATCAGTGTCCCCCTCTCCGCCCCATGTTCTCCCATTCCCTCCCCACTTAACCAGCCACAGCGGGTTCTTCCTGGCAGTTGACTCGCTCATCCGTCCAATCACCTTCTGCCGGGTCAAGCAGATCTACTTCCCTCTCTGTTCCATCCCCCCATCTTTCCTTCCCAATTTCCCCCTCACCCAACAGCCATGACGGGTTCTTCCCTGCAGTTGACGCCCTCATCCGTTCAATCACCTTCTGCCGGGTCAAGCAGATCTACTTCCCTCTCTGTTCCATCCCCCCATCTTTCCTTCCCAATTTTCCCCTCACCCAACAGCCATGACGGGTTCTTCCCTGCAGTTGACGCCCTCATCCGTTCAATCACCTTCTGCCGGGTCAAGCAGATCTACTTCCCTCTCTGTTCCATCCCCCCATCTTTCCTTCCCAATTTCCCCCTCACCCAACAGCCATGACGGGTTCTTCCCTGCAGTTGACGCCCTCATCCGTTCAATCACCTTCTGCCGTCTCAAGCACATCTACTTCCCCCTCTCCCTGCACCTCATCCTTGGTTTTCTCCTTTCCTCCCCTCTCTCAACAACCACGACAGGTTCTTCCCTTCCCTGACTCTCTAGTCCGTTCAATCACCTTCTGCCCGGTCAAGCAGATCTACTTCCCCCTCTCCGCCCTATGTGCTCACATTGCTCCCCCCCCCCCCTTACAGTCACGATGGTTTCTTCCCTGCAGTCGACTCTCTCGTCCGTTCAATCACCTTCTGCCCAGTCAAGCAGATCTACTTCCCCCTCTCCCTGCACCTCCGCAACGGCTCCTTCCCCAACCGCTCCCCGTTAGACTGTCCTCCCAGCAGCAGCTTTAAAGGCCGCAGGGATGGGCAGCAAGAGGAGGAGGGGCAGAGGAAGGGGCAAATGAACGGGCAGGAGAAGGGGCAGGTAAAGGGTCAGGAAAATGGGCAGAAGGAGGGGCTTGAAAGCGGGCAGGAGGAGGAGGGGGCGTGTTTTGGAGACGTGGACCAGAATGGACGATATAGAGACCCTCATTACGTGGCACTTAAGGTACTTATCAGTTCTGAGAATTCTCCAAGGTGTTGCTTATGCCTGGTGTGGTGAATGCATGGGATGATGATTCAATCGTGGTACCGTGACTGATGATGCGATTGGTGCATGGGAGAGCAACAGAGGGACAGGGTATGTGGGGATTTGGACGAGAATGGCAGGTATTGCATGGGACTGCTTTTGAGTCGACTCAAAAGCGGACGAGAATGGCAGGTATTGCATGGGACTGCTTTTGAGTCGACTCAAAAGTGGGCGAGAATGGCAGGTATTGCATGGGACTGCTTTTGAGTCGACTCAAAAGCAGACGAGAATGGCAGGTATTGCATGGGACCCATGCGTGTTGGCTCATTGGGTATGCTTGGCTTCCTGTGAAGGCAATGGGAAGTGAAGTGAAAACCAATTGTTTCTGGGACGTCTGCTTTACCCGAACGCCCTTCCGTCATTCTCTTCAATCTCCTCTTCACATTTTCCCACTTTTCCCTTCCCCGACCCCCTTCCCCGTTCCCCCTTCCCTGTTCCCCCTTCCCCCCCCCTGCCTGTCTCTCCCCCTCTCCCCTCCATGCCCCTTCCCTCCCCTGCACTCGCAGCACCACTGGTGGGGGCTGAAGAGCATCACCAGTGTGGGACGCCATTTCCTGTTCCCTTACCCCCACTCCATCATCTCCCCTCCACCCCCTTTCACCAGCACTGGTGGGGGCTGCAGAGCACAGTGCGGAAGGGTATCTCCTGTTCCCTTACGCTGTGGGACGGCCTGTCAGAAATAAGTAATTCACCGGCCACATGCTCTTTATCGAAGTGGACCATGTGCTCTTTCCCAACGCCCTTTCTTGTTCAAGCCAGTCCCTTCTTCCCGCTGCCCCTCCTGTTCCCCACGCCCAGTCATGCTCTTTATTGAAGTGGACCATCTGCTCTTCCCCAACGCCCTTTCTTGTTTCCCCTTCCCTCCTCGCTCCCAGCACCACTGGTGGTGGATGCAGAACACGGTGTGGGATGGCCTTCCCGAAACCAAGGCCTTTAGCAGTCACGCTCACCCTCTTCCCCTTCCCTTTCTCCTCACTCTCTTCCCCTTCCCTTTCTCCCCCCCCCCCTCCCCCCTATGCCCAGCACCACTGGTGGTGGATGCAGAACACAGTGTGGGACGGCCTGTCAGAAACAAAGTCATTCACTGGCCACATGCTCTTTATCGAAGAGGACCACCTGCTCTTCCCCAACGCGCTCGCCCATCTGACCGCCCTCATACGCGTGAAGAACGCGCGGTGCCCCGAGTGTGTGGCTGTCACGCTCGCACCCTCGAACGTGAAATCCCGAGGGGAGAATGGGCTAAGGGCGTTTGTGCGGGAGAGGATGGGGAACGTGGGGTACGCTTTCAATAGGAGCGTTTGGGAGCAGATTCACAAGTCCCACAAGGTGAGACGATATCACGCACAGTTCTAAAGTCTGGGCTGAGGGCGTTTGTGCGCGAGAGGATGGGGAACGTGGGGTATGCGTTTAACAGGAGCGCGCGGGAACAGATTCAGAAATCCCACAAGGTGAGATGAAGCAACGCACAGTTCTTGAATCTGTCTTAAGTTTGGGGTTAGCACGTTTGTTTTGCGAGAGGATGGGGAACGTGGGGTATGCGTTTAATCGGAGCATGTGAGAGCAGATTTAGCAATCCCACAAGGTGATTTGAAACCACGGTCAGTTCTAAAATCTGTCTGGAGTGTGGTGTTAGCATGTTTATGTGCAAGAGGATGGGGAACGTGGGGTACGCTTTCAATTGAAGTGTGTGGGAGCAGATTCAGAGGTCCCACAAGGTGAGACGAAGACAAGTGCTGTTCTGCATTCTCTGTCTGGCTGGAGAGTGAAGTGAGCTATGTGCGAGGGGTTTGGGAACGTGGGGAATGCGTTCATCCGGAGCATGTGAGAGCAGAACCAAGGTGTGGCAAAACCAAAGAGTGTGTCTGTGTTTTGCTTTCTGCTTCAGGGTATGTTTCTTTCCTGAAACATTTTCGTCCATATCACTCTTTGCATTCCTAAACCTTCTTTTCTCTTGATCATTTTTCCTGGATCCATTCCCGGTCCACAAAGTAATTCGTCTGCTACTTTGACAGCAATAATCCGCACCCTCCATCACCTTTCCTGTATATCCCCCCGTTGCTCTCCACCTTCCCGGTTTATGAACAGTACTTCTGCTACTTTGACGATTACAATTGGGACGTGTCGCTTTGCGAGTCCATCTTTCACTATTGGCGCCACTCAGCTCAAACCCCATCACCCTTTTCACCCTTCCTGTTTCCATCCTCCCCCTTCCCCCTCCCCCACCCCCCTTTTTTATTGAACAGTACTTCTGCTACTTTGACGACTACAACTGGGACGTGTCGCTCTCCGAATCCATCTTCCACTACTGGCGCCACTCCTCTGCGCTCCGCTGGTCGGCTGCTTCTGCGCATCACTTTGGTCGCTGCGGCCTGCACTCAGAAAAGCCGGAGGCACCCGCCCACTATCTTGTTCGAAAGAACAAGACTGAACCTGATGTTGGGGAGCAGCATGCCTCGGATACCCGTGTGAACCCGAGAGGCCGACTTGACAGTGATGGTGGGAGAACAGAGCAGTACAGAAGGATTGAGAGCGATTTTGTTGTTGTGAACGTAACAGGGAATGTGTCTTCAGCTGTGGATCAGTGTTCGAAAGAAGGTCTGAAGCTGCCAAGACTGTTGCCACATGATTTGTGGCCGGACATTGACGTGGACGCACCAATTAGAGCGTTCGATTTCAAGGGACCAGTTTTTGAACGGTTTACTGGGTTTGGAGGGTGGGGGGATGGGAGGGACCACATGCTCTGCATGCACATTGGTGCACTGTATGGAAAACGTAGCAGAACACCTGAAGCCTGATTCATTGTGGTTCTCAGAAAGTAGCTACAGCGGAATGAGTAGGATTGATAGGGTTGGGGTACACATGCCTAACCCTAACTGCTTGTACCCCATATAGCATGACCCACAACAGGGTATAACATTTGACACACCCCCATAGCCTAAGTGGGGAATGCCAAGCAACAAGAAACGCAACCTAAGGTCACAAGACCAGTCACAAACAAAAGACAAAACAAAGCTCAGGGTGGATCATAACGTCACCACACAGTCTGAGCGCAAACAGCGGCCACAAGGCCAGTTCAAGAGTGTATATGCAGATATATACTGTACAAGCAAAGACAAGAGACAAGCACTCACTACTGCAGTCTACTCGACCCAGTCTCAACGAGGCCCAACTGCAGACAGAACCGGCGGTGGTCACAAGGCTGAAGAGCCTTGGTGAAGATGTCTGCAGTGTTGGCCTCGGAGGCCACGAAGTCCAGACGAGCCTGCCCGCATCTCTGCAACTCTCGAAGGAGGAAGTACCTGACGTCGATGTGCTTCACTCTGCTCTCCAGTCGAGGCTCACGACACAGGAGAATCATCGCCCTGTTGTCAGCAAACAGGGTCGGTGCAGAGCTCGGCCGCTCACCAAGGTCAGTGAGCAAAAAGGTCAACCAGCGTAGCTCCTGAGCAGCAAGGGCCCCAGCGTAGATCTCGGCCTCTGCGGTAGAAGTCGCAACCGAGGAGGACCGAGTAGACCTCCACGAAACAGCTCCAGAACCCAGGCTGAAACAGTAACCCTGCGTAGACCTCTGAGTCTCAACGTCGTCGGCGTAGGAGGAGTCGCAGTGACCGGTGAGTACAACTGGCTGTGTCCCTCCAAGTACAAGCCCCATGCCTGATGTCGCGCCAAGGTACTTCGCCACCCTCTTAGCCGCCGCCCAGTGAACAGGACGGTGTCTCCCAGTCGCAACAAAGCGAGACAGGATGCTAAGAGGGAAGGCGAGGTCCGGGCGAGTACACGTCATCAGGTACATGAGGCAGCCCACCAGCTCTGCGTAGGGACCACTGGGCTCGAACGGCTCGTCAGGAAAAGGCCCAGTGAGTCTGTGGTCTACAGCAAGAGGAGTGGGTGTAGGAGAGGAGTCCTGAAGCCCGAACCGCTGAAGGACCTGCTGCACCATGTGTGACTGAGTCAGAGTGATGGTGCGAGCGGCTCTGTCCCTGGAGATCTGCAGGCCAAGGTAGCGGCGCAGTTCCCCAAGGTCAGTGCAGGTGTGTCTCTTCTGCAGTTCGGACTTCACCTCCGCCAGTGCAGCTGTGTCGGCTGTGGCAAAAACCAAGTCGTCAACGTAGACCAGAACGAAGAAAGGTGTGCGCCCACGACGAACAAACAGCGACGGGTCGGCGGAAGACGGCTCAAACCCGAGGTCGGACAGAGTAGAGCGGAGAGTGTCGTGCCACTCACGGGGTGCCTGGCGGAGACCGTAGACCGGTCGTCTGAGGCTCCACTGGGTCCCAGGCGGGAAAGTGCCAGTGAAGCCCGGAGGACGACGCAGCCAGATCTCCTCGTGTAGGCGGCCCTGGAGGAAGGCAGTGGAGAAGTCAAGAGAGTGTAGCTCGTAGTCTCTCTGCGCTGCTATGTGCAGTAACACCCGAAGAGTGGTCATCTTCGGGGTGGGCGCGAAGGTCTGAAAGAAGTCAACTCCCTCACGCTGACTGAACCCTCTAGCCACGTAGCGTGCCTTGAAGACTGGGGGAGATCCCGGCGGCCGCTTCACCTTGAAGATCCACATGCCGTCAACGATGTTCGCCCCTGGGGGGGGAACCTCGTCAACGTAAGTGCCTGTGGACCTGTAGGAGGCCATCTCTGCGTCCATGGCAGCTCTCCACTGAGAGGCCCAAGGCCCTGACACTGCCTCAGCGTAAGTGCGAGGAGTAGGTATGTCAGGAGCGTCGGGGTCTCCCTCAGGAGTGAGCAGCATGGCACAGAGATGAGGCGAAGCAGCTGCCAGGAACTCTAGCTCAAACTGTCTGTCCTCTAGGACGTCACAGCCAAGGGCAGACTCACCCCCGGCGGACAGAGGACGGACAGGAGGAGCGGCCACAACACGAGTGGCGTAGTCAAGGCGACGCGTAGCAGTAAAGTCAGTGACAGCGGCAGTGAGGACCGCGACGGAGGAAGGGGAGGCACGAGGGTCTGTAACAAGAGAGGCGAGAACACGAGAGAGAGTGGGGCGGTACGTGCGGTAGTAGTCAGTGACCGGAGTGGACAGGGAGGCAGTGAGGGAAGACTCAGGAGGACGAGGAAGGGCCGACGGAGGAGAACGAGGAGGACTAGGACGAAACAACACGGTACGGAGGTCAGTGACAGGGGACGAGGGACGAGCACGAGGAGGACGAGAGGCCCAAGTGTGGGCGAGAGGAGTGGGGGACGGAGGAGACAGAGAACGAGGGAAGACAGCCGGAGTGGAGTCCGGAGGAGGAAACGTAGGACCGAACACAGGAGGAGAGGAGGGGAGACCAAGGGCCCGAAGGCCAGAAACAGGGGGCGGAGGCTGCTGCTGCGGCTGCTGCTGCTGCTGCTGCTGCTGCTGCTGCTGCTGCTGCTGCTGCTGCTCCCGCTGCAACTCCAACCTCTCACTCTCCACCCGCTGCTGAAGCTCCAACCTCTCACGCTCCAAACGCTGCTGCTCCTCGCGCTCAAGACGAAGACGGGCCTGGTGGCGAGTCGGGTAAGGGTGAGGAGGAGGAGTAGCGTGAGGAGACGACGAAGAAGAACCTGCTCCGCCGTCGACAGCACCCGGCTGAGCACCCCCAGAGCGAGTACCCCCCGCGGCAGCACGACCTGCACCTGCAGGAGGTGTACCCGCACCCCCAGGCGTGGTGCCCCCAGTAGCACCAGCACCAGCCCCAGACTCTCCAGCTCCAGAAACACCACCAGCTCCAGCACCACCACCAGCTCCAGTACCCTCGGAACGGGCAGCTGCGGCAGGTGCACGCTCAGCGCCAGTGCCAGCACCCCCAGAACTAGCCGCTCCTGTAGGTGCACGAATAGCTCCAACGCCAGCACCCCCAGAGCGAGCACCGCCAGAGCCCTCACCGCTAGCACCGACACCCTCAGTGTCCGCAGTGGCCGGTGAAGGAAGCGCCGACGGCTGCTGCGGAGGCGGTGAGGACGACTGTGGGGAAGGAGGAGAGACCTGGGGGGGTACCGAGGGAGGGGGAGTAGCGTGAGACACACCAGACGGAGCGGGAACAGGGGGGGGTACCGGAGGAGCAGGGGCGGGAGGAGGAGGAGCTGGAGCCAGGAAGAGGGGAGGGGGGGGAACCGGGAGACCTCGAGAGGGGTACCTGACGTAGTAGGGGACGGACTCGTCGAAACGGACGTCACGAGAGTCAAAGAACCGGTGGGAGGGTGGGTGGTAAAAGGTGAAGTCAGAGGAGTCCTTTGGGAAACCAAGGAAGACACAGGGGACTGCACGAGGCGAGATCTTGTCCGCAGAGGTGTCGCGGACAAGTGTGAGCCAAGCAGCCCCAGACACTAAACCTCGACGCAACACCAGGGGACCCTGTCCAAAGACTGGTCGGTGAAGCCCCTGGCCGAGAGACGCGAGGCCAGAGGTTCAGCTGGTGAGCGGCGTACCGAGCCGCGTAGGGCCACAGAAAATGGGGCGCGCGGGCGTGGATCATGGAGGTGCGGGCGATCTCCATGACCAGGCCTAAGCGGCGCTCAGCAACCCCATTCTGCTGTGGAGAGTCTGGAAGAGTCCAGGACTGGGTGATGCCCTGCTCAGCACAGAATCTGGCGAGAATGCCGGAGCGAAACTCACCCCCACGGTCGGAGTGGAGACAACTGACACGACGACCACGAGTGCCCTCGGTGGCGAGCAGCCACCGGATCAGCGTAGAAGTCACGTCGGACTTCTTCGCCAAAGGGAACACGGTGGTGTACCGAGAGAAATCGTCAACGACCACCAGAAAGAAACTCTCCCGCTCAGGGCCAAGGCGGGAGGCGGGGCCCCAGACGTCTAAGTGGAGTGTCTGGAAGGGCTCGGTGGCCGGACGAAGGGAGGAGGAGTGAGGGGTGGCGCGAAGCCGACCCTGGACACAAGGACCGCACGGAGGAGCTGGGGACGGCGGGAGTGGCGGGAGGACTCGGGGGAGGCCTAAGACAAGACGCTGACTGGACATGGCGCGCAGACGAGGAAGGGACGGGTGCCCCATCCGGTGGTGCCACAGAACGGTGGGGTGGGCAAGCGACCGACACGAGCACGACGCAGCAACTACACCTGACACAGCAACCTGACTGGACCCGGCTACCTGGTGGGACGGGGGAACCTGACGGGGGTCGGTGCGGAGGGTGTACAGACCAGAGCCCGGCTCCTGGCGGAAAGTGGCCAAGGGGGCGTACGTGTCACCGTCGACGCAGACTGCGGTGTCACCAGAAGGCTCAACCCAGACACCGACGTGCTGTCTCGCCAAGGTGCCCACACCAACCAGGTTCCTAGAGAACGTAGGAACGTGGAGGCCGGTCAGGGAACCAGAAGGAGCAGCTGGGCACGGGAGAGTAGTGGCGTGAGTCGCAATGACCGGTCCCGAGGAGGGATCGGCCAGTGCTACAGGGACAGGCGCCGGTAGCGGAGAGAGAGTCGTGCAGTCGCGGAAGAAGCAGTGCGACGCTCCTGAGTCCAGTGTGAAGGAGAGAGACGTGTCCGCCGAGGGAGTACCTGTACTAGTAGCTAAGCAAGATCCTACACTAGCACCTACTCTAGCAACAGGCAAAGATCCTAAGCTAGGTACAGGCAAGTACACAGATCCAGGAGCACTATAGTCAACATCAGCATACATGGCATAAGACCTAGCATCATCCATAGTCATATCAAAAACAGCAATACCACGAGCAAGCAGCGTCCCCCAGCGTGGCGGCGGGGGAGCGGAGGGGCCGTGGTGCAAGCGGTAGAGGTCGTCGAGACGACTGAAGCAGCGTGCAGCAGAGTGGTCGGGGCGGCCACAGTACGTGTCCCTACGAGGACCCGTAAGGATCCAGTACTCACAGGGACCAACGTCGCGGCCGGCCGCGCGAGGTCCCCGACTGGAGGGGGCGCCACCGCGCCCAGTGCTCGGGGGACCCGCAGACCTCCACTGCTGCGGAGGGCCCCACTGCTGCGGAGGGCCCCACTGCTGAGGCTGCTGCTGCGGTAGGCGCTGCTGCTGGCCCTGTCGCTGCTGCTGCTGCTGTCCCTGCCGCTGCTGCTGTCCAGGCGGTGGCAGCTGCTGAGGAGTCGGCTGCTGCTGCTGCTGGAGCCCCTCACCACCAATGGAAACTCCACCGTCGAAAGGAGGGCCGTCAGGTCCCGAGCCACCCCCACCACCACTCCCACCACCTGCTCCACCGCCACCGCCACTACCCGCACCACCTCCAGTACCCCCGCCGCCCTTCCCGCCCTTCTTGCCGGCCTTGCCACGTTTCTGTCCGCCAGAGACAGAAACAGCCGCCGTCTCCTCGGAGGCAGAAGACGTGGGAGTGGCAAGGGAGGCAGAGAAGGTGGGAAGCTGTGGTACCGCACACCCCTCAAAAAGACGAGGAGGAGGCGCGGAAGAGGCAGAGGCAACGGTGAGGAGGTTACTCTCGATCTTCGAGAGAGCAGTCTCAAGAAGATCGATGGTAAGCTCAGTGGGGTGCTTCAGAAGAAGCGCATCGCGGGCTGTGGCTAGGCGGTCAGGGAGGCGAGTGACTAGCCAGTGAATAGTGAGCCACATAGGGGGCGGGGCAAGGGCAAGCTGGTCCTCAGTGCAAGCAGCGCGAAAGCGAGCGTCAAGGGAGCGCAGGTGAGTAGCGAGGTCAGAGACAGTCTCAAAGGAGGCGAGGTCAGGGTAGATAAAGGGTACGAGGAGGCGACTGAGCGACGCAGAGGAGGGAGTAGAGTAGCGAGCAACAATAGCCTTATACAGATCTGCAGCAGACTCGACCTGAGCGAAGTGGACTGCCTCTGTCGGCGGGAGAAGGTCGGTCAGGGCGAGGCAGGCAGCGGCGTCACGAGACTCCCACACGTCGCGAGCGAGGAGCTGGCGCTGGTACTCGGCCTCCTGCTCAGGAGTAGGCGGTGGGGTAGTGGGCAGCGGGCTAGGCTGCTGGGGAGCGGTCTGAGTACCGGATGCGTGGGCGAACAAGTGCACGCCATCCTGCCGCTGGCTCTTAAGGTGGCGCTGCGCCTGCGTAAGCCACGTGCTAAAATCTATAGGTCGCCCTTCAGGGTCGAAACGAAGTACTCGGGAGGTCGCCATAGAGGGCGAGACTGAGAGAGCGCGGCTGCCAGCCGCGGGAGGGGAGAGACAATCAGTAACGTGTGGGCAGGCGGGGAGGCATGTAGGTGGGTATGTGAGCGGCGCAGTGCGCTGTCTGGTGGGCAGCGCGGTACGCTGGCTGGTGGGCGGTGCAGTGCGCTGGGTGGTGGGCGGCACGGCGCGCTATGGGGCGTGCGGCACGGCGTACTGAGTGACGGGCGGGCTGCGCAGCCGGTCGACGGGCGGGCGACGCGGCGCGCGGGCCTACGGGCGGCGCGGCGGGTCGACGAGCGGGCTGCGCAGCTGGTCAACAGCGGGCGACGCGGCGCGCGGGCCTACGGGCGGCGCGGCGGGTCGACGAGCGGGCTGCGCAGCTGGTCGACGGCGGGCGACGCGGCGCGCGGGCCTACGGGCGGCGCTGCGGGTCGACGAGCGGGCCTGCAGGCGTTCTAGGCGACGGGCAGGCCTACGGGCGGGCTGCGCGAGCCTACGGGTGGGTGGCGCGGTGGCTAGGGTTTAGGCCGCGCTGCAGGTCGACCGGCGGCGTGGCGCGTTAGGGGGCAGCTGGCTGGCTGGCTGGCGGCTTAGGGCTTAGCGCACTAGCGCGCTGGCGTGTGTGGCGAGCTAGGGAAGGAACGAAACCCTAAACTTAGGGCATAGGAGCGAGGAACCTAGCTGATACCATCTCAGAAAGTAGCTACAGCGGAATGAGTAGGATTGATAGGGTTGGGGTACACATGCCTAACCCTAACTGCTTGTACCCCATATAGCATGACCCACAACAGGGTATAACATTTGACAGTTCTTAATTCCATATCAAGCCGTTTCTCCTCGCCAAATGGCTAACACCAAGCAGCACAATGGAATTTAACAACCCAAAACAAGATTGACTGCTGGAGGCATACACTGGACTGGAGTTTCTCCATCAACCTTCAGCGCCCAAAGAACACAAGGCGTTTGCAAATGCTACTGAAACGACAATAGATATGACTTGCAACTGTGCTCTGATAAATCACTTTGGAAATGGCTGGAATTTCCTACAGCTTGGAAGACCATCAGTGGAGCTATTCCTGATAAATAAATACGTGTCCAGTTCTGGAACTTTTCACACGTGCCCTTGGACCGCCTCACAACAGCGAGTGAAGATATCAGCTTGTCCGGAGCTTGTTAGCGCTTCCTTGAGGGCCTACATGAATGCCAGAGCATAAGCAGACAACCCAATATAAACTTCAATGGGAGCACCTCGATTGATATGATAGGGCTCCTTACGTCAACCAGTGCTGTCTTAGCATTCAAGGCCTCTGCAAGTTCATGTGTCTTCGTACTGACAGCCATTAACGACTCCTGCACAAGCGTCCAGCACATTCAGCAAGAGGGCAGACCGGCAGCATGGCGCACCAATGGAATGCCTACCTTGAGCTGTGCCATCTCAGTCTGCATTTTTGCCTTCTCAGATTTGAGCTGAGAGACCTGTTGTAGTGCAGGCCAGACATGAATGGGTTGCTGCAATTGAAAGGACAGCTGCAGGAAAACCATTGCGGTGTCACCTCTTCTGATAACGTTGAGATAGCGTTGAGCCTTCGTAAGCGAGATCTTTCCGCTGACTGTCGATTTGCCAAAATTCGTTCAGCCTTCTTGGGGTTTTCAGCTCGTGCACTCTGCATTAGGGTGGTTAATCTGGTACTGTACACAGAATTTTGATAAATGCCAGCCGTAGTCAAGCTTATGCTTACTTCAAGCCTCTCCCTGTCCCGATCTCTGCGGCTGGATCCTGGCATGTGGACACAACTCATAGTGCGACGTGATGACGCTGAATGCATAAAGAATAACAGCATCCTTTACGAGGACCATACAATTGTCAGCTATTCAATGCGTACACTTACCAGCGGAGGCCGATGTAAGCTCACCACACCATCTGCAGAATAGGTCATTTTGTTTAGGAGGTATTATCTTGATTGAATTCTCGAAGAACTCACCTGCTTCGCTTTGTGCGAATCTGGCGCTTCTTTCCGCTGTCAGTTTCGTTTGATGCGAGCTCAAGATGTCGTTCGTTCTTTTCGCAAGGAGGGTCAGTTGAACGGTCACGACGTATCAGAGTAAGCGGTTGACAGTTCTCCTGGCCGCTCGGTTGCTTGCGTTTACGTTCGTTGTCTATGCTCATCGCAGGTTGAGTCAGCGGCATGTTGCTGCACCTTTGGAGCGTAATGCCACTAGAATACACCTCCGAAGCCTTAAGAGGCTTCAGAAATGCTCCACGTCTATCTCCTCTGCATTCGCTGAAAAGCACAATGCAGCGGTTATGGGGAGAGTTGCGTTGAAAGACATCGTTTTCGACATCGTACCTCTCCTCCGATAAACCGTCTGGATGTGCTCCCTCGAGTCCTGGGGCTGAACGGCTCCCCATCCATGGCACTAGCGCCATGGTTCCACGCTCAAGTTCAATGGAGACCTTATCTGCTAGGACAAACGACCATTAGGATGCACATCGATTATACCTAAATGCCTGACGACGACTAACCTGAGGTGTCCTCCATTTCGTCAGTAAAAGGTAGTAAGGTTGGTTGTGAGCCTGCACTATCAATAAAGCAGGACGGGGAAACGATGCTTTATCGATATGTAGAATAGGATAGATGTTGGACAATCGATGTTGGAAACAGAGGGGGTGTTCCTGAACGGTGCCAAACTTCGGGGCAGGCTGCCCAAGTGTGTGGGGGTTTGGGCTAGACCTCACTGAGTTTAACCCTAACCGAAACAAACGAACCAGCTTCGCTACTTCATTACACCGAACTTTGCAAGCGTCCTTTCCTGTCCACTGTCGCATTCCATGACATCAATCCGAACTTCAACCTTTCGTACGAACCAGCCCTTTCGAAACACATGAAACTCGAACATGGTTTTCTGGAGCCGGACAACTCAACTTATTTCCTTCAAATTCTTGAACACGCCCTGAATAAAACCTAAATAGGCGACCCTGTCTCAGCACCAGCTGACTGGGTTTCTTATGTGGCTACTACAACAAACTTGGCGTGTAGAACCACACGTCCTCGCCATAGTCCAATGAATTTTTGTCAGTCTCATGAGTCTGATGCAAGCGGAGGTGACAAAAAAATTGTGACGCCTTTATCTTGAAGAGGGCCTCAGCATCTTGTGATCACTTAGACTCCGTGACGTTCTTCAGACGAGCTTATAAGGAAGTTCTGGTGCCCGTCATTTCTGGAGATTGTTTGCTGGCCGCTTTTTTTAAAACATTATGGCGGTTTCCAGCTCTAGTGAAGAGGAGGACCGTCGGGAAGATAAGCGAGACCGGAAGAGAAGGAGTTTGAGCAAGGAGGACAAACCACGCAGCGAAAAGAAGGAAAGGAAGGATCGCGAGCAGAAGCGTCGTAAGCGACGACGACGCGAATCCAGCGACTCCAGCGACTCCAGCGACGGCAGCGACGACAGCGGATCAGAAGCTTCAAGCAGTGGATACAGCAGCGATGAGAGCGAGATCAGCAGGAGGAAGAAACGGCGAGAAAAAGAGGGGAAGCGTCGAAATAGGTGAGTGCCTTTTATTTGTAAAAGCTTCTTATTGCTATGGTGTCCTGCAATCCCACTCTCATAATGTTTCCGAGTTATCCTTTCCTCCCACTCTCTCTTTACCCTTTGTCTATATTTTATATTTTCAGGAGTCGTTCAAACAGCAGCAGCGATAGCGATGGATCGGATGATAGTGATTCTAGTGAAGGCGACAGAAGTAAACGGAAGTCAAGATCGTCCAAGTCCTCTAGCAGCAAGGTAAAATTTCTTGCTTGCTCTTGGGTTGTCTCAGTATCTTAGTCCGCCCAGTATATGACTAGATATATATAATTTGTCATAGGTCTCTGTGTATTGTTGAGGCCTAGCGTCCTCTAACGAATCTTTTTTTTCTTGCCCTTGTTTTTTTGCTTTCTGTTTTGACTTTACACAGTGCCTTTCCAATGTACTGTTTCTTGTTTCCTTTAGTATCCCATGCCTTCTGTTATTGTAACACTGCTTATTCTGGTCTTTCTATTCTTACGGTGTGATTGGACTGGACGGGGGTTGGGATGGGTGCGGTGGGGATTTGATGGGGTCGCTGGGATGCGTATGCGTGCACGGGAAGGATGAACGAGGAGAAGCAGAAGAAGAGTAGCAGCCGTCGAGACCGTCGTCGATCCAGCCGGGACAGGCGGTCGGACAAGAAGGGCAAGAGCAAAAGGCGATCATCAGACAAGGTACTTGCTTGATGCTTGTGCCAAGAAGACATGCAGATGTACCACGCAGTGGTGCCTGCCGTGCAAGCACTTCTGCAAACCAAATACTGCTAACTCATTTCTGTATCCGCAGAGGTTGTGTCAACTTGCTAATTTTATCCCTGTTTCTTTTCCTTGTGCCTGCATGCTGACCATTCTCCTATCCATGTGTGTGTGCATGCATGTGTTTCTTTGCATGTCCGAATGTGGGGGGTGTTGGATGTGCATTCATGCCTGTCACATCATATCTATATGATCTCCGAATCTCTCCTTACTGGAGCTCCCATTGTGGCGCCGTGTCACATGGACCGTGCCACGTGCCGTCATCCTCTCTACTCCTCGAGTGCAACTCCTTACGTCGACAAACCTTTCGGCCTCGAAATTCGTCAACACAATCCTGCTAATTCTCGCTGGAGTTTCAACACGGTTTATCGACCTGCTTCATCACTCTGGATTTGATTTTATTTAAAACCTCCGTTTCGATGACATTACCATCTTTTTTCGAATGCACCTTCGCCTGTGTTGTTGTTGGTCTGTCGATGCACTAATCGTTGTGCTCTGTCTCATCATTCAGAAAGGATCCAAATCCTCTGGTGAAGCAACGCCAGGGCCAGTGCAGCTCTCACAGGTCAGTTTCTCTTGGAATCATCATTTGCTGGTTTGGGAGCTCCTTTGATTTCAGCAATACATTACTCATTTCCCTATCCTGGGTGTGTTTGTGACATGTTCTCCAAGACACTACAAGTAAAGCACTCCTCATTTGCACTGTTTCTTTCCTTCCACTTCCTTTTTGGTGGCCTTGCCCAGTTTCTTGGTCGCGATGATGGCTCCACACGCTACAGTGTCATATCAGGCAAGAAGGTACGCCAGAAAATAGGTCACATCAGAGCCATGCACACAGGCGAGAAACCTGAGCCGAGCGAATTAGAGTTATGAAATCGTTGAACAAAGTCAGCCAGTTGAGGCCTTTGGCGTGTAGGCTTTTTTATTCGCAGCCTCACTTCACCATGATTTCGACTCTCTGATCTCGGCTTGCTAAACACCCTTTGGTTTTCTTGGTTCAGATTCGCATGAAGGTGGACAAGACCAAGGACGACAAGGTTGCTGAAGCCAATCGATCTGAGCTTCTGCGCTTCCTGAATTCAAGCTACGACTAGGTTGAGGCTGAGTGCTGGTGTTCACCTCCAACGTTTTAAAATATCCAACCTTTCCGATCTGCTGTGCGTTCTGAGATCACAGTATGGTGATATGCTGTGCAATTAATAACGGTCACTACGCAGGTATGTTTACATACAAACTGTAGTTACTATTTTCCATTACCATGCTGCAGGGCTAGGGTGATGATGTCTTGATGCTTTGTTGTGCATCGTGATATTCCAGTTGTTGATCGTATGTTCTGAAGATGTACTACCACTGAAAGAGATTCTTCTGGTACATAGTTACCGATAACAGTCAGTACAACATTCCTACTGCACAGCACTCTAGATGAGGCTAGCAACACTGCCATGAAGCAAGCCTCTGTCCTCGCAGCCTTGCTCGGAAAGAAGAAACCTCTACTTGAAGCACTTGGCCTCCTGCAGTTTGAGCCCATCGACCTCATCGGGCTCCTCAAAGTAGGCGTTCACACGCTCCTTCTGTGCCTCATCACTCAGGTCCACCTGGAAAGCAACGCACACCAGTGGAGAGCAGTGGAGAGTGGTGGAGTGCAATACAGCAGACACAAGTGTAAGTATGCATTCTCATGCTCCTCTGCGCCTCGTGCTCAGGTCCACCTGGAAAGCAACGCACATGGGTGAAGTGTGGTGCGATACAGCAGGTACGAGTGACGAAGAGCACAGCAGAGTGAGGAAAGTGCATTGGACAGTGAATTCTTCTGCCTCTTGTACAAGAACTTATGGTACAGAGCAAATGGGAGGGGACGGCGGTCACCTATCTTTGAGTTGACTCAAAAAAAGGGTCACCTTACACCAGCTATACACACCCTTGATCACAAACAGGCCCTCATCCCTTACACCACCGTTTGACCTACCTCACACTCTCACCTTGCTGATACAGCTCACAGTCATAACACCCTTCCATCACAACCACCCACGCATCCTTGATCACCAACAGGCCATCATGACACGCACCACGGTCAAACCTGCTTCCCATTCTCACCTTGCTCCAGTCATACATCTCGCAGTCGTAACACTCCTCCATGACAAACGGAGGCACCTCGCTCCCGCGGAACAGCCACACGCCCTTGATGACAAACGGGCCCTCGTCCGGACCCAGAATGTACAACCCACTCCTGTCTCCCACACCCCATTACACCTGCCCCAGCACCCAAAATCCAACCACGATTTGACCGCCCTGCCCCATTCTATCACTCTCACCTTGCTCCAATCATACAGTCCCTCTTCCTGCATCTCCCTCTCCCTCTCATTCTCCCACTGTTCCGCTTCTCACCTTGCTCCAATCGTACCACTCGCAGTCGTAGCACTCCTCCATCACGAATGAAGGCACCTCGCTCCCGCGGAACAGCCACACGCCCTTGATGACAAACGGGCCCTCGTCCGGACCCAGAATGTACAACCCACTCCCACCTCCCACAACCCATTACACCTGCCCCAGCACCCAAAATCCAACCACGATTTGACCGCCCTGCCCCATTCTATCACTCTCACCTTGCTCCAATCATACAGCTCGCAGTCGTAGCATTCCTCCATCACAAACGGCGGCACCTCACTCCCGCGGAACAGCCACACGCCCTTGATCACAAACGGGCCCTCGTCCGGACCCAGAATGCACATCTTGGCAAACGCGTACTTGCGGGCGAGGTCCATGCGCTGTAGGAACCCCGACACTTTGTTAAGCGTCACGAATTTCACCGTGTTCTCGTCGTCAAACTTGTAGTCGCAGAACCAGAGAGAATAGCCCTCGGGATCAAACATTTCCCAGAAGCCTGGGAGGGAGGGAGATGGAAGGAGAGGGCGCACGGGCATGTGAGATTAAGTGGGAGTGACGGATGGCAAGAGATTGAAAGTGTTCTCGTCGTAGGACTTGTAGTCGCAGAACCAGAGGGAGTAGCCCTCGGGATCAAACATCTCCCAGAAGCCTGGCGTGAGGGGGTAACAGAGTGCGGTACGGATGGATACAATGAGATGTTGAGAGCCACACAGTTCAGGGTGTCTTGAAAGTGTTCTCGTCGTAGGACTTGTAGTCGCAGAACCAGAGGGAGTAGCCCTCGGGATCAAACATCTCCCAGAAGCCTGGTGTGTGCGCAGGAGGGGGGGGAGGGAAGGATGTAGAAGCAAGTGGGAGCAAGGAAGCTGAGTTTGTAGTCACGGAACAATAGTGAAAAGCCCTCCAGATCAAACATGTCCCAAGCTTCACCTTTAATCGTCACGGCTCTGAACACCTTGGCCTTGGTGTTGCAACCAGTAGCATGGGGCTAGGAGGCAGCGAGCAGACCCTGAGCAGGAATACTCTGCCCCCCACGCCTTCAACTGCCTCACATCTCACCTAAAGGCCGCCTTTCTGAACCCCTTGGCCTTGTTGTTGGGATACAATCGCCTTGACCCTACTCACCACTCAGTCTCACATCTCACCTTTAATAGTCACCTCTCTGAAATCCTTAGCCTTGGTGCTGGAGTAGAGCCTCTTCCACGCATCCAGCACCAAGGGGCTGGGAGGCAGCAGGTCAAGAGAATTCTTCTGCCTTCTTCTGCCTTGACTGACCCTACTCACCACTCAGTCTCACGTCTCACCTTTGATGGACACCTCTCTGAACTTATTCGCTTTGGTATTCGAATAAAGCCTCTTCCACGCATCCAACACCATGGGGCTGGGGGGCAGCAGGTCCAGAGGGTTCTTTGCCTTGGGCTTCGGTGCCCCCTCCTCCCCTTCACCCATTCCCTGTGATGTGTCCCTGTGCTGCCTCAAACTGCCTTATATCTCACCTTTGATCGCCACTTCTCTAAAGTTGTTCGCCTTGGTGTTCGAATAAAGCCGCTTCCACGCGTCCAACACCATGGGGCTCGGAGGCAGCAAATCAAGAGGGTTCTTTGCCTTGGGTTTGGGTGCCCCCTCCTCCCCTTCACCGCCTCCCGCTGCTGCAGCTGCCGCTGGTGCTGCCGCTGGTGCTGCTGCTGCTGCGGGCGCTGCTGCTTTTTCGTCCTGTTTGGGCTTCATGAGCTTGTAAAGAGGTGAATCCTCCCACTTGACAATCTCTGTCGGCACCTTGGCGATCTGTAAAGAGGGGGACAATTACAAGATGAGGGGTTGAGAATGAAAGGACAGGAGGAAGGGATAAGGGTGGGTGCTGCTTTGTCGTCCTGTTTTGGCTTCATGAGCTTGTAAAGAGGGGAGTCCTCCCACTTGACGATCTCTGTGGGCACCATGGCGATCTGAGAGGGAGGGATTGAGGAGAGAAGGAAGGGGGGGAGAAGAGGGAGAAGAGGAAGCAGGAAGGGTGGGTGCTGCTGCTTTGTCGTCCTGTTTAGGCTTTATGAATTTGAGCTGGAGTGAGTCCTCCCGCTTAACGATCTCCGTGGGTACCTCTTGTTACAAGAGGTGAGGAGGAAAGATGGGTAAAACGGGATGGATATGGGTGGCCTTTCTTTGTTGTCGTCCTGCTTTGGCTTCATGAGAGCAAGAAGAGCCTGGCAGTAAGAAGCGAGACACAGACGAGTCCCCCCGTACGAGGCAAACAGCAACCAGATCAATAGTCAAAAGAAGCAGAGGCTGGAAATGTTGATGCCGTAACCACTGCTGCTCGTGGTGCCCCTGGTACTTCCCCTCCTGAGCAACAGGAGCAGGAGCAAGAGGAGAAGTACCAGGACTACCACGAACAGCAGTGGTTGTGGCAACAGCATGACCAGCCTCTGGTTTTTTGCCCTTCGATCTGGTTGCTGCACCCCTCCTACGAGAGACTCGTTTGTGTCTCGCTCCTAGGGAGGAAGAAGGGGGGAGAGGGGGAACGACGGAGAGGCGGAAGTAGGAAGGGAGGGTGCTGCTTTGTTGTCCAGGAAACAAAAAAACCATTCATAGTAGCTACAAAACAACCTTATGCATACCATGTTGACCTCCCCTTTCACCTGCTCCACCTCTCCAATGACCGCCTTGAACTGCTTCTGGTGCACCAAGGTGAAGAAGTATCGCTGCACGTGGGGGTAATCCTTCTTCTTACCTGCCAACTAACCACGTTATCCACTCCATCTCCCTTCTCCTCACCTGCTCGACTTCCCCAATGTCTGCATTGAACTGCTTCTGGTGAACCAGTGTGAAGAAGTATCGCTGCACGTGGGGTTGGGGAGCTCCCTCCCTCATAACACCTACAATGAGCAATAAGTGGGCAACAATCTCACCTGCTCCACGTCCCCAATCACAGCCTTGAACTGCTTCTGATGCACTAGGGTGAAGAAGTATCGCTGCACATGCGGGTAATAGCAGCTACCTACCTAGGAGCCTACCCACCCAGCTGCCTGCTTCCCCCTCACCTGCTCCACGTCCCCAATCACGGCCTTGAACTGCTTCTGATGCACCAGGGTGAAGAAGTACCGCTGCACATGGGGGTAATCCCGCATGAACTCCTCACTCCACAGCCCCCGGATGGGTGACGTCAGCACCGACACCGTGATGATGTCAGCGAGCGTCACCCGCTCGCCCACCAGGTAGGTGTGGTCGGCAAGGTGGGTGTTCAGCGCAGCCAAGCCCCTCTTGGCGTTCACTATAGCCTTCTCCTCCACCTGCAAGAGGGCATTAGGTAGGGGTTGAAGGGATAAGAAGGCTGTCACCCGCTCCCCCACCAGGTAGGTGTGGTCGGCGAGGTCTGAGTTGAGGGCTGCGAGTCCTCTCTTGGCGTTCATAATCGCCTTCTTCTCCACCTGCAAGAGGGAGAAAGAAGGGTTGGATGGAACTTGGAAGGGATAAGAAGGTTGTCACCCGCTCGCCCACGAGGTAGGTGCGGTTGGTGAGATGGGCATGTTGAGTGCTGCGAGTCGCCTATTGGCGTTCACAATGGCTTTCTCCTCCACCTGCCAAGGAGCAACAAGGGTTACTAAAAAATTTCAAGGGTTCCTCTTTTCACTAGTTGACTATCGTCCCTCTGCTAAAGGCGACCTTGCCTACTGCTGCCCTTGTTCATGAGCACAGAACAATGTCTTTCTCCTCCACCTGCCAAGGAGCAACAAGGGTTCGTCGGAGGGAGGAATGGTTGGAGGGGATATCAGAAGGGCGTCACCCGCTCCCCCACCAGGTACGTGGTGTGATCGGCGAGATGCGAGTTCAGTGCTGCGAGGCGCCGAGGCCCCTCTTGGCGTTTACGATAGCCTTCTCCTCGACCTGGTAACAAGGGGATAGGGATCAGGTTGGAACAAGGATTGGTTGGAGGGGATATCAGAAGGGCGTCACCCGCTCGCCCACCAGGTACGTGTGGTCGGCGAGATGCGAGTTCAGAGCTACCAGCCACCTCTTAACGTTCACGATGGCTTTCTCCTCCACCTGGAAGCCAAAGGGGGAAAAAGGGGTTGGTTGAAGCGGATATATCAACTTCCACCTCGACCGCGAGACCGGGCAGCTGTCTGACCGGAAAAAAAGTCTCCCTGGGCACGCAGCCCATCGCGCTGCGCACGTTCCGGTCGCGCGACGCCACGCACGTGTTTGCGGCGTCGGACCGGCCGACGGTGGTGCACAGCAGCAACCGCAAGCTGCTCTACTCCAACGTGAACCTCAAAGAGGTCACCCACATGTGCTCCTTCAACTGCGCCTCCTTCCCCGACAGGTGGGCCACGCGGACGGTGGGCGGCATGAGATCACGCGCTCTTCCACCGGGTAAGTGTGGTCAGCAAGATGCGAGTTGATTGCTGCCAAACCCCTCTCGGCATTTACAAGCGCCTTCTCCTGCACCCGTGAAATCCAGGTATCAGGCACTAAGGCAACAAATAGGGGAGGAATGGACAGGCAAAGACCAGGTAGGTGTGGTTGGCGAGGCGGGAGTAGAGCACTGCCAAACACCTCTTAGCGTTCAGAACAGCCTTCTCCTCCGCCTGAAAGGAGGGGATAGGGATCGGGTTGGAACAAGAATTGGGGATTGAAAGAGCATCTCTGTTCTAGCCATTGCTCACCTCTGGAATCCTGGTGCCATATTGGTAGAGCGGCCCGATCCACTGGTACACAGGGGTGTCAATCTCATTGGTTGCAAAGTCGATCCACTGCTCCACCTGCGCCTGATGGGGAGAGAGAGGGTGCAGAGAGCAGCAGAGAGAGCAGAAGAGAGGGCATGTGAGGCCTAAACTGGTAGATATAAGGCTCTAAACTGATAGAGTGGCGCAATCCACTGGTAGACAGGGATGTCGATCTCATTGGTTGCAAAGTCAATCCACTGCTCCACCTGTGCCTGATGGGAGTAACCAAAGAGGGCGGAGAGGGCAACAGAAAGGGCATGAGAGGCATGAGATAAGGCTCCATACTGGTAGAGAGGTCCGATCCACTGGTACACGGGAGTGTCGATCTCATTGGTTGCGAAATCTATCCACTGCTCCACCTGCGCCTGATGGGTGTAATAAGAGTGGGTGAAGAGGGCAGCAGAGAGGGCAACAGAAAGGGCATGTGAGGCATGACATACGGCTCTATACTGGTAAAGCAGGCCGATCCACTGGTACACAGGGGTGTCGATCTCATTGGTTGCGAAGTCAATCCACTGCTCCACCTGCGCCTGATGGGTGGAGAGAAGGACAGTAGAAAGAGGCCAGCAGAGGGTGCAGCAGAGAGGGCAGCAGAAAGGGCATTTGAGGCATGGCATAAGGCTCTATACTGGTAGAGCGGGCTGGTCCACTGGTACACGGGAGTGTCAATCTCATTGGTTGCAAGGTCAATCCACTGCCCCACCACCGCCTGATTGGGGATGAGACGTGCAGTAGAGAAGACAACGGAGAGGGAAGCAGAAAGGGCATACGCGAGGGCATGTGAGTCAGGGAAATAAAAAAACAAATATAGATATTTTTAAGTTCGTAGATGATAACGGCAGGGCTAGGAAGGCATATTATTTATGCCGTAAGGGAGAAGACCTTGGCCACGACCCTACGGAAAGGATGCCTGGTGTACGATAACAAGGTGTGCAAGTGGGGAAATGCGAGTTAATATGTACTCTACATCTCCCCGCTTGCACACTCTGTTGTCGCACGCCAGGACACACTTTCTGTAGGGTCGTGACAAAGATCTTCTCCCTTATGGCATAAGAAACACGCCCTCTTAGCCCTCGCATTTTCATCTACAAACTCAAGAATATTCATATCTAGATTGTTGTTTCATTTCCCACCTTTTGTTGTTGCCCCAATCTCTTCGCCATCCTCTACCCCTATCCTTCCATCGTTCCCTCCCTCTGCCCCTCCCCGTTCCGCACCTTTTGTCCCTCCTTCCCCTACCTCTGCCTTCCATCTGCCCTCCCACAACCCCCTTCTTTGCCCCCCGCTCTGCACTCCCCTCTGCCTTACGGAAAGAGTACCTGGTGTGCAACAATAGGGTGTGCAAATGAGGTATGTGCAGGTATCGTTCGGGCTCAGATGCTGCTACTCACCTGCTCGTACGCGTTCGACCCAAACAGGCCCTTGTCCGCTAGCCTGGCGACTGCAGAAGGGAAGCAAGAGGGTTTACAGATGTGAGAGAAGGCAGGAAGAAGCTTTGGGCTAGTGAAGTGAGAGCTTGGCGATTGATAGTAGAGCAGAGAAGGACGGAGATGCGGGACGGAAACAGCAACTACAACAGTATTAGGACAACGGCAGCAGCAGCAACAACAATAGTAGAAGCAACAACGATAACAACAGCAGAAGCATCAACAGTAACCAGCAGCGGCGGCGGCGGCAGCAGCAGCAGCAGCAGCAGCAGCAGCAGCAGCAGCGGCGGCGGCGGCGGCAGCAGCAGCAACAGCAGCAGCAACAGCAACAGCAGTGACAATAACAGCAAAAACAGAGTTACAAAGCAGCAGAAGTAGCAGCAAACCACAATTGCAGCAGCAACAACAGCAATAGCCGCAGTTGCAGCAACAGCCCAGTGTATCTACCCACAACAACAGCAAACGACAGCAAAAGCAAATGATGGCCACAGCAGCCTACCGTATCTGGCAATGGCGTTGCTCTCGAAGATTGGCCCATCAGGAGTGACAATAAGTGGAATCTGCAACACAGCACAACATAGCATAGCATTGCACAGAGCAGAATGACACAACACAACATGGAGTGCTTTGAGTGCTCTCGAAGATTGGGCCATCAGGAGTGACAATCAGTGGAATCTTCAACACAGCACAGCATAGCATAGCATTACACAAAGCAGAACGACACAACACAACATGGAGTGCTTTGAGTGCTCTCGGAGATTGGTGTGCGAATCAGTGGGATCTGCAACACAGCATAGCACAGCACAGCACAGCACAGCACAGCACAGCAGAGAATAGCACAGCACAGCATAGCATAGCATAGCATAGCATAGCATAGCATAGCATAGCATAGCATAGCATAGCATAGCATAGCATAGCATTGCACAGAGCAGAACGACAGAACACAACATGGAGTGCTTTGAGTGCTCTCGGAGATTGGACCATCAGGAGTGACAATCAGTGGGATCTGCAACACAGCGGTACATGACATAAATTGGACAGGAAAGCATCAAAGAACACGAAAGCAAGCGCGATTGCAAAGCTGATAAGTGTGAGCATTTCATGCGCCCGTTTTTTATCCCTTGTTTCGTTCCAACTGCACTCCCTTTCACACGTTGCTCTCTTGTGCGCCACAGCACGCTCGCCCCAATCCAGAATTACCATGCATCTGGCCACTCTTCTGGGTGCATTTATTCTCACCCTAAGTTGGGCTCTTACGGTTTTCCAGGCAGCGTAAACGTAAATTTCGCGAAATGTTACGATTTCGATTTCGTACGTTAAGTTACGCGTAAGTCTGACGCGGGCAGCAGAAAAAAAAAAAATTCGCGGCCCATTTTTTTTCATCCTCGATTATGGCTTACGATAGAAGCAAGAACAGCTAATCCGAGCCTTCTGCAATAGCGAACTAAGTAGAAACGCAGCGCCTTTAAAGTCCCTAACGCGATCTGAATCTGTGACGTCTTGGTGGTAGACTACTATGTGAAGATATCGAGCCACTAGGTTTAGATCGATTAGGTCGAGAGAGTTTTGTAGGCTGTGAGGGAGTCAAGACGTTGTGCTAGGGAGGAGGGTGTGAGTGGTGGTTTGTTGGGCTCGGAATTAGGACGCGCGCTTTGCGAAATTCTCTAGGGAGATTCGTCGGCTATGTGAGTGGCGTACGTGCGTGGCGAAATTTGTAGGAGTGGATGTTGGCGAAATTCAATCTAGGGTTCGCGACTGCCACAATTCTGTTCGGCTGTTTCGTGAAAACGAAAAAAAAAAATGTAACAGCGAATCCAACCAACCCTAGGTCTTAGCGAATCAGCAAAGCCAGAAATATTACGTGACCCCACTTTTGTCGAAACTGGATCTGAATCCAGAATCCAGATCCAGATTCCGTAAGTAGAGCAGAACTTCGTATTCAGCGACTACTTAACTCTAGTTCCTCGATCTCCGTAACCTATGGCTTCACCTGCTAATCTTAACGAGCACCCCGTTTGGAAGCATTTTAGATTACCAGATGGGGCTCCATCAGATTCAGCGGAAAGGCAATGCAAGTTTTGCAATCATTCGTGGTCCCTTAACGTTACTCGTGCGCAGGCTCATATCCTAGGTAATAGCAAGGACATTAGAGCATGCAAGAAAGTGTCAGCAGAGGCTAAGGCTGAAGTGCGTAAAGCGGCATCAGCCAAGTCTAGTGAGCAGGAAGCTAAGCGGATCGCCTCGAAGCGCACGATGGACGCGTTTAGCAAGGAGACAACCGGGATCGTTGCTAGCTCTAGCACACCAAGCAAGCGCCCGGCAAATCAGAAAACGTTGCTCGAATGTCGGGCTACAGGTGCAAATCTCGCAAGCGCGCAGCAGGCGGTTGCAACGTTTTTTCCACGTTTGCCGCATTGCCCCCACTGTAGCGGAGCACCCCGCTTTCAAGTCTATGTTAAGGAAAGTGGCTGCAGCTGGTCCTGGATTTCCAACACCTACTCGGAAGCTGATCATGGGCCGGCTCTTGCAAGATTGCAAGGATACCACGGACGACGCGTTGAAACCGATCAAGGACTCGTGGAGCGACATTGGTGTGAGCATTGCTACTGACGGATGGACAGATATCTCTAGCCGCCCACAGATGAACTTCCTAGCAGTGAACACGAAGGGAGCTGTCTTCTTGTTCAGCGTTGATTGCGGTACAAAGAAGAAGAGCGGCGAGTACATTGCCGAACACCTCAAGAGAGCCATCGGCATGGTTGGAGCAGAGAATGTGGTGGGGCTGCTAATGGATGGCGCAAGCAACAACATTAGCGCAGCCAACATCGTGAAGGCGGAATTTCCTAAGGTGGAATACATCCGTTGCGCGGCTCACAGCCTCAACAATCTGATGAAAGACATTGGGGGGCGCAAATGGGCTGCCAAAATCATTGGCAAGGCGCAAGACCTGATTTCGGTTTTGAAGAAGGCACATTGGATCACCGGCTACTTCCGTGCTGCTTAAGCCCGCGGGCACACGCTTTGGAACAAACTATGTAGCGCTGCAACGTTTGCTGGATGTGCGTCCTGTACTTGACCAAATGGTGCTAACCACAGGGTGGGCTGCCCAGGCACATGGGAAGAAGCGGATGGTTGCGGCACGCGGCGTGATTAGGGATGATGTTTTTTGGGAGGGGGTGGAGAGGGTGGTACGTGTCTTGAAGCCGATTTACATGCTCTTGAGGGCGGTTGATGGAAATCAGGAGGTTATGGGGAAGATGTATGACATGATGCTGGATTTAGAGGAGAGCATGAAGACGGCTTGCAGCTGCCTGAGGAGCAAGGAGAGCAAGTGGATTTTGGGGGCCGTGCGGCGTCGCTGGAATAAGAACATCAACTGCGCCTTACATGTGGGTCGGATTTTGTATCCACCGAATCAATACGAGAAGATCTTCGGCAGGGACATTGAGTGCACTAGGATCTTCAAGCAGTTCATAAGGGATTACTATAAGGGGGAGTATGTGGTGGATAAGGATGGCACGAAGTTTCCAATGGCGACCATTGTTGAGAGGGAGATTCTTATTTATGTGAAAGGAGAAGGGGCCATTGGTGAGCCGAAGGCAAGGGCAGATCTCGAGCTCGTGAAGGTGGGCAAGTTGGACCCCGCTCATTGGTGGGAGTTTAGTGGGGAGCAGCAGTGCCCCAACCTTGCTAAACTGGCTTGCAAGGTTCTCAAGCAGTGTGTTTCTGCTTCCGCGTGTGAAACCAATTGGGGGGTTTGGGAATCTATCCACACCGCGCGGCGAAACCGCCTAGGACCCAAGCGCCTTGAGGACCTTGTCTACGTGACACACAATTACAACACAGTATGTAAGGTGCATGAGGAGCATGAGAAGCGGTTCTTCAAGGCTGGCCACGAATCCATTCAGATTGAGGAGCAGCAACAAGATCCGTATGGACCGCTCGACGATGACGACATCTCCGATGATGCTTATATGGAAGATGAAGAAGAGGAAGAGGAGGCGGATAAGGAGGAGGAAAAGGAGGAGGAGGATGGAGGAGGAGGGGGGGGAGGAGGAGGAGGAGGAGGAGGAGGAGGAGGAGGAGGAGGAGGAGGAAGAGGAGGAGGAGGAGGAGAAGGAGGAGGAGGAGGAGGAGGAGGAGGATGAGGAGGAGGAGGAGGAGGAGGAGGGGGGGGAGGAGGAGGAGGAGGAGGAGGAGGAGGAGGAGGAGGAGGAGGAGGAGGAGGAGGAGGAGGAGGAGGAGGAGGAGGAGGAGGAGGAGGAGGAGGAGGAGGAGGAGGAGGACGAGGAGGATGAAGAGGAAGAAGATGAGTAGGTTGGGGTAGGGAGAGAAGAGGGTGGATTAGGAGCAGTAGGGCGGAGGACAACCGGGTCGGCGGGAGAGATAGGGGGATTATATTATATGTTTTCCAAGTTTCCATTATTTACCTTCCTCCACTATTGACATATAGATACAACATGGATCTCTTGAGTATTCTGGTAGTTTTTTTTCCCTCGGGCAGCCCAAAAAAGTTTTCAGCTGACCGTAACCGTAAGGCCGATTCAGGGCTACCGTTCGTAAACGTAAAAATCGTCGTAAACGCCCGAAAACGTAAGGCCCCGTAAACGTAAAATCCAACTTAATTCTCACCTTGCCAATATGAGCGAGTTTCACTCAGGCTTCAGAAACTCCTTCGACTTGTTAGTGACGCCCCACTGGAAGGAAAGAGTCTCTTCTAGCCCCGCTCGCTGCGATCCATCATTACCTTACCTTACCAATGGGAGTGAGCTTCAGAAACTCCTTTGACTTGTTAGTGACGCCCCACTGGAAGGAAAGGGGTCTCTTTAAGCCCCCCACTCGCCCCGATCCAGAATTACCATGCCTCTGGCCACTCTTCTGAGCACATTCATTCTTACCTTGCCAATCGGGATGAGCTTGAGAAACTCCTCCGACTTATTTGTGACGCCCCACTGCAGGAGAGCAACCTCGATCTTCACGCCCACGAATCGGATGTGGTGGGTAACTTACCTTACCAATAAGTTGAAGGGTATCCTACCTTGACAATCGGGGTGAGCTTGAGAAACTCCTCCAACTTAATCGTGACGCCCCACTGGAAGGGCGGCACCTAATGCTGGCCGCTCACCACTTCTAACCGCTCTTCATCTTTCTTTCCTACCTTGGCATTAGGTGGGGCACGGTACCTTGCCGATGGGCGTGAGCTTCAGAAACTCCTCCGACTTGTTAGTGACGCCCCACTGGAAGGGCGGCATTTCGATCTTCACGCCCACGAATTGGTTAGTCCCCACCTTAAACTGCTCTTCCCTGTGCATTCCCTACCTTGCCCATGGGCGTGAGCTTCAGGAATTCCTCCGACTTGTTTGTGACGCCCCACTGGAAGGGCGGCACCTCGATCTTCCATATTGCTGGCCACTCACCACCTCCTGGAACCACTCCTTACCTACTGGTGTGTATCATACCTTGCCGATTGGAGTGAGCTTCAGAAATTCCTCCGACTTGCCCGTGACGCCCCACTGGAAGAGTGCAACCTCGATCTTCACGCCCACGACTTGGTTGGTGGGTGGTAGTAGGGTACCTTACCAATAGGGTGGTGGCTTTTTTCGTACCTTGCCGATGGGAGTGAGCTTGAGAAACTCCTCCGACTTATTCGTGACGCCCCACTGGAAGGGCGGCACCTCGATCTTCACGCCCACGAATTGTGCCGCGATCAGCGCCTTATAAGCATTCTTGTTGTGCGGCGAGGTGTAGAGCTTCTGAATTTGGGAAGAAAAGGTGGGCGGGAGTGAGGAGTGGGATAGGAGGGAGGGCAGGGAGAGGGGAGGCGGAGAGAATTGAATCAATCGGTGGTAACCAGAGCACAACTGATGGTACCTAGAATAGAACGACTGGCCACCTTCACGCCCACGAACTCGACCGCAATTGTGGAGTTTGTGACGTAGGGAGTCGTTCTAAAATAGACATGGCATGTAACGTGGTCTACATGAAAGAACATCGTCCTGACTCGTGACTGAAAGGTTCAGGGTTTCGCTACAGGGCTTGTCGCATGGGAGTCTTGATGAAGAAACAACGTGTTGAGATTAAAATATTTCTGCCGGAAAAACTTTTTAGTTTAAATTCTTCATGATATAGGCCAGATCGGCACCTTGCACGCTGCAAACCCTCACCCCTGGGACATCAAGGCGTCGCCATCTCATACCCAGCCTTCACAAAAAAAGAAATCGGTGCTCTTCGGTGCTAATTCGTGCTAATTGGTGCTTGCCAAACGAACTCCAGATTCTTCATACAATAGCCCAGATCGGCCCCTTGCCCACTTCAAACCCTCACCGCTGGGACATCAAAGCGTCGCCATCTCATACGCAGCCTCTGCAAAGACAAATATCGGTGCTAATCGGTGCTAGATGGTGCTTGTCAACAAACTAAAGATTCTTCATTAAATAGCCCAGATCGGCTCCTTGCCCGCTTCTAACCCTCACCCCTGAAACGCCAAGGCATATTAACCTTATACCCAGCCCCCACGGAAACCGGATCTAATCGGTGCTAGTCGGTTGTGATTGGTGCTAACTGGTGCTTATTGGACAAAGCCCTTTGCGAACCAACGGGATGAAAGATCTGGTAAGGCCAGCGTGCTTGAACCATCCCAAAAGCATCCACCCGAGATTCTAAAAAGACGGAGAGCGGTCAGAATCGTAGATCCGTGAATCTAACATCCAAGAGACCGCGGAGACCGGCAGAGTGAGAATGGAAGTAGGGTGGAACCTCCCGATCTCGCTGGCGCTGTGCTCGCTTCACTATGTGCGCGAGTACACGGTTTGTGACGCACACTACCGTACAAGGGGTCTTACGCGATACAGGGTTAAGCAAGTAAGAACCGTGGTTGTAAGTTATCGAAGCGTACGAGAGTCATGGCGACGATCCGTTGGGGGAGCGCACGAGGAGACGCAACCTTAGCAGGACAGGCAAGCGGTTGGAGGGCGAGAAAGCTGCTGCGAGGTGCAACGCCGACAAGCATATGCGACTTTGGTTTAGCGCCAACGCTCGGGTCTTATACGAGATGCAGGACAGCTTTCTCACGCTGAGAGGATGACGCAAGCTGGTCGGAGGGGAAAAACAAGATCGAAGAGAAGGGGAAGGCAAGGATTGAATGAAATGCAGATTCGGGTTTCAAGTAAGGAAATGCAGATTCGAAATGGGATACAAATGATAACTTGAGAACTCCTGTGGGTTTAGTGCGTTTAGAAAGGATACAGCCAGTTAATAGAAGTTGAGCGACGGTGGAGTATGGTAAAGTCTTATGGGATGCCTCAGCGATAGAGCTGAGAGTCACTGGGAACACTACCCAACCGATGAAAGATAACAGCGGACCGCTTTGACACGTAGCTCATCCCACCCAACCGTACAGTGGCCCTCAACTGGAAAATGTGTGCCCCGTTTCGTCTGTGAAGTGAATTGCATGGCACCGCGCGGAAGGGGGACACAGCCATGCTGACCGTTGGAAACTCCGAGAAGGCCCGCCTCGGCGAACGAACAGCCGATTCGCTATAGAGTCAACCGTCAAAACAACAGAAACTATATCCACACGCTAAAGATTTTTTTTTTCTCTCCAACACTCTTGTAGAAAGGAATGAAAACTGCTGGAAAAGGAAACTACAAGAACATCTACTGGCCACACTACCAAACCCTAACCACATCATCCTAAAAAAACAGCATCCAATATTATCGGAGGAAGCAGACCAACCATAATTCACTTTTACATCCATTATACACCACACCACCGCTTAGAAGCCTGCCGAAACACCTACTACGACCACCAAGAGAGCAGCCCGAGCCCATCGCCATTTATATCACCCTGCACACATGCAATTCATACCACAAACTGCTTGAGTATATCTTTTAACAAACTGCCTGTGGTAGGTGTTCTTTGGGGCTTAACTATAAGGTTAAGAGGTACGGTACGAGGGAGAATTAATGAGCAAGGACTCAATGAGTGGTCTAACGAACAAGCCTTCCGAAATCGCATGCCCCTAGTTCAATCTGGAAAAGGGACAAAACGAAACACAACAAGAAGCTTCTTACAACGATCTCCATAGTTGCAAAGGCAGTGGCTCCCTTCTCCTGCTCCACGGGTAGCGCGGGATACTTGACACTCACCACCTTGAACCGAATCTGGTTGGGGGGAAGTTGAGGGAAGTGGTCAGCAGGAATGAAATGGAAGAAGGCAAACGGGTAGACAAGGCAGTGACTCCCCCTTCTCCTGTTCCACTGGCAGGGGGGAATACTAGACACTCACCACCTTGCACCGGATTTGGTTTGGTCAATGCCGCTCAACACGAATCGACGACAGTCAACGCGAGTCATACCAGTTCATCCATGTCCAGGAACGAGTCGTTGAACTTCCATTGCAGTGTGGAACAACCAGTCAACGCCAGTCAGCACAAGTCAACAAGAAAGTCAACGCCAGTCATACCAGTTCATCCATGTCAAGGAGCATACCATTGTTGTTGAACTTCCACTGCTAAGCGACCACTTGGCACTGTGGCACTGCCAGTCAACGATAGTCAATGCCAGCCAATCTCAGTCAACGCCAGTCATACCAGTTCATCCATGTCAAAGAACATGCCGTTGTCCTTGAACTTCCACTGCTGTGTGACCACGTGGCACTGTGGCACTGCCAGTCAACGCTAGTCAATGCTAGCCAAATTCAGTCAACAACAGTCAACGCCAGTCAACGCGAGTCATACCAGTTCATCCATGTCAAGAAACATGTCGTTGTCGTTGAACTTCCACACCCACAGCTTCTCCTGCTCGTCACTGCATGGGAGGGAACAAGGGCACACACAGGCACACGCGCACACAGGCACATGCACACACGCACTCGACTCAAAAGGGAAGTAAGTGCGATGAGCAAATGGTTGTCCGGGAACATATTGTTGTCGTTGAACTTCCACACCCACAGCTTCTCCTGCTCGTCACTGCCATGGGCTCAAAGGCACACACACACAGGCACACGGACATGCGAAGGCACAAAAACATGACATATGAATCGACTCAAAAGGTATGGAAGTGCGATGAGCAAATGGTTGTTGTCCGGGAACATATTGTTGACGTTGAACTTCCACACCCACAGCTTCTCCTGCTCGTCACTGCATGGACACAAAGGTACACACACAGGCGGATTGAGAGGAACACAGACGTGTAAACACACGCAAGTATGACTTATGAATCGACTAAAAAGGTATGTGAATGTAGAGACGCAGGTGCATTGTAAGGAAAGTCAACATGACAGCAATACTCAAGCACACACGCCCATGCATGCATGCATTCGGCATGTACAGCTAGATGACTCACATACCATGTGTACAGGTGGACATGCGTCACACACACGCACCCATGCATGCATGCATTCAAACAAGCACACACGCACACATGCACAGAGCATACAGTGCTCAGGTCCGGAAGCATCTTCAGCCTTTAATGCTCACAAAACTGAAGGCTCTTGTAGGTTGTAATGAGGAATGTGTATATCGGAGAAGAAGTCCAGAGATACTGCAAGTAACATAGAACAAGAAAAGAATGTGGGGTTGTGTAGAGGGGAAGACAAACAGGCACACTGAGTACAGAAAACAACATCAAGGTCAGTAACCGTACATTAGTGTTTACTCTACATCTAAACGGAGGTGCAAACGCCGTAGAGACCTCTCGCATCGCCTTTCACAATTCTGTCTCCACTCCAACCCCTTCCCCCCCTTTTTTAAATGCATCAGTGAAGGCACGCACATGATGAGAACATAACCCAACAGGCCAGTGGCATCGCACTTCACCAGCCTGCCCACAGGCACAGGCACAGGCACAGGCACTTCCCCGCGTAGAGGAGATTCTACCCCAGAAATGCTTCTGTAGATTCATATCAAGAGTCATCGTATAAGTGAGCAGGGGATATGAACGTACCAAACAGCCCTGTGGCACTTCACCAGCCTCCCTCCGAGCACCTCCCCACATCTACCCCACATCACCTCTTGAGTCAATTCAGCACTCATTATACAAGCGGGCAGGAGCGTGTGAACGTACCAAACAGCCCTGTGGCACTTCACCAGCCTCCCCACGAGCACCTCCCCACATCTATCCCACATCACCTCTTGAGTCGATTCAGCACTCATTATACAAGCGGGCAGGAGCGTGTGAACGTACCAAACAGCCCTGTGGCACTTCACCAGCCTCCCCACGAGCACCTCCCCACATCTACCCCACATCACCTCTTGAGTCGATTCAGCACTCATTATACAAGCGGGCAGGAGCGTGTGAACGTACCAAACAGCCCTGTGGCACTTCACCAGCCTCCCCACGAGCACCTCCCCACATCTACCCCACATCACCTCTTGAGTCGATTCAGCACTCATTATACAAGCGGGCAGGAGCGTGTGAACGTACCAAACAGCCCTGTGGCACTTCACCAGCCTCCCCATGAGCACCTCCCCGCGCAGAGAAGAGTCTACCCCAGAAATGCTTCTGTAGGTTCAAGCTAAAGTCATCAAGGGCAGGAGCATGTGAACGTACCAAACAGCCCCGTTGCATCGCACTTCACCAGCCTCCCCACGAGCACTTCTCCGGCGAATGGAGAGAACACAGCAAGTCGGAAGCGCACCTGATTGGGGCATAGGCCGCGGAAGGAGGAGTAAGGGAGGGGGCGGCAGGGAGAAGAGGGGGGGGGGGGCTATTGGGATGAGTCGCAACAAGCACTTTCCCGTCAATTGGTGAGTAGACTAGACAACCGGTCGGAAGCAAACCTGATGCGTGCATGCATGGACCGAGAAAGACATGGGCACGGGGAGGGGGCAACAGGGAGGGGAGGAAATCATTGGGATGAGTCGCAACAAGCACTTTCCCGTCAATTGGTGAGTATACTAGACAACCGGTCGGAAGCAAACCTGATAAAGGCAGGGGCAAGAGGTGAGGGAGGGAGGAAAGGGGATTACTGGGATGCCTCACAACCAGCACTTACCCCGCAAATGGCGAACCAGTTGAGAAAGGAAGGGGGAAAGGTTGGATGGAGAGACGGGGGGGGGGGGGGGGGGGGGGGGGAGAAACAGACGGGAAGGGGGAATAGGAGAGGTTTAAAGAGCGAAGAATGGGGGGGGGGGGGGTAGGCAGTTGTGTGTGTGACAAGCAAAAAAGTGGCAAGAGGAAGGGAATCAGACAGGGAAGGTGGAGTGAGAAAGAGAGGAGGAAGTGAGTGTGGAGTGTGGAGCAGTGGGCCTAGTCAAGAAGATTGAGTGAGAGAAAAGAGCACTGATGTATCTATGAGGGATGGAAGCGAGCAGAATGGATTGTGGTGAAGATGGATGAAAGGTGAACGGTTGGCCAACGGGAGGGGAAAGAGATGCGCAAGGAAGGAGAGGTGTGGAAGGGAGGTAGAAGGGAGGTGGGAGGGAGGTGGAGGAAGGAAGGTGGAGAAGGTGGGGTTAGAGTAAAGGCCAGAGCTTACAGTGAAATAAGGGCCAGGATCAGAGGGGTAGATGAAGCCTCTTTTCGAGATGACTCCTGAGTCGCCTCAACAAGAGCCCAGACCTCACTCACTCACAGTGAAATGAGGGCCAGGGTCGGAGGGGTAGATGAAGCCTCTCAAGCCAAGGTGACTTTCGAGACGAGTCAAAAAGAGCTGAAATCTCACTCACTCACTCACTCACTCACAGTGAAATGAGGACCAGGGTCGGAGGGGTAGATGAAGCCTCCTTCCACTGACTGCAGGTCGTAGAGCGAGATGCAGAGACCCACATTGCGCAGCACCTGGTGTGGGACGGGGGAAATGGCAAAGACAAGGAAGGGGAGGGGGGGGAATCACAGGGGGTAGATGAATCCTCCTTCCACTGACTGCAGGTCGTACAGCGATATGCAGAGACCCACATTGCGCAACACCTGGCGTGGGACGGGGGAAAAGGCGGGAAAGGGGGGTATGAGTCGAAGGGGGATAGATGCAGGCTGTACAGCGAGAAGCAGGAGACCCATGCTGCACGGCACTTGGTGGGCGGAAGCGGAACGACTCAGTCAAGGAAAGCACACATGGAAAGGGAGAAATTGGCGAAAACGGGGGGTTATTAATCAGAGGGGGAGTGACGAACACCCCTTGCACTGCCTGCAGGTCGTACAGAGAGATGCCTAGACCCAAATTGCGGAGACCCAAGTTTGCAGCCAGCAAAGCGGAGGTGAGGCAGGGAACAGAGGAAGCGAAGCGGAGGTGAGGCAGGGAACATAGGAAGCGAAGCGGAGGTGAGGCAGGGAACAGAGGAAGCGAAGAGGAGGTGTAGCAGAGGTGCAGCAGAGGTGCAACGGAACAAGGACCAGCGACCTACGTGACGTGACCGCCACCCAACGCCTTGACACATGCTTGTCACATGCTTGTCACATGCTTGACACATGCTTGTCACATGCTTGTCACATGCTTGTCACATTCGGCTCTGATTCCGCCTTTTTATGTCAAACCTGACGGACTTCAAAGGGATTGTTCTCATACCTTATCGAAATACTTGGCTTTGATCTCTGAACTGACGGCCGTCAAATGGGGGCGGTGCAGGTCGTGAGGCGCGACGCGTATGTCGTCCTCCATCTCCGTTAGTACGAACATTGTGGTGTCTTATAACGAGTATCGCAACAGTCAGTTTCGAGCAGTCTGTTTCACCTACGTCATCTCATTTTCACTGAAACGAACATCGCAAGCCTCTATATCGGGTTCTGCTACCGCCTCGACTGGAAGTACCGTTAACTCGCCAAGCCGCGCTCGAGACCTGATAGATAGAATACCCGTCACAGATTACGATGAAAGCAGTTCTCACGAAAAGCTAGCTCCACTAAAAAAATGTTGAAGTAGTAAGAGCAGTTCTTAACGAGGTAGTCCAACTTCGATCCTCCTCACGTTTCGACTTCTGTCGCTTCAAGATGGCTCGCGACTGACGGTCGAAATCACTCAGCAGCAGCAGCAGAAGTGAAATTTTGAATTATTCAGTCGCTTCTGAAGTGTTTTTAAGCTAGGTGGCTGGTACGGTCGGAGTCACCCACTAAGCAGCAGAAACGGTCTGCGCGCCTCGATCAGAACAGCACTAGCCCGGCACAGCACCGACCAGTCCAAGACCAGGAAGTATGGGGTGGTAGTGTTGATTGACATAAAAGATTATAACGAGGATAAGAGTCAGGGGTTCTAGACCAAGGGAACTGCGAGTTCCGCTAACACGTGCCGTGATATCACATGATTTGCTTATTGACTTGAGAATCTGACCTGACTCATTTACATTCATTGATATCCCATCATGTGCATGGTTGTCATGATGACTGAGTATATTTCCTTACCTACTTCATATTGGTCCATGGTTAAATCTGTCCAGCATTTAAGGTAGCTAGCAAAATATCAATCTACCCACAAGTGTGACTCATATTGAAGAAAGGTACCGTACAAGAGGCTTAGCGTCACGTTTACAATGGCACGTCTGTTCGGTGTGCTGTTACAAAACGAGAAACACCATACCAGTCTTTCGATACTTGTATATCACAATACAACAACCTGCCATCTGGCGATCTCTGATTGGCCAACACATCGGCAATAATCTCCGCTTGACCCCACCCATGAGTCTGGCAACAGAAAAAAGAAGAAACAAGAGAGTTGGAGCCGCCGCAGCACATGGAATACATCAGGACCCAAGGGGAGCATACGAAGTGTAGAGAAGACAACAGATTTGTTTAACTGAAAGGACTCACCTCAAGAGCCAGGAAGCCGAAGGGACGAAGGAAGGTGGATGCATTCTGACATATGTGGCGCAGACATGCCGTGCCATCCGTGTTGGTATCAGCATCAGCATCAGCTTCACTAATTGTACCAGCAGCATCACCGGCAGCTGCAGTGGCAGCACCAGCAGCAGCGGGTCTGTACCCATCCTCCTTATAAGCATCTCCGTCAAGGGCCAAGGAGGGCTCATGTAGCCGCACCTCAGGTTGCAGCGACGGCAGCAAGTGGGATGGGATGTAGGGGGGATTGCTCACTATGCCATGCAACCGACAATGCATGGCCATCTTGTGAAGAGGCGCAAACCAATCACCACGCGCCACGTGTATGTGCTCCTGATGGAATGGAAAGAAAATGAGGTGAGGAGAGCTTTGTTAGCAGCGATGGCAGCAGGCAGCATGGGATGTAGGGAGGGTTGCTCACTATGCCATGCAACCGAACACGCATGCCCACACTGTGCAAATGCGTGAACGAATCACCTCATGCAATGTGATGTGGATGTGGGTCTGCAGGGAGGGAGAATTGGTGAAGGAAAAACCATTGGCAAGGGATGGTGTTGCACACTTCAGCTATGTCGTGCATGCCCATGCTGTGCAGAGGTGCAAACCAATCACCACGTGCCACGTGTACGTTGGCCTGCAGGAAGGGAGAAGAGGGAAGGACAGATGGCATGGGGTGTACAGGGGGTTGCTCACTAGACCATGCATGACCGTGCTGTGTCAATGTGTGAAGCAAGCACTCCACTTCGCGTGCACCTATCTCTGGCAAAGGTGGACGTGGGGAGGAAAACGAAAAAGCATTGCTGCATGACGGGATTGGAGGGGAGGGGAGGGGAGGGGACGGGATGGGATGGGATGGGATGGGATGGGATGGGATGGGATGGGATGGGATGGGATGGGATGGGGGATGGGATGGGATGGGATGGGATGGGATGGGATAGGATGGGTGGGATGGGATGGGATGGGATGGGATGGGATGGGATGGGATGGGATGGGATGGGATGGGATGGGATGGGATGGGATGGGATGGGATGGGATGGGATGGGATGGGATGGGATGGGATGGGTTGGGATAGGATGGGTGGGATGGGATGGGATGGGATGGGATGGGATGGGATGGGATGGGATGGGATGGGATGGGATGGGATGGGATGGGATAGGATGGGTGGGATGGGATGGGATGGGATGGGATGGGATGGGATGGGATGGGATGGGATGGGATGGGATGGGATGGGATGGGATGGGATGGGATGGGATGGGATGGGATGGGATGGGATGGGATGGGATGGGTTGGGATAGGATGGGTGGGATGGGATGGGATGGGATGGGATGGGATGGGATGGGATGGGATGGGATGGGATGGGATGGGATGTAGTGGGATGGGATGGGATGGGATGGGATGGGATGGGATGGGATGGGATGGGATGGGATGGGATGGGATGGGATGGGATGGGATGGGATGGGATGGGATGGGATGGGATGGGGTGGGATGGGATGGGATGGGATGGGATGGGATGGGATGGGATGGGATGGGATGGGATGGGATGGGATGGGATGGGATGGGATGGGGTGGGATGGGGTGGGATGGGGTGGGATGGGGTGGGATGGGGTGGGATGGGATGGGATAAGATGCAATATGATGAAGGCCCTGAAGCACTCACATTTACTCCATGGCTGCAAATCTGTTCACAAGTCCAGGGTCGTTTCAGCTTCCTCACAACTCAGGTCAGTCAGGTCATACTCAAATACACTGCCACGATATGATTCATTATAAATATAGCACATCCGCAATCTCTCTCCACATGCAACACTAAGTCGACTAATTTGCATCCCATATCTCGCCCCCATGCAATGCTGCTACGCCACACGCCACCATACTAGAATACAGTGCTTCCAAAGTGAAGCCGAGAGTGTACACAGTGCGGTGGAGCATTCTCCCCTGCAGCCCATACCTCGCCTGTCCCAATCAATGCCACTACTTCACGCGCCACTGCACTAGCATACACAGCCAATACCACCACCTTGTAGCAGAGGTAGCCTCTTGCAGGTTGATGAAGGAAGATGAAGGAGGCTACCTTCTTCATCGAACCCTTCATCAACCTGCAAGATACACAGCCAATACCACCACCTTTGCTCCCATCCTGTCCCCTTCTACACCCACCAGGTTTAGGGTTTATGGTGGCATTCTCACCTGCAACCCATATCTCGCCACATCCAATGCCGCCACCTCACACGCCACTGCACTAGCATTCAGGGTTGAAGGTTTGAGGTTTATGGTATCATTCTCACCTGCAACCCATATCTCGCCGCATTCAATGCCGCCACCTCACACGCCACTGCACTAGCATCCACCGCCACTACCACCACCTCCTCCCCCATCCCTCCTCGCTCTCCCATCCCCCCACCCTCTCCAACCCCTCTTCTCACTCCATCCCCACTCCTCTCTCCTCTGCCCTCCCTGCGTTGCTGCTTCACACCACCCCCGCCCCCTCTCTCCCTCCTTTTCAGTAATTCCCGAGCCAAAGCCACAGCAATGGCCCCACTCCCCGTCCCCAGGTCCGCCCAAATCTCCTTCCCATCCAAACCCTCGTACCCTCCCCAACCCGTCCTCTCACCTTCGTCCTCCCTGTCCCCCCTTCCCCCCCTCTCCCCCCTCTCACCCCTCGCCCCCCTCTCCATCTCCTCAGCCTTCTCCATCCCCGCTACAGCAAGATCCACTAAGAGCTCCGTCTCTGGCCTCGGTATAAGCACGCCAGGCTGGACAGCAAGCAGCAGGTCGCGCCAGTGCGCCCCCCCACCAGGTACTGCGAGGGCACGCGGAGGGCCAGGCGCGCGCGCCAGAGCAGGCGCAGAGAGGGGAAGGGCAGGCGGAGGGCTATGAGGGGAGAGGCGGGGGAGTGGCTGCTGGTGCTACTGGTGCTGGTGGTGGTGCTTGTGGTGTTGCTGGTTTGGGAAAAAGTGGACTGGTTGTTTCTTCTACTGCTGCTGCCCCCGTGACCTCCATTTCCCATCAGCCGTACCTCTCTCCAACTCAACCGCTTCAAACGCCTCAACCACTCTTTCTCACCGAGCCCATCACCCTCCCAACTACGAATCTCCTCCCCGCCGATTCCGCCCTCCACCCACCCAGCAATGGCATCCTCTAGCATCCATTCTAACTCCCTCCTAAGCTCGTTTCTCGAAGGTCCACCGTCGGATTGCTCCAGCCTGTCGCCGATCTCACCGTCGATCCGCCGCTGCTGCTCCACCTGCCACGTCAGCACCTCGTCCAGCGGAACGACCGCCGCTGGCTCGTGCTCGCAGAGCGGGCGGCGGTCCTTGTCGTATACGACAGCCCAACGGGACGGATCGGATTCGGTACGAGAGGCAGCATCGGATTCACAAGATGCTGGATCTGATTTAAATACTGGATCTGATTCTGATTCTGATTCTGACAAAAGAGGACCGTGAAGGAAGGATGCTGATAGCTTCTGAAACGACAGATTCTGCTGGAGAGAAGCCTGGTACAGACGTGGGATGGAAATTCCTAGAGGGTGTGAGCTTAACGGGGCCTCTCTGAAACGGTTTACGCGACGAGGTAGACAGGATCGGTTGAAGAAGGCTAGTGAAAGCTGGTAGGGAGAACTTCTGATTGCCATCCGAAGCTGCATCATAGCGCCAGAGCCAGTTGAAGGATGCAAGCTAAGCGACTAACTGACGGAGTTAAGTGATCAGACGGCGGTGTTAGTAGACTAATCGACAGTGTTGATAGTGGGTGGCAGGCGTGGTTCAGCCGCGTGTTGGAAGGGACCCGCGCGCTGCTAGGAAATTAGTTTTTTTGTTTTTTTCTCCATCAAATGGCGCTTCGCAGGGAGTTTGTGGCTTGCGCTTTTTCAAAAAGGCGAAATTACGGTTATAACGTGCGATAACTAATAATGGTAAACGCGACGTGAAGACCAGATCAATACTAAACGTAGCAATAAACTATCATGCAGTAGCGAACAAGCCTCGATGGCGCAGTCGGTAGCGCGTAGGTCTCATAGCATTCCGACTCCCAACAAGCTGGGCGGAGCCATCCTAAGGTCGTGAGTTCGATCCTCACTCGGGGCACATGTTTTGTTTCTCACAAATGAAGTTCCACTTTCTGGATCCGTACTACCATAGTAGATGGTGTGGGAGGAAGCTGATATGGCACTTTTTATGCCTGCCTGCTGGTGATCTGCTGTATTACAAGACTCCGCCCCAACAACTTCAAAACAACTACGTAAAAGCCCCCGTTGGCATCTATGTGGGGGAATACGGTTCTATAACCCCTCACGGAGAATAATTTTTGTCAACACCTTGACTCCAGACTCAACTGCGCTATCATGTGCAATACAACTTCAATTCCCACCACATTAACGTTTTCATGGCTGGAAAGACTTATATAAACTTGACATGTGGCAGTCATTCAAGGCTCAGAGAAGACTAATGGTAGTATCATTATAGACGGGCATTCCATTTCAACTACTCTTTTGAGTGAGTGTTGTGACCTCAGCACCGGTTTCCACCCAATTATGTAATGCTTGCTCTCAGACCAGCCAACGGCTCGAGCCAACGACAGTGCTTTGCCCCAAAAGTTACTGATAATGGTCCAGGCTCTTGGACGGGAAGCAACAGTGGTACGGTAGGATGGAGGTGAAATAGATGGCCTACCGTATATAAGGAATTGGGATTGGGTGGGGAAAGTGGGGGGGAGGGGAGAGGGAGAGTAAAATGGGGTAAACATAGTGTACTTGGCAATCAAATGGTCTGAAGGAGAGGGACTGAGGGAGAGAGTCGGGGGAAAAAAGGGGGAGAGGGGCAGAGCGGGGAAGGGTTGGAGAGTAATACACATAGGTGGTACACATGGTGTTCTTGAAGCCAGATAGGTGGAGATGAAACAGATGGTTTGGGGGGGAAAAGAGGGAGGGAGAGAACAGAGGGGCAGCGGGAGAAGAGTGGTATGGGGTACACATTGTGTGCTTGGCAAGGGCCTTGAAGTCAGCTAGGGCGGAGATGAAACAGATGGTTTGAGGGGAGAGGGAGGGAGGGAGAGAGTGGGGCGGGAAGAGGGGGGAGGGGGAGAGTGGTAGAAGAGAAAGGGTAGCTAGTGTGTGCTTGGCAAGGGTCTTGAAGTCAGCTAGGGTGGAGATGAAACAGATGGTTTGGGGGAGAGGGTGGGAGGGAGAGAAAAGGGTGAGGCGTGGGGGGGGGGTTGGGGGTGGGGGGGGAGGGAGAGGGGGAGAGTACTATGGGGTAAAGATTGCATACTTGGCTTTGGCCTTGAAGTTGGAGAGGATGGAAATGAGACAGATGGTCTGGGGGAGAGAGAGGGAGGGAGAGAAGGGGGCAGGATGGAGGGGGGGCAGCGGTTGGGTGGAAGAAGCGTAATATGCGACAAACATTGCGTACTTGGAAAGGGTCTTGGCAAGTCGGAGAGTAATATGGTCTGGGAGAGAGGGAGGGGTGGAGGGGTTGAATAGGGGACACTATGACAGGGGGAGTTTGAGTGAACAATCAAGTTGGGCAGGAACATCAGCCTTGGCTTTTCCAGAAGCACGAGGTCCCTAACAGGCACCAGCCTTGGCATCCTCCTGGGGGAGGAACAACTGGCGCAGGTTGTACTTGGCAAGGGCCTTGAAGTCGGTGAGTATGGAGATGAAACAGATGGTCTGGGGGAGAGAGGGAGGGAGAGAAAAAGAGTGGGGTAGAAGCAGGGGCGGAGGAAAAGAGTATGGGGTAAACATTGTGTACCTTGAATTCCGTGAGGATGGAGATAAAACAGAGGGTTTGGGGGAGCGAGAGGGAGAGAGAGAAAGGGGAAGAAGGGGGGGGAGGGTGGGAGAGTAGTACGGGGTAGACATTGTGCACTTGGCAAACAGATGGTCTGGGGGAGAGGGGCCGAGGGAGAGAGTTGGTGGGGGAAGAGGGAAGAGAGGGGGGTGGGAGAGTATTATGGGTTGAACATTGTGTGCTTGACAAACAGATGGCCCGAGTGAGAGGGGCGGAGGGAGAGAGAGAAAGGGGAAGAAGGGTGGGGAGGGGTGGGAGAGTATTATGGGGTCATCATTGTGTACTTGGCAAACAGATGGTCCGGGGGAGAAGGGCAGAGGGAGAGAGATGTGGGGGAAGAGGGGGTGGGGGGAAGGGGTGGGAGAGTATTATGGGGTGAACATTGTGTACTTGACAAGGGGCTTGGATTTAGTGAGTATGAAGATGAAACAGATGGTCTGGGGGAGAGGGAGGGGGAGAGAGAAAGGGGAAGGAGGGGGGGGAGGGGTGGGAGAGTATTACGGGGTGAACATTGTGTACTTGACAAGGGGATTAAAGTCAGTGAGTATGAAGATGAAACAGATGGTCTGGGGGGAGTGAGAAGGAGTGGAATCGGGGATACTGAGGTAAGAGTGAGGGCCAGTGGAGAAAGGAAGAGTTGGGGGAGAAAGGAAATATGAAAGGACATTACGAGAATGTGTTGAGTGAGCGAGAGGGCAGTAGAGAAAGGAAGAAGTAAAGGAGAAAAAACATAGAAGGGACAGGATGAGGATGAGTGAGAATGGAGTTAGAGAGATTGAAGGTGGTGCTTGGAGAAAGCTGCGGGTGAAACAAGGACAACCTGCTAAAAATGGCTTCGCCCGGACTTGAACCGGAGACCTTCAGTGTGTTAGACTGACGTGATAACCAACTACACCACGAAACCACATTTTGCCAGCGCGCAGTTCAGATAATTGTGTTCATAACTTGCACTACACAACCTAGTGCATTGCGAACGTTCACTACTTGCAGCATCATGGTCTTGACCGCATTGCTGAGACCCACTATGTGGCATACCATGGTTGATGAACACACAGCATGGGGGATGCACACATGTATGCATGTCATACCTTCACCACTAGCAGCATGACGGCCTTGTCTGGGTTCTCAAACTCCACTACATGAGTACATGCCCCAGCTTGGCATACCATGGTTAATGAACACACGGCATGGTGCATGCATGCATGTATGCATGTATGCATGTCATACCTTCACCACTCGCATCGCAGCATGATGGTTTTGTCTGGGTTGCGGGGATCCACTCTAGTTAATGCAGGCACCAGCTTGGCACACCATGGTTAATGAGCACACACCATGGGGCATACATGCATGTCATACATTCACCACTTTCAGCATGACGGTCTTTCCTGGGTTCCAAAGATCCAATTTATGCGGAGCAGGCA